CATGATACACTCGGTTATCGGAGGTCAGCCACTGCTTATACTCGGAGTTGCAGAGCCGACTGTGATCATGTATACATTCATGTTTAACTTTGCAAAGGCGAGACCTGAGCTGGGACGGAACCTCTTCTTGGCCTGGTCTGGATGGTAAGTTTTTAGTGAGAGTTTTGATATGCTTAAAAGAGTGACCAGGTGTTGAAAAACAATGTATGAATCTGTGGTGTGTAGGGTTTGTGTATGGACTTCTTTGATGCTGTTTGTGCTGGCTATTTGTGGAGCTTGTTCCATCATCAATAGGTTCACTCGTGTGGCTGGTGAATTGTTTGGACTGCTTATTGCTATGCTCTTTATGCAACAAGCCATCAAAGTAGGACTCCTTTTTAGCAAGATTTCTTTGAGAAAATGTGGGTTTTGTTATGCTCTATTGCTCTCTAACGCATGTTTATTCAGGGGCTAGTGGATGAGTTCCGCATTCCTGAACGGGAGAATCAGAAGCTGATGGAGTTCTTACCTTCCTGGAGGTTTGCTAATGGTATGTTTGCTCTGGTTCTCTCCTTTGGCCTTCTCCTAACTGGACTTAGAAGCAGAAAAGCCAGATCATGGCGTTACGGAAGTGGTAAGTTTAAACAACATCTCTATCTCATGAGCTGGATTCAGATTTCAGACCATCCATTTACTGACTCAATTTTGATTCTCTTGACCAGGCTGGCTCAGAAGCTTGATAGCTGACTATGGTGTACCACTCATGGTGTTAGTGTGGACCGGTGTCTCCTACATTCCAGCAGGAGATGTTCCAAAAGGAATTCCCCGGCGACTTTTTAGCCCAAATCCTTGGTCTCCTGGTGCTTATGGAAATTGGACCGTAGTAAAGGTATCTCCTTTTTGTTCTTTCATCTCATTCATCTCCTCCACGCTCATATGTGCGTCTACAAACTGAAAGATTAAGACTTTTAATGCCTAGTGACTTGATAATTTGTAGGAGATGCTTGATGTTCCAATAGTCTACATAATTGGAGCTTTCATTCCAGCATCAATGATTGCTGTGCTTTACTACTTCGACCATAGCGTTGCTTCACAGCTTGCGCAGCAGAGCGATTTCAACTTGAGAAAACCGTCTTCTTACCACTATGACTTGCTTCTTCTTGGGTTTCTGGTAAGTACTTTCAGAAAAAAAAAAAAAAATTATCTATCTTTTGGGGCTTATTGGTCGTAACCAATACTGCAAATGCAGACCTTAATGTGTGGTCTACTCGGAGTCCCTCCATCAAATGGTGTCATTCCTCAATCTCCAATGCATACCAAAAGCTTAGCAACTCTTAAATATCAGGTAACATAACTCACCAGGGTCTTCACTTTTCTGGTCATTCCTCAATCTCCAATGTTCTCTCGCTCTCTCTCTCTGCAGTTGCTTCGTAACAGGTTGGTTGCAACAGCACGAAGAAGCATCAAAACGAATGCGAGTTTGGGACAACTCTATAACAACATGCAAGAAGCTTATCACCATATGCAGACACCATTAGTATACCAGCAACCTCAAGTAAGAATATATCTCCAAATAACCTTTCAAATTTGTTTTCAATAGAACACGGAACTAATAAGAAGAACATCTCTCCACTTTCAGGGTTTGAAAGAGCTGAAAGAATCAACAATCCAAGCGACTACATTCACCGGAAACCTCAATGCTCCAGTCGATGAAACTCTGTTCGATATAGAGAAAGAAATTGACGATTTGCTACCAGTTGAAGTCAAAGAACAGAGGCTAAGCAACTTGCTTCAGTCTACGATGGTAGGAGGATGCGTTGCAGCTATGCCTATCCTCAAAATGATCCCTACTTCAGTCCTTTGGGGATACTTTGCCTTCATGGCTATTGAAAGCTTACCTGGAAACCAATTCTGGGAAAGAATCTTACTTCTCTTCACAGCCCCAAGCCGTCGCTTCAAGTAACTAAAGCTCCAATCTTTTTATATCTTTCTCATTCCACATCAGAAAAGCCTCTCCCTTTTTGCTCAGTTCTGCTAAATTTGTATCTGCAGGGTTCTTGAAGATTACCATGCAACATTCGTTGAAACTGTTCCATTCAAGACGATTGCAATGTTCACCATCTTCCAGACGACTTATCTCTTGATCTGCTTTGGCCTCACATGGATCCCAATCGCAGGAGTTATGTTTCCTTTAATGATCATGTTCTTGATTCCTGTTCGACAATACATCCTCCCTAGATTTTTCAAAGGAGCTCATCTTCAAGACTTGGACGCAGCAGAGTATGAAGAAGCTCCAGCTTTACCCTTCAATCTCGCTGCGGTAACCAAATAAACCCATTTGCATATCTTTTTTGTTTACTCTGTTTAGTTTTTTTTGTTCTTTCAAACTCGATGTTTTGAGCAGGAAACGGAGATTGGATCCACGACCTCGTATCCAGGAGACTCAGAGATTCTTGATGAGTTTATCACACGAAGCAGAGGAGAGTTTAGACACACGAGTAGTCCTAAGGTCACGAGTTCGAGTTCGACTCCAGTCAATAATCGGAGTTTGTCTCAAGTGTTTAGTCCACGAGTGAGTGAACTCAGGTTGGGTCAGATGAGTCCTCGAGTCGTCGGAAATAGTCCAAAGCCGGCGAGTTGTGGGAGGAGTCCCTTGAACCAGTCGTCCTCGAACTGAGAATTATATATATATTCACGAAGCTTAATAAAACAAAACCCATTGAGGAATGGATTATCATTAATGTTTAAATTAGTTAATTAATTTGATCTCTAGCTCTTAAAAGAAAAACGAAGGCTTCTTGAATCTCTCTTTAGTTTGTGTTGTGTGTTTGTTTGCCCCTTTTCTGGTGTTTGATCTTTGAGTCTTGTTGTGTAAAATGTAAAATATCTTACATGTTTCGTAATATATGGGCAAATATATAAAAAAGACTTAAGTGTCAACGATAACTCGATAAGCAATCTTCTTTATATGATCGTCTGTGTGTCTCACTCTGGTTTATCGGTCAACATAACATTTGCAACGGCTATATTTCCATACTGACTGTGTTATTTTCAAGCTAGAGATATAGTAATATGAATATCTTAAGAATGATGAATATTTCGAATACTGATTGTGTTATTTTCAAACTAGTACGTTGGAGATTCTTATAACAAATGGTGGGCATGATCTATTATACACATGCATATAATCAATCCTTGAATTGAATTATTTTATGATGTTACATTACATACACATGTCTCTTTGATTTATTCATGAAAAAGCCCGTAATAAGAAAGGAGTGGCAAACAAATGAAAAAGAAAAGCCTGAATGATTACGATTTAGAAGCAAAAGCAAATGCTTTTGAGCATGAAGATAGAGTGGCTATCTGGTTAAAATTAAGTGATGTCGATCGTTTGAAGTGTTGGAACTCGTTTTTGGACAAACGGCTTAGGCCAGTTTCCGGTGGCGTTTCTGGGCAACTCGGTTGTCGGAATGACCGGATGTTGGAACCATTGGATTCCTTGTTTTGAGCACTATGAGATAGTGTATTCATATGTCAAAAACGGTATTCGTTTGAATGAGAAATGGAGGTTTAAAGTGGGTTGCTTATAAGTTTAAAAATGTAACATTTATAAAAATGTCCCACATTGGAAACATGAGATGATATTCTCTTGTATATATTATGGAAAATTAATAACAAAGTTTAAAAGCTTTGAATACACTTTAGTGTATTGGAGAAAAGAATTTGTGATAAAATTTGGTAAATAAATATATATATATTATTTTATTTTTTGCCAAATTTATATAGACTTATTTTTAATTAAATTAGTCAACACAAATATCTTTGCCTCTTGATTTCCATAACTGAAAGAATTCTTTACGTTAGTGCTCAATTAGTTTTATTTTCAATTAGTGGTCAATGTTATTAATTGGATTAAAATTAAAAATGGAGTAGTAACGTGATTCTCTTCGTTGAGCATAAAGGCTCTAGTCTCCTCCTCTCATAACATACGAAACAGAAATCAAAAAGCAATCCTCCATTATTTTATTCTTTCTATTTTTTATTCTCTTTTGTTCTTGAGTTTTTATTTTGTTCTTGAGTCTGAGAGTACACACATAATCTAGGTTCGATAGGCTTCTGATTGAGTGTAGCATATCAGAAGATTTTTGCAGTTGTATCTTGAGACTCTAATCACCATAGAACCGGCACACTACAAGGCGATTTTTGAATTAAGGAGAAAGATAGTATCTTGCCTCTGTAAATCCTCACCAAATTCCTGTTCTTGGTAAAACTGTATTGTATTTTAATTTTGTATTCCTTCATAATATTTTACAATTTTCAGTCTTACTGTAATTTATAAATTGCGGTTCTATCAATCTTAACTTAAAAATCCGTTTATTGCTTTATTTGCACTAACCGGACTGATTATTGTGAAGTTTTGGTTTTATTTTTTAGAACAGGTTGATCGAGATTTTTTCTGCAGGTTCTCATTATTCCTGCAGTCAGGTTATTTTTCTGCAGATTGGTTTTTATTTCTGCAGAGTTATTGATCGCTTGATTGATTTATTTTTTTTAGTTTCGTTCGTCTGCTTTGGTTGTCATTCGATTTGTTTATTGTTTCGGTGCTGTGTCAAAGGAGGTGAATTGTTTAATTATTTGGTTAGAGCTCTGGTTTTGATTTCATTATTAGACGAGAGTTTGGTTCACATTTGTCGCACTGATTTTGTTTATTTTTTAATATTGCAATTTATTATTTTGTTGACTTAATAAGTTGCTTTGTCATTCGTATCATTGCCTGAATTCATTTGTTAATTTCCAGAATTTATTTATTTATTTGGAAATTGTTTTTAATTATTTATTTCAGTTTATTCTGAGTTGTTTAAATTGTTTAAATAATTGTTTGAATTTTGTGCTTGATATCGGTTGATATCTAAAAGTATGATGAACAACATGATTGGTGTGAATGTGAATGGATATGGATTTGGTGAGTCGCGCTCCAAACACAGTTTGGAAGTGGTCAGCCACTAATAGTTCCATTCATGGAAGGAACTGGTTTGTATGCTGATAATAATCAGAGCCAGATTCCAACAGTGCCTATTGCTATAAGCATGGGACTGAGGTCACAACCTAACTTATGTGCTATGATCACTGAAGTTAATATGGTTGATGACAATATGAAGGATTGGTGGTATGATACAGGTGCCACCTCTCACATATGTATTGATAGAGATATGTTTTGTACTTATCAAAAATACAAAAGTGAGGAGCAGTTGCTAATGGGTAACACAAGCTCATCCAAAATCGAAGGTTATGGTAAAATTAAATTACACATGACTTCGGGATATGAGATAACTCTCAAAAATGTGAAACATGTGTTAGACATGCGAAAGAATTTAATTTCTGGCACACTTATGAGCAAGGCCGGATTTGTTGTATCTTTCGAATCTGACAAACTTGTACTCAAGAAACAAGGGGTGTACTTGGGTGAGGGGTTTGTTAAGGATGGACTAGTCAAAATGTGTGTAAAGACAGTCATCCAGAACAATGTTAAACCTCTTGTGTCAATCAATAAGAATAAAGAAGTTTCTTATTTGGTTGAGTCTTTTAACATTTGGCATGAACGGTTAGGGCATGTGAATTATAAATCTTTACAAAGATTGATTAATTTGAACCTAATTCCGAAATGTAAATCAATGAAAGACAAATGTGAAGTATGCGTACAGGCTAAACTCACAAAAACCCCGTCCCCTCGTGTTGAAAGAACAACTGAACCTCTCGGTTTAATTCACACTGATCTGTGTGATTTAAAATTTGTTCAAACTCGAGGTGGAAAAAAATATTTTGTGACTTTCATAGATGATTGTACAAAATATTGTTATGTCTATTTGCTAAGAAGCAAAGATGAAGCCTTGGAAAAGTTCAAGGAGTATAAAGTCGAGGTTGAAAATCAACTCGATAGAACTATAAAGATAGTTCGGAGTGATAGAGGAGGTGAATATGATGGACCTTTTGATGCGTTCTGTAAAGAACATGGCATTATTCATCAAACGACCGCCCCCTACTCACCTGAATCTAATGGAGTTGCGGAAAGGAAAAACCGAACTCTTAAAGAGATGATGAATGCGATGTTGCAGGAATCTGGGTTAGCCCAGAACATGTGGGGGGAAGCATTGCTTACCACAAACTATATCCTCAACAAAATACCGCACAAAGTCACTGGTAAAACACCATATGAACTTTGGAAAGGTACTGTACCTTCGTACAAATACCTGAAAGTGTGGGGGTGTATGGCAAAAGTAGTTGTGCCACCTCCCAAAAAGGTCACAATCGGACCAAAGACCGTTGATTGTATTTTCATCGGATATGCACGAAATAGTAGTGCTTATCGGTTTCTGGTTCATAAATCAGATATACCGGATATCCATGTAAATACAATAATGGAATCAAGGAATGCCTCTTTCTTTGAACACGTGTTTCCGTGTAAGGATAAACAAAATCCAAAACGGACTCGTGAAGAAAGAGACACAATAACTTCTGGAAATGAAGTGAGTACTTCTGGCATATCAATAGATGATGCAGAAGAAGGTGAAGATGAACCTAGACGCAGGAAAAGAGCTCGTAAGGAAAAATCTTATGGTGAAGATTTCTTAATGGTCTTTCTTTTAGAGAGTGAACCAAGAAATTTCACTGAAGCTATGTCTACACCAGACGCTCCTTTTTGGAAGGAAGCCGCCAATAGTGAAATCGATTCCATTATGCAACATCATACATGGTATATAACCGATTTACCAGAAGGGTTTAAAGCCCTAGGGTGTAGATGGATTTTCACAACTAAGTTGAAAACCGATGGTTTTATTAACAAGTACAAAGCTAGACTTGTGGTGCAAGGTTTCCGACAAAAAGAAGGTCTGGATTTCTTTGACACCTATTCTCCGGTAACGAGAATAACTTCAATCCGTATGCTGATAGGAATTGCAGCATTAAGGGATCTTGAAATCCATCAAATGGATGTGAAAACTGCTTTTCTACATGGTGATTTAGAAGAGGAGATTTATATGAAACAACCCGAAGGGTATGTTGTCCCGGGACAAGAACACAAAGTCTGTCGACTTGTGAAATCATTGTATGGACTAAAACAAGCTCCAAAACAATGGTATGAAAAATTTGACAATGCAATGATGTCAAATGGTTTCAGCATTAATGAATGTGATAAGTGCATATACATCAAAAGTACTCCTCATGGACAAACGGCTTAGGCCAGTTTCCGGTGGCGTTTCCGGGCAACTCGGTTGTCGGAATGACCGGATGTTGGAACCATTGGATTCCTTGTTTTGAGCACTATGAGATAGTGTATTCATATGTCAAAAACGGTATTCGTTTGAATGAGAAATGGAGGTTTAAAGTGGATTGCTTATAAGCTTAAAAATGTAACATTTGTAAAAATGTCCCACATTGAAAACATGAGATGATATTCTCTTGTATATATTATGGAAAATTAATAACAAAGTTTAAAAGCTTTGAATACACTTTAGTGTATTGGAGAAAAGAATTTGTGATTAAATTTGGTAAATAAATATATATATTATTTTATTTTTTGCCAAATTTATATTGACTTATTTTTAATTAAATTAGTCAACACAAATATCTTTGCCTCTTGATTTCCATAACTGAAAGAAATCTTTACGTTAGTGCTCAATTAGTTTTATTTTCAATTAGTGGTCAATGTTATTAATTGGATTAAAATTAAAAATGGAGTAGTAACGTGATTCTCTTCGTTGAGCATAAAGGCTCTAGTCTCCTCCTCTCATAACATACGAAACAGAAATCAAAAAGCAATCCTCCATTATTTTATTCTTCCTATTTTTTATTCTCTTTTGTTCTTGAGTTTTTCTTTTGTTCTTGAGTTTGAGAGTGCACACATAATCTAAGTTCGATAGACTTCTGATTGAGTGTAGCATATCAGAAGATTTTTGCAGTTGTATCTTGGGACTCTAATCATCATAAAACCGGCACACTACGGGGTGATTTTTGAGTTAAGGAGAAAGATAGTATCTTGCCTCTGCAAATCCTCACCAAATTCCTGTTCTTGGTAAAACTGTATTGTATTTTAATTTTGTATTCCTTCATAATACTTTACAATTTTCAGTCTTACTGTAGTTTATAAATTGCGGTTCTATCATGAAGAAGCACTTTTGGTACAGTATATATATATAAAACAATTCAAGGGTCAACTTCTACACCAAAATCGAACCAGACGAAGACAAAAGTAGAAGCTCACGTACAAGTGTTCGATATCAATAAGGTAAAGGTGACGCTGCAATAGTTCTTAAGCCTTTTGATTTTGAATTTGTCATTATGAGGGTAAGAGAAAAGGAATGGCCTCTAATTATCCGATAAAAAGGTGTAAAACTAATAGCACTTGAGTAGAAACATAATGTATAAGAGGTCACGAGCCAATTGAATATTTTATATATATAAGTAAAGTTAGGGTTTATTTTGCTGGTGTAATCATACGATCGATATGTTACAACTTTAAGACCATCATTACTCATGGCGTCTAAAGGTGTGATACCAATAAAAAGAGAGCAAACGTCAAGTGAGATTTTCGAGTATAATATTTACGTATGTGAGTTGTAAAAAATTAGGGAAAAAAAAAGGTACGCATTACGCATATATGCTTGCTATATCATGTTCACTTAGCGCATGCGCATGTGTTAGTGTTAATTTGAAATTCCGTCTAAAATATATGATTACCAAAACAAACCTATGAAAAAAACGTGGGTGGCTACCAAAATTAGAGCCATTGAAGGGAAAGCTTGATTATCCTTTTGTTGGCATTAAGCATTGACTCGATCGATAGTGAAATGTATATTTTTGTATAGATCATTCATTGATATTCATGCTGTCTGCAATAATGAAAAAGAATAAGTTGCCTTATGCATGGGTCACCGTCTAAATGATGCAATGGGTCTTTGTTGTTTTGCGACTCTTTGTTGTCTTATACTAAAACAGAAATCTTTCGCATTCATTCCTCTCTTCCTCACCCAAAGCAAACCCACGCATTCTTCAACTTCACTTTTGATTGAAGGAGATAAGACATACTCGTTGACCCTTTTCCACGTGTCAGTCCCACGGTAACTTGACCAAAAGCCACTCTTATCATCCACTGTTCGATAATCTATGAACTAGTTACTATACCGTATAAATTAAGACATGTTGGTAAGTATACACTCGAGAGTGGAGACTCCCTCGCTGTGATGGAATAGCAATGGATAAGAGGCTTGTAGGCCGATATTTTAGCAACAAATTGTTTAACAGGTTTCGCTTTAGTGGTGCCTTTTATTTTAAGACAAGGCCCATGACTCCATGAGACTTTGGTGTCACGCAATTGTGATTTTTTGGCTGTGGATTATTTAAAGTGTGACAGTTCTAGATTTTATAGTGGTAAGACTTTTCACGAAACACGTTTCTTCTATTGATTAGGCGACGGACCTTTAGCATCCTGGTGGAAGTTTGCTAAAATTAAATTAACTAATTGTCCTTTCCAGCTATAGAAGCAATGTTAGCATATTCAGAAGGCGATTATAGTAGAGATGACTCATCTGTCGCAATAACAATTTAAGTTTTCTTTATTTCCGGACACACAGAGCAAACACAAGTGATAAAATTTTACATGTTTTGGATTATAGCAACAGCTTAACTTATTCATCATCCATCATTAAAGAAACATTAATTTAGTACCCACGATGATGTAATTGGATCAATGTATGATTTTATGTTACGTAGGTGAACCTGACACGTTTCCTTTCTTGATGCATCGCCGATCATCGTTACAAAAGCACAGGCTTGCGTGGCACGACAAACGTTACTTTTAAAACATTTGAGTTCCAAATAATTTATTCTCCTTTAAAAAAAACTAAAGAAAACTGAGATTTCAACTCTAGAGGGGTCTAGAGTGTTCTGGGCCGTCGATAACAATGAGTACCCAGTCTCAACTACTGGTTTGAACGGTCCAGATTAATCTCCTTATCCAACACAATCATGTAGTTTCAGAATAACTTGGGGGGCAATTTCGTCAACTTGGATAACTTTTATACGTCTCGAACAAGCTACGCAACTCAAGTGTGAACACGATAAGACATCTTCAGATTCTGGTCGGTCACCCATATTCCAAAACTACCCCACTAGTTCATTTTTAATTTCAAAAATATCCCTCACAAATCCAATAAAAGTCAGTCATAGTGGTAGTTAAAAGGAGGGTGTTTCTGACATTCATTTGAAAGCTACGCGCGTCCAAGCCAAAAACACCACAAAGACGACACGTGTCATCCGTAAGTGCCCTGTTCTCGCCGTTTAATCCACACACTAACTTCGAAAACGCCAGACTTGACCGCCACGTGGCTTCCCGGTTTCCATCTGTAGCCACCCGTTACCGGTCACCCGCACCTGGATCGGATCGTATATATACACCAGAAGAAGCACACGCGTCTCAAATTTTTCGTCCGCGAAAAGAAAAAAAAAACAGCAAGCGACTTTGAAATTTCCATTCAAATCCATTCCAAGTGACACACGCAGCGAAATTCAGTGGAAGTTTTCGGGAGAAATTGAATTATTACGAATTTTGGGGTTTTTTGTTGGGATTGATGTGAAGAACAGAAATGGTGGCAGAAGCAGAGGTTATGTTTCGACAGAGTTTGCCGGTGGTTCTCGATGTCCAATTGTTCGGAGCACCAACCGGCGTTACAGATTTCGATGGCGTGAAATCGCCAGTTCCTTCCCCGAATCTGGGTTTACGTCGCCCGGCGGCCTCCGTCTCCGCCGACTTATCGACTTCTCTTTCGGTAAGTGTTTCCAATCAAAGTTAGTTTTTTTTTTATTGTCTGGTACTTGCGAGGACTTGAAGAGGTTTCGCTCTGGTAGAATTCCAATATTTGTAAATGATCTAATTACTTTGGATTCAGGGTTCTTAGATTCACTAAACAGTAAATACTCTGTTTGAATAGTTAGTTGGAATTAGAGTTTGAAAAATTCTTGTCTTTGTATGTGTGTGTCAATTTTAATTAATTTATGATTAGTGCTCAATTAGATCAAATATATTTGCTTTACAGGGTTTAAAATCATCTGATTCGTTTCCGGAGGAGGATGCTGAAGATTGTGGTTCTAGTGACTCGTTTTATGTTCCGGCTATCCGATCGGGGAGCTACGCTGATATTGGACCAAGGAGATTCATGGAAGACGAGCACATTTGCATAGACGATCTCTCTTCTCGAGTGAGGTCTCTTTATGAGTTGCCAAAGCCTAGTGCTTTCTATGCGGTACTGCAATTTACGTCTTGCATTTTGTGTCATATTGTTGATTAGAAGATCATATAGTCGATTTACTGTTTTGGTTTTGGGATCTTGTATATAGGTTTTTGATGGGCATGGAGGACCAGAAGCAGCAGCTTATGTAAGAAAAAACGCCATTAGGCTATTCTTCGACAAGTTTCCACAGACATCAGAAGTGAACAGTGTTTATGTAGAGGAAGTCAAGAGTTCCTTGAGGAACACGTTTCTTCAGGCTGATCTTGCTTTAGCTGAGGACTGCACCATCGGCTCTTCTACTGGTACCACTGCTCTTGCTGCCCTTATTTTTGGAAGGTATGTCTTAAAATGTCATGTAATTAGAAACTAAAGCTTCAATTTTGGTCTGAAAACTTATGTCCTACTTTTGTTATTTCCTTTTGCGCAGACATTTGATGGTGGCAAATGCGGGAGATTGCAGAGCCGTTCTGTGTAGGAACGGTGAAGCAATAGACATGTCTCAAGACCACAGACCGATCTACTTACCGGAGAGAAGAAGAGTGGAAGCATGCGGAGGTTTCATAGACGATGGTTATCTAAACGGCGTTTTATCAGTCACACGAGCTCTCGGTGATTGGGACATGAAACTACCACGGGGGTCACAATCACCACTCATCGCAGAGCCAGAGATCAAACAGATTGACTTGACTGAGGAAGACGAGTTTCTGATCATCGGATGCGATGGAATTTGGGATGTCTTGACGAGTCAAGAAGCCGTTAGTATTGTCCGACGTGGACTTCGCCGCCACGATGATCCGATGAGATGTGCTAGAGAGCTTGCGATGGAGGCTTTAAGGCTTAACACGTTTGATAACCTGACGGTTGTTGTCGTTAGTTTCTCGTCCGTTGGTGACACGGCGGCTGCGGCTCCGGTGGAGAAGCAACGGTGTTGTAGTTTGACGGCGGAGGCTTTTCTTAGCTTGAGGAGCTTATTGGAAGGCTGAATGAAACGGCACGTTTTATGGCCAAAATAGAGCAGATATAAAGATGACGAATAACATATATACTCATATAGTGTTCTCTATTATTTCTCGGCTGATTAGGTATGTGAAGCATGCGATAATTTTTGTTGTTTAATGTATATTTTGTTGTATTTGTATGTATGTAACTATATACGTGGTCGCATTTTTGTATACCGGTTATTTATTTCGTTTATATGTATGTGTTTTAGTCTCTACATCGATGTAAACCGTAAAAAAAAATGTGGAAGGAGCTTCTAGGCAAAAGCTAGATAGGCCATTTTCTGTCAACAACCGTATATATATGTAGGCAACTACAAATAGTAAATGTTTTAAACTAAGAAAAACATACTAGAATTTAACCAAAAAAAATATTATTATTTAAAATGAACAAGTGTAATAATTATTAGGGTGCATAATGTCAAAAAAATTCTTGAGCCATTAAAAAAGGGGAAACCCACATGGCACGATGGAGTTGACTTTTATACATACATATATTTATATATACATATGTGATATGTATAATAGTCCTCGTAACTCTATCCTTCAAAAACAAAGATCAACAATGTCTGCAAACAGGCAATTTCCTAATCTCTCATACCATTTCTGCTCAAATTTGTACGAATGTACGTAAATGTATGTATATCTAATGGTTTTATGATTCTTTGCAGACTGGAGGGTAAAATCGCAATTATAACAGGAGGAGCAAGCGGGATTGGGGCTGAGTCCGTCAGGTTATTTACGGAACACGGCGCTCGAGTCGTTATCGTTGACGTGCAAGACGAGCTCGGTCAAAACCTCGCCGTTTCGATCGGAGAAGACAAGGCGACTTACTATCACTGCGATGTGAGAAACGAGACGGAAGTAGAGAACACTGTTAGATTTACCGTCGAAAAACATGGAAAGCTTGACGTTCTGTTTAGTAACGCCGGCGTTATAGAGCCGTATGTGAGCATCCTCGACTTAAACCTCGACGAGTTAGACCGAACGGTCGCCGTTAACCTCCGCGGCGCAGCCGCTTTCATCAAACACGCTGCACGTGCCATGGTTGAGAAAGGCACGCGTGGCTCCATCGTTTGCACAACCAGCGTTGCCGCTGAGATCGCTGGGACCGCACCACACGGGTAAACAAAATTTTAACAAAATAAATCTAGCAATATATATAAGATTATGAAAATAAAATTAAGAGAATATTGAATTTGCTATTTAAATGTGAGATTATAAAGGTACACGGCGTCAAAGCATGGGCTAGTGGGATTGATCAAATCAGCTTCGGGTGGATTAGGGAAATACGGGATAAGAGTGAACGGCGTTGCTCCGTTTGGGGTGGCGACACCGTTAGTTTGTAATGGTTTCAAGATGGAGCCAAACGTGGTGGAGGAGAACACGTCAGCGTCGGCGAATCTAAAGGGTATTGTGCTGAAAGCTCGCCATGTGGCAGAAGCAGCTCTGTTTTTAGCATCGGATGAGTCGGCTTACGTTAGCGGACAGAACCTGGCCGTTGACGGCGGTTACACGGTGGTTAAGCCTTAGCTACAACTTGGCCACAAAGATCCCATGATGTTTTTTTTTTTAATGAAAATTATACTTTTTTAAATCATGGAGTCAACAGTTGACTCGGAGATATGGGGATTGAGAATATTGACATCTATGATCCAACAAATTTGCACATCTCGAGGATATTGAAAACTAAACAACTAACATAATAATAATACAAGCTTGTTTGATCAGGTGCGGCTAATTGAGCCTTCGTATTCGACTTTTAATGCTCTTTTTCATGAAATGATAATATATAATATGAATAGAACATGGCATCGTAACACTCCATCAAGAGCGTGTATATATATTCTCAGCCTCGATATGTTGTTTCTTTGTGTCTTCTCCTTTGAAAAATCAATTCAATAATGGCGGGACTCAGGTAAGTGCTCCAAAGCATTATTAGTAATATATGTTTACACTGATAAGATTAAGAACATTACGTTTTACGTATTATAAACTACTCGTCTGGACTATATAATATACATCAGATTGGATGGCAAAATCGCGATTATAACAGGCGGAGCCAGTGGGATAGGAGCCGAAGCCGCTAGGCTGTTCACGGAACAAGGAGCTAAGGTGGTCATCGTTGACTTACAAGAAGAGCTTGGTCAACAAGTCACCGTTTCAATCGGGCATGACAAAGCAAGTTTTTACCGCTGCGATGTTACAAACGAGACGGAGGTGGAGAAAGCCGTTAAGTTTACCGTCGAAAAACACGGAAAGCTAGACGTTCTGTTTAGTAACGCCGGCGTAATGGAACAGCCGGGGAGCTTCCTCGACTTGAACCTCAAACAGTTTGACCGAACAATGGCGGTCAACGTTCGCGGTGCAGCTGCGTTTATCAAACACGCGGCACGAGCCATGGTGGAGAAAGGCACGCGTGGGTCAATCGTTTGTACGACGAGCGTGGCGGCGGAGATAGGCGGTCCGGGACCTCACGCTTACACGGCGTCCAAACACGCGCTTCTCGGGCTGGTTAGATCAGCGTGCGGTGGGCTGGGGAAGTACGGGATTAGAGTCAACGGCGTTGCACCGTACGTTGTGGCGACGGGGATCAATAGTCCTGACGAGGAAACGGCGAGGATGGTGGAGGGATACGGCGTGGCCACCGGGATTCTCAAGGGTGTGGTGCTCAAGGCTCGCCACGTGGCTCAAACGGCTTTGTTTTTGGCTTCGGATGATTCTGCTTACGTTAGCGGCCAGAATCTGGCGGTTGACGGTGGTCACACCGTCGTTAAGCCCGTGTGAAGAAGTTATCAAATGTGGTGTGCCATAGAGTCTTTTGCGTTACTATTAACTAATTAATGAATAAATTCCATATTATTGTATTCCATGAGGAGTTGAGGACTATGACGACTATTCCACATTGATTAGTCATCGGCTTCTTACTATAAGTTAGTGATCGATTATATACGTAAGCACTTACGTATGTTAAGTATACTGTAGAAAGTTTGAGGAAATAAAAGGGTAACATAATTATAAATTTTATAATTTTGGCTCTTATTCCATTTTCACTGACCGCGTGTGTGGAGTCGTGAAAAGACATGTGCAGAAAAAGCTATAAACAGCAATTTGTGGTCCATGTGGAAGGATCCAAGGACTCGTGTGCTTATAGTTTATACTATGAGATTACCTTGTTTGCTATTTAGTGATTTAAGCTTACCTTATTTCGACGTTAAACACGATTAGTTCGAAAAACATGGCACTTTGGGATGTTACTGTGTTAAGGGTGTGCAAATAGTTGTCGAACTAGATTTGTTTACGTTGAATACAACCGAATAAAGCATTTTTTTAAACAAGTTATTATCTTCTCCTAAAAATTTCTTATTCCATTATTTCAGACATTAGATGTGTAGTAAAGTACTCTGATAGAGTTCAATACAAATTAAAGATAAAAGTGGGGGGAACGGAAACTATCCCAAAATAGTTTCCTATATACCCTATATGCAAACTATCCCAAAATAAAATTCTATAAAAGTAATTAACCGCGAAATGCAACTTTTGGTTATAAGCGAGTCTTTAAAACATATATATTGACTCGTCTGTGACATTATATATATATCCATGTCCATGTGACCTTTGCAATCCTAACAATGTCGGGACCAAGGTAAAGGCGTCATCTCTCACTATTCAGTTGTGGTTATTTACATAAAAATGTTGTAGTTAAATCATTTTCTCGTCTAATATAATGTCTATATACACGAAGAAGATTAGATGGTAAAATCGTAATTATAACCGGCGGAGCAAGTGGGATTGGAGCCGAATCCGCTAGGCTGTTCGCTGACCACGGAGCTAAGGTCGTGATAGTCGACGTGCAAGAAGAGCTAGGCCAAAACGTTGCCGTTTCTATCGGGGAAGACAAAGCCAGTTTCTACTGTTGCGATATAACAAAGGAGACGGAAGTGGAGAACGCCGTTAAGTTCACGGTTGAAAAGCACGGAAAGCTCGACGTTCTGTTCAGCAACGCCGGCGTCCTGGATCCTCCGGGAAGCATCCTCGACTTGGATCTCGAACGGTTTGACCGGATAATGGCGGTTAACGTCCGCGGCGCGGCTGCGTTTATCAAACACGCGGCACGCGCTATGGTGGAGAAAGGCACGCGTGGGTCAATCGTATGCACGACCAGCGTCCTGTCGGAGATCGGTAGTCGTCGGGGACGTCAGGGATACACGGTGTCAAAACACGGGCTTCTCGGGCTGATTAGGTCGGCCTCCGGAGGGCTTGGGAAGTACGGGATAAGAGTAAACGGCGTAGCACCGTACGCGCTGGCGACGCCGATGACTAGTTACGACGAGGAAACGGCGAAGCGGGTGGAGGAAGAGTTTGGCGCCAGGGGGATTCTCAAAGGTGTGGTGCTTAAAGCTCACCACGTGGCACAAGCGGCTCTGTTTTTGGCTTCTGATGACTCGGTTTGTATCAGTGGTCAGAATTTGGCGGTGGATGGTGGTTATACTGTTGTCAAATGTTAAGCCAATGTGATCAAAATAAAACCCAAAATAAAAACGTAAAATTTAACTAAAAAATATGAAATCGTTTAAGTAATTACCAATTCTTAAATTTTCAAAAGTTTATGAATATGTTGCAACTTTCTCTCTTTCGATTAACGAGCATCGAGCATTTTCTTTCACATCGAAAATGTAGTCTAGAGGAACATACAAACAAAATATACATATTACAAATACATACACAGGCATATTATTATTCAATCATTATTCAACCATTAAAGCCCAATACTCTAATAATCTTTCACAATTTGTAAAATGTTGTTTAATACAACGGTAACATTTCAAAAATTAGCCGTTACGAACAAATCTCTTCTTTTTAAATTAGCCGTTACGAACAAATCCCTTTAAATTATATTGATTTTCACATTAGTAAATTTCTTCATCACTTAAAAGTTTATTCTTGGTAACCATGAGAGCCATGTCGGAATAAGAAACTTCCAGCTTTATCCTAAACCGATTGATGAGTGGAATAACTAATCTTTTTCAGACATTCTTTTCACTCCAACTAATCTTATTGTTTGTGGTTTTGCAGGATCAGACAGAGTTTAGGGAACTGAGAGAAACTCAAAATGAGGTACCTGAAACATCTTTCCTCTACTCTTCTCCCAATTGTTCATATACATCTTTAATTGAGTATGCATTTACCTGTAATTATCGTACTGCTCATTGAAGTATACAAGTTGATATTGCTTACTTCACATATGGCTTTATTGAGTACCGGTTGTACATTGCTAATTTTCTTGTTATTAATCTAGTTTGGTTTAAATGGGATTGAGGTTAATACACTAAGCTTAAGAGTAGAAACATAACTTTGTGGAGACATTACACAACAGAGCTTTAGTATTATTCTTTTGAAACATGTGGTTTTTTCTTTCACAACTCTTCGTTGATGTGTTTTCTTCTGAAATTGTTAATTGACTTGGGCTTAATCTTTCTACTCAATGAAGTTTCTTGCTCTGATGTTGTCGACTTGCGTAAATTGTGTGTGGAAGTTTATTCACAACTCTTAAATTTTTGAATTTTGTCTCTCCGATTTTGGCGCAGGTTTGTGAACATATTTGGGTGCTACATTCACAACTCTGAAAATAAACGAAACAAGGTTTCTTATCATTTCATTAGTTAGGAATGGAACAAGCTTAATTTCTCGTTCAAATTTATAATTAGATTAACGATTAAATCTTTATTTTTGTTTACTTAATAAATATAAGTTTGACGATCATATAGATCATTAATCTTGCAATATTTATGTTATCAACACTCCCACCAATCAACTCAGTACAGTAAGGATTAAAGCCAAGTGTTAGGGACAAGGAAAATATGTTTAGGGCTTAGGAATAAGGGTTTAGGGTTTAAGGGGACATAGGGTTAGGGTTTAGGAGGACATAGGGTTTAGGGTTAAGGTTTAGGGCTTAGGGGGATGTAGGGTTTAGGGGTAGGGTGTAGGGCTAAGTTTTAGGGTTAGGGTTAGGTAGTAGGGTTAGGGTTTAGGGCTAGGGCTACAACATAGGGTTTAACCCTAAGCCCTAACCCTAAACCCTAGCCCTAAACCCTAAACCCTGGCCCTAAACCCTAAACCCTGGCCCTAACCCTAAACCCTAGCCCTAAACCCTTCCCCTACCCTAACTCTAGCCCTAAAACCTAACCCTACACGTAAACCCTAATCCTAAACCCTAGCCCAACCCTAGCCCTAGCCCTAAACCCTACCCATAAACCCTAAACCCTAGCCCTAAAACCTAACCCCTGGCCCTAACCCTAAAACCTAACCCTCCCTAACCCTATGGCCCTAACCCTAAAACCTAACCCTCCCTAACCCTAAACCCTAGCTCTAAAACCTAACCCTACACCCTACCCATAAACCCTAAACGCTCACGAAACCCTACATCTTAACAACCCAAACCCTACATCCTAATAACTTTATGCCCTAACCCGGATTCGTCTCGTGCGTAACCCATAGCCCTAACACCTTGTAATCATATATGCCGTTGACGTACGTCATAATCTTTATGTCCTAACAATACATATAAAGCCTACGTTTTGACTTTATTGGCTTGTAGAAGACTCTCAAGTGCATTGTTCTTTGATTTGATATCGTGCCAAAAGCTATTTGAGTTGAGTTTTTGTTAAACTATGTGGACCTCATAAAGATGTTTCAAGGAAAAAAAAAATTAAAAGCACAATTGGAACCAAATATAAAATTGTTTCTAAGCAACAATCATGGAAGAAGTTATAAGGATTGTTTTTGAAGGAGACAACAAAACTGTATGGAAGCTAATAAGTGGCAAAGCTCGGCATTTTCTGTGAAGTTGTTTCTATGCAACAGCCAAGCTAAAGATTTGTTTAACTAAAACCCTCTTTTAAACTTCTTGTCTCTTTTGTTGGAAGTTAAGGCAAAACTGGAGCAACTAAGACTGTGTATTCTCCTTTTGATCAGCTTGAAGTTCAAGAAGGTGTCTGTCAAATTAAACTCTGTCTATTAGATACTAATAGTTTCTGTATATACATATTTCTATGTTTAAAAGAAATAAAAACCAACGTTTGAATAATAATATATCTAGGATTGTTTCATTGAACACAAACAAACGACAGGATAGTCTTATGACAGAGATTATTTGAGTTTAGTTTTAAGGTCCGGACACAAAAGCAGACAATCATAAGTAGTAATAAAAAAAGAAAACAAAGAGGAGAGGTTGCGTTGCATTGCATAGCATCACAAGCTTAAAGCCTTAAAGAGCTGCTTGGGCCACCTTCTTCTGCGTCATCATCTTCTGCTGCTTGGGCCATCTTCTTCTTCCTCCAGCCCTCAATCAACTGCTCCTTCCAGTTAGGGTTGGCAAGACGCTCTGAAATAAACAAAGAATTAAACTGACGAAGTGTAACTTTGTTAGCAAGAATGAAGAAGACGATGATTAGGTACCTGAGAGAGGAAGTAAGCCATAGAAAGGAAGCTCGCCATCGAGTGTAGCCCATGGCGGGGAATCTCCCATGTTGTCCTTCTCCTTTGCGCCTTTTCCATAAACGTCAGCATAGACGAATCTGTCGCCAAAAAAAAGGGGGTTAAATATAGCATTTAAGGGAAAAGCAAAAATTGTCACACAAAATGGAGGAATTAGCCACAAACTTGATGGTGGTATCAATGCGTCTTTTTTTTTTTTTTTTTTGGTAATCTCAATGCGTCTTTTCTTGGGTACGAAAACCACTTTCGTGACCTCTACACATGAAGAGAAATGTTTACTCAACGCGCTCTTGATAAGCTTACTAGGAAGCGAAGTGTCATATCCCGTAACAGCCACCACTTCGTCCCTGCATGCATATGCCAATAAGTTTATGCATATCATCAAAAGTTACATCAAAGATACAAAATTAATCTGCCAAAACAATTGTTTACCTGCGTATTCGACTGGTTCCTGTAGGAGGGGTAAACCATAGCGTATTAACAACTAGTTTGTGCCCATCCATCTCACTTCCACTGAGCTTCAGCGCCTTCTCTACCGCGCCCTCTCCCCGAATATATACGTAAGCACGTCTGTGACAAAAACAAGCTTTTACCACTAAGCAAAACACGTTGAGCCATTAAGGTCAAAAACGAGCACACAAACCAAATCAACAACAAAACGGAAAATCGATTTACCGGACTCGTCGTTCTTTCCACTCAGAGAAAGATTTACGCTTCAATTGCATCCCCTAAGGTAAGTAGTACACAAAACAAAATATAATTAGAAGGAGGAGATTAAATTAATCATTTACTACTTAAACATTAATTGTTCTAGGTTAAAAAGAGAGTAACAAGCAGCGTGTGAGTATCCTAAGAAGAAGAACAAATAAGGAGAAGAAGATTACTTCGACGGCGGCGGACTCGTCCATTGATAGAGCGAAGACGGCTAGGTTTTCTTCGAAATGTTATTTTCCAGATTTAGGAATCCGGGCGGGGAAGAAAGGAATACGACGATCGACGATATATATATATAAGCAAATGATTTGAATTACCTTTGTAACGAAAGATTAATCCAAATCGTTTGCTTATGTGGAAACGTATTTTCCTTTGTAAGTTTAGCATGATTTTTGGGCATATGAATTGAATAAGCCCAAATACGCACGAAACTCAAATCCAGCAGCTAAGCTGAGCATATTTTGACTCGACAAAAAATGTATGCACTCTATATAGTAGAACCTCTCTATAAAGTAATACTCGATAAAGTAATAATCACTATAAGATAATAAATTTTTCCGGTCCCAACTCGGGCCAGTGTAAAAATAAGCAAAATGCGATAAGATGATAAGATAATAATATTTTTGAAACTTCTATGTAAAAATATGGTCCCAATTATAAGTTAAAGTAATAAATATATAAACTATACATTATATATACCTAAAAATTATTAAACTATGAATTTAAGTTTATCTCTAACATTTTATTATATAAAAACTCATAATGCAATTTTTCTGTGCATGTAAAACTGTTAAACATATTCTAAACACATTATTTTCAACTTCATTAGTAGCTATAAGTTTTTTCTAAACTTTTAAATTTTATTATGTATAAAATTTTATATAAATAAATATTTATAGAAGCTAATAATATATATTTTATTACGATATCCAAAAGATTTGATCGTAATTTCAAGTTTATGTCATATTAATTATTTTAAATTAATACATATCGAGAATAATTTTCGAAGATTATAAATTAAAAAATTCTAAATATTGAATTTATTCATAAAGTAATACTCTATAAGATAATAAATTTTCAAAGTCCCAACATTATTACTTTATAGAGGTTTTACCGTATTGGTTTTAGTATGCACTCTATATTTGATCTAATTGTCAATATACACACGAGTACCAAACGGTCAAAACAGATGCTGGTCGTCTAGTAACACTCTAGTTCAATTTATTAAACAATGAAACCAGACCAATCAACTAAGAAAAATTTCATAATCAGTAAAACTGATGGGATTGATTGTTTATTGGTATGGCTTCATCTGTTTCGGTATTGTCTTGTCTGCAATGGTTGTGTCCTTGTGGTTTCTATTGCGCAGAGAAAGAGGCAGCATAGACATTGAATATACTACGGCGTACAATAGCTTGTTACTCTCTAGATCAGAGACCCTTGGTCCGGCTCGGTTATGGACCAGCTGCTGGAGAAGGTTACATCCTGGCTGGCTTCTCTTCACTCGTTCCATCTCTTTTCTATGCATGGCTGCTTTGTTGGCTTGGGACGTCTTGACGTGGGATGCAAGCATCTTCGTCTATTACACGGAGTGAGCTTTCTTCTTCACTGTTTTAACCTAAATCCGACCATTTTTTTCATATGTTGACTTATGTTACTTTGGGGTTTTGTACCAGATGGACCTTCATGCTAGTGATGATCTACTTTGCGGTATGTCAATGTCAAAGCAGTTAAAACTTTTGGAACATGAGTGTTAAATCTGGATTTCATTTATGGTCATCAGTTTTTGTTTCTATAGATGGGGATTGTAGCTTCGGTATATGGATGCTGGGAATACTCCATGGAGTCAAATTTGGAAACTTGTGAGTCTGAGGCTAGAGACAAGAACAGAGATGAATTCAGGCAACGATTTAGGGTTTATGGTTGTTTCATGTTGACAATTTTCCAGGTTAGTGTAAACACAGAGAATCCAAAACGTTTGCTGTAAAAAGTTTAAAATCATTCAGACACTAATTATGGTGTATGGTTTGTGTCGCAGACAAGCGCAGGGGCTGTGGTGCTCACGGACGTTGTGTTCTGGCTCGTAATAGTTCCTTTTCTATCGAATAGCCACCTCGGATTAAACACGGTACTAAGAACATTTCAGCTAATATCTTTGTAAACAAAATATGGACTTATCCACAACAAATTATGATAGAACGAGCAGTTGATGATTTGCATGCACACGGCGAATGGAGGGTTTCTCCTGCTCGAAACAGTCCTCAATAGCCTTGTAAGCAAGTAAAACTAATCAGAAAACAGACGTTAATTACGAAAGAGACTAATACATATATGGTTCTCTTCTTGTTTCAGTCGTTCCCTTGGTTTCGAATAGGATATTTTGTTCTGTGGACTTGTCTCTACGTTGTCTTCCAATGGATCATTCACGCTTGTGGCTTATTAACTTGGTAAACACTAAAGACATGAACTACACACGATCAATCTAATTCTAATCGAAGCAAGTAAATAAATATTTATATATTGTTACAAATATGTTCTCAAGGTGGCCATATCCGTTTCTAGAGCTCGATAAGCCATGTGCTCCACTATGGTATGTATCCCCTGTACCCTCTTCATATTCAACAGTTTCTGATTTGTCTTACTAATGACACAACACAACACAACACATTCTCAGGTACTTAGGCATTGCAATTGTTCATATCCCTTGCTATGGAGCTTATGCTGCGATTGTAAAAGCCAAGAACTCATGCTTTCCCAATCTATTCCCATATGCTTTTTGTCAAACACTAATCAAAAATTCAAACATGGAAGTCTCTGTAACATGAATATCTGGTTCTGTAATATATAAATGATGCAATCAAATGACAAACTATATTTGCATACGAATCAATCAACACGATTTTATATAAGTTCATAAAGTTATTTAAACAAAACGGGGATGTAGCTCAAATGGTAGAGCGCTCGCTTTGCATGCGAGAGGCACGGGGTTCGATCCCCCGCATCTCCATCTCTTTTTATCATACCTTTCATTTTGCTAATTACAGGCCCATACCACAATCTGCTACAACGTAAGCCCATTTGATCTTTTTTGGCCATTTCGTCAGCGAAAGGGGGTAATTAGGTAATTTAACAAGCGAAGTCCAAAAACCCTAGCCTCTTCCTCACAATATAGAGAAGCACATCACTTCTCTTCAGCCGTTCGCTAACCGAAAAGCAAAGATGCAGATCTTCGTGAAAACCCTAACGGGGAAGACAATCACTCTCGAGGTCGAGTCCTCCGACACGATCGACAATGTCAAGGCCAAGATCCAGGACAAGGAAGGCATCCCTCCGGACCAGCAGCGGTTGATCTTCGCCGGGAAGCAGCTCGAGGACGGACGCACCCTCGCCGACTACAACATCCAGAAGGAGTCGACGCTTCACCTCGTCCTCCGTCTACGTGGTGGTGCCAAGAAGAGGAAGAAGAAGACCTACACCAAGCCGAAGAAGATCAAGCACAAGCACAAGAAGGTCAAGCTCGCCATCCTCCAGTTCTACAAGGTCGAAGGCTCCGGCAAGGTCCAGCGTCTCAGGAAGGAGTGCCCTAACGCCACCTGTGGTGCCGGTACCTTCATGGCCAGCCATTTCGATCGTCACTACTGTGGTAAGTGTGGTCTCACCTACGTTTACCAGAAGGAAGGAGTCGAAGCTTGATCTCGCTTTTCGTTAGATCTCTCTATCTTTGATATGCTGCTTTTTTAATTTTGGGAATTTTGGTACCGTCTTTTTTTTGCTTTTATGGATATTTATTATGTTGAACATCTTTGGTTCTGGAATTTGCATTTGGAACCTGAATTTCTAGGTTTATCTTATGGATAATTTGCTTTGGTTCTTCGTTTATGCTTCATCATTTGATAATTCGTCACAATCATTGCCAGGAACTTGTATAATCATCGGCTGAAATACTGTGATTAGCGTTTAATCAACACTAGAAGTTGTGTTTTCAATTGGAAATTCAAATTAAAATGCACAAACAATTTCACGCAGAATCATTTGATATCATTTATGCTTTATAATGTTGATAAAACAAAATGTTTATCAAATTCTTATTCGGTAATTGCTAATTTGGACATTAAGCTTGATATAGTCGATGGGAGAATAAGTAACAACATTGAATAAAAAATATCAGTTTCTTCAGATCGTTTTCAATTTGTATGCGGAAGTTGTAAAACATATTCATACCAAATCCTGATAACAACAAATTTTAGGAAAACAAATGGCTCATTAGTTCTTATCATCTTCAATTCCTTGATATGACCAAATGTCTCATGCTTCGTATTTGTATCTTCGTCAATACCTTTGATCAAATCGTCTTCAAGTTGTCATCATAGAGTAATACAAACTCAAAACAGAGAAGACCTTTTTTTTCACAAAAACCTGTTTGAAATTGCCTGATGACAACTTTGTAGAAGAAACCGATAATGACATAGTGTCAAGAGCTTAGATTGATGAAACGAGTTTAAGTTTATAAAAGCAGTGATATCAAAGAAGCAGAGGGCATGACAATACGAGAAGATTTCATTCAACACAAACGAGGCAGCGATGTAAAGCTTCCAAAGTTAACTATTGGGCCTAAAACGTGGGCCCATTACTATTTATAATGAAAAAGTAATAAAAAAAGATGGAGATGCGGGGGATCGAACCCCGTGCCTCTCGCATGCAAAGCGAGCGCTCTACCATTTGAGCTACATCCCCATTTTGTTTATTTTTTATGACCTTTAAATATATATAAAAAATTGTTATTCATTTTCCGCTGTCAGAGTCTCGGAACATTTGCCTATTTCGCCATACCTTTCTCACTTGTGTGTATAATCTGTGTGGGTCTTCCTTCTTCCTTGTGTTGTTGCGTCAACGGAGTTTCTCGTTTGAGTGTGAAACACAGGAGAGATTGATCAAAATGGAGGATTGTTGCGCCGTTTGCGCGGAGAATCTGGAATGGGTCGCTTACGGATCTTGTGGTCACCGCGAGGTTTGCTCTACATGCGTCGTTCGTCTCCGCTTCATACTCGGCGATCGCCGCTGCTGTATCTGCAAAACCGAATGTCCCTTCGTCTTCGTCACAAAGGTTCGACCTTTTCTCTCCTTTACTTTGTTGTGGCTTAGATAACGAGAAATGATTGCTCAGATAGTGTGAGAAACTGAGACCAAAAACTTGTAAATCTGCTTGAAATTGCTCTAATCTCGGGCTTACATTATCTGCTATACAGGCTTTAGGTAATCACACAAAGACGATTACTGATTTCTCGAACTTCCCATCAGAGCCAAGTGAAGGACGAGTAGGATCTCTCTGGTATCATGAAGAGACCAATGTTTTCTTTGATGACTCAAACCAGTACACAAGGGTTAAGGCAATGTGTAGACTCTCTTGCACTTGCTGTGACAAGACGAAGAAGAGCAAATCTAAGTCTAACCATCGTTTGCCGTTTAAGAGCGTTCAACATTTGAAGGATCATCTAAGCCATCAGCACAAATTGCATATGTGCAGTTTGTGCCTTGTAGGTCGTAAGGTCAGGATCTGAAAATTTACCCTCTTTGGTCTAAGATTTTCTGCTAATGATGAACAAGCTCATGCTTTTGTTTTGTTATGGAAGGTGTTCATTTGTGAGCAAAAGCTGTTTACTAAGGCACAGCTGAATCAACATATAAGTAGCGGTGACTCGGAAGTTGATGGAAGTGAGAGTGAAAGAGGAGGTTTCACTGGTCATCCCAAGTGTGAATTCTGCAAGAGTCCATTTTATGGTGATAATGAGCTTTACACTCATATGTCTAGAGAGCACTACACTTGTCATATCTGCCAAAGGTAAATGAAAAGACTGTCATGTGTTTATGAAAAAGTTGCAATCTTGATTGACCTCGAAATGATTTCAATTGCTTCCGTTTCGCAATTGCAGGCTGAAGCCAGGACAGTATGAGTATTATGGAAACTATGATGATTTGGAGGTGTGAATGTAATCTTACGGTGGCTGCATTGTGTTCTGACTCTTTAACTGTGAATGCCTCTCACTTGTTTTCTGCAACAGGTTCATTTCCGTAGTGACCATTTTCTATGTGAAGACGAGTCTTGCCTTGCTAAGAAGTTCATCGTTTTCCAAATCGAATCTGAGTTGAAAGTAAACACTTTTGCTTTTGTATTTTAAAATTTCCCATTTTTTGTTGACACACATTGATGTTTAAAGGATCACTTGCATTTGTATTCAGAAGCATAACTCTGTTGAGCATGGAGGTAGGATGTCTCGGTCTCAGCAAAGCGCTTCTCTACAGGCATGTATTTTCTTTTGAGAGTATCGCTCTTGCTTCTTCATCTTTGCTTGCCTATGGTTTAATATTCAGTTTTGTTTCAGATACAAGCTGGCTTCCAATACCCGAACACTCGCCGTGGAAGAGGAGGAGCATCTCGTCTTGAAGTTCTGGAATCTCAAACATCTTATGCCATTACCGACGGTTATCCTCTTCTCCAACCTGTGAGGAGCTCTGGAGGTTCACGTCTGGGAGAATCTTCTTTCCCTCCACTCTCCGTGCAAGCAAACCGTGGCATGCCGAGACATCAAACGAGTAGAAGTGCAAGTGTTGGTTCTTCTCAAGCCTGGCCAGCATTAAACCGAGCCCCGACACAAGCATCTACTGCAAGCAGCGTACAATCTTATAGTGCTTCTGCTCAGTCTCAATCTAGGCACCATGCCAGAGTTGAAACTACTAGAGCTCTTGCTTCTGCAGTTCCACAGGATGCTCGTAATGAACATACCTCAGTTGGTGGATGTTCATCTGGTTCTTCACTGAATGCGAAGAAGAATCATCAGTCATCTTCAACCCCTAAAATGTCTGATACAAGATCACTTGAGCAGCCTTCTCATTCTGCTTCTCCTCCAGCTTCTTCTGTGAAAAATTCCAGGTCAGCATCATCCACCAATGTTCAAGAACCACGAGATGTTTCTGATGTACAGTCTGCGAACAAGAGCTTGGTTGAAAAAATACGTGCCAGCCTCAACCACGATGAAGAGATATTCATGGCCTTCAAGGATACGTCAGTGAAGTATCGTCATGGTTCGATCGATGCAAGAACTTACTTAGAGTATGTGAAAGGCTACGGTTTGTCTCACTTAGTTCTTGATATGGCCAAGCTATGCCCTGACCCTAAGAAACAGAAGGAGCTCACTGATACCCACAATGCTTCCTTGAGAAGAGGAAATGATACAGTGGAGAGTTGCGGTTTGAAGAAGAACAAAGGGAAAGCTGTGAAGGTTGAAAGTAGCAGTGTCTCCATGGGAGATAAGTTGCAGTCCTCTGACAAAGGCAAAGGCAAAGCAAAAGTGACAACGTTGGTGGATTCTTCATCTGCAGGCAACACGGGGAAGCAATGTAAGAAAACTTCAAAGTTTCACAGAGCACGTCTAGGCGAGAAATCAGTGGCTGCAGTACTAAATCTCAGGAATTCGAACCCAGAGCCAGAACCAGAATCGAAGAAAGATAGTAACTCCAAAAGTAGCCAGAACTCAACCGGTGGATTGCCACTTCGTGGTGCTTGGAGGAGAGGAAGCGCCAAACTCTTCTCCTAGTACAAGTTGAATGATGATGACGACAAAGAGTAGAAAGATTTTGCACAGGTGGAACAAAGTCTGAGGGATCAGTCATATAAGCTTCACTTATTAGTGTTTTTGTGCGTCTTTAATGTAGTGACAAAGCTTTATATATAAACATCGTTTTGGTTCAACCAAAGGTTTTTTCACAGCTAACCACATCTTTATGATTGTGGTTATAACTTACTGTGATTAGAATGATATTAAGGTGTAACATTTCTTTACGAGTTCTTCATTTGAGAAAAAAATCATGAGCTTAGTATGTATTACAAACAAAGAGTAGGAAAGGACATGGAAGTTTCTTGGTTTCTTCCTGTTGACATTTTCAAATCGAAAGAAATGAAAAAGAAAAATCAAATAGATATTTTGCATGAATCAGAGAAGAGCCACCACAAGAGAAAACACACAAGTTTCTTCTTTTCTCGTCTTCATTTAATTTTAAAACGCTAGAAAATTATAGTAACGACAAGATTGAAGTCTCTGTTCTGTTCCAACGCTTTGAAGATCTTATCTCACTCAATTTCATTTCTATGGCGGAGGATGATATAGTGAAGGACATCCTTACCTCCGCGATTAATCTTGCGGTTCAAGTTATCGAAGCCTCAAATGAAACCATCTTCTTCAAGAAGGAGTGCGACGAGGTCAAGAACAAGGTACAAAAGCTCTTAGAGTTGCTGGAGAAAGCCTTAATCGCCAGCTCGAGTCTCTGCGAATTCCCGACCCGTCACGTCATCTCAATCGCCGAGGCTATGCGTCGCAAGTCTCTCTCTCTGTTCTACAAGGGCATCCCCAGAGTAACTAATCGCTTCATTACAATCATCCACGTTTCCACTTACCAAAAGATGCTGGTAGGGCTCGAAAGATCGATCAATGACGTCTCGTGGCTCCTTAACGTCTCCGTTCCTTCCAACGATGGTGAACAAGAAGAGTTGTTTGGTCTCCCACCTTTCGCCATGAACGACCCAACTCTGTCCATGATCTATGAACTTATGGCGATTCTCTACAGGGGAACACTTGATGAAGACTCCTGTGAAGCAGCTAGGTCGCTGAGATCGATGGCCAGTGACAACCCTAGATGCGCAGAGATCATGATCCGTAATGGATTGTGTTCCGTATTTGCTAAGATCCTCAGACAAGGGTCGATGAGAGCTCAAGCAGAGGTGGCTTGTACTACGTCAGTTTTGGTCGCGAGCTTCCCTGAGAGCCAAGACTTGTTCGCACAACACGACGTGATCCAGCTCCTGTTAAGCCACTTGGTGACTCCAGAGGTCGAAGATTCCTTGCAGATGAAGGCAATGGCAGCAAAAGCTTTAAGGGAGCTAGCCAAAGGAAATTCATCTATCTGCAAAAGCATCACCGATTCAAAAAGATTCTTGCGTTTCGCAAATTTGCTTGAGACGCAAGACAAACAAGTTAGATACAACTCCTTGATGGTCTTAACAGAGATCACTGCTGTGGCAGAGCAAGATTCTGACTTGAGACGCTCATCGGCTTTCAAGTGCAAATCTCCAGTTTTCAAGGCCATTGTTCATCAAATCCATAAGCTCACCGGAGAAAATGGAGACACTGTTCTACTTATACCATGCATCACACTAATAGGGAACCTTGCACGAGCATTTAGAGCCTCTGATACATCAATGATCGAGCAGTTGGTGAAACTTCTCGGCCATCAAGATCCAAAGGTATCAAGAGAAGCAATTGTAGCACTCACTAAATTCGCTAGGCCGAGTAACTACTTGCACAATGATCATTCAAGAGCAATAGTAGAAGCTGGAGCTGCAAGGAGACTTATCGAGCTATCTTCTTTAGGTTGCGAGATTCGGATCCCAGCTTTAGAGCTTCTTATATGCATTGCAGCTCATGTACCAGAGAAGGAAGAGGTCGTCAAAGTATTGGAATGTGCATCGAACCAACCATTGACCAATTCACAAATGTGCTAACTTGTCAAGTGATCATGTATATAACTCCCAGTCTCAAGCTTCAGAAGTCCATAGTTTCAGATTAGGTTCGGTTTATCTACATTTGAACATTAGGTTTACTTCACCATTTAAATCAAAAAGAGAGAAACTAGTACATGATCACATCCATTGTAAAATTACAAGAAACAAATCATTTATTATGTCAAACAAAAAATATACTAATCAGAGAGGGAGAGAGAGAGAGGGTGCTCAAGTTTCAGACAAGAGAGTGGCTTTTACACAACAACAATAACAACAACAACAATCTTCTAAACCCCAACATGTCTCTATACCATATAGTTACATGTAGAAATCACACATTTATATAAGTAAACATTTATATCTTAGCAGAAGTTTCTTCAGTGTAGACTTACAGGATCAGCTTGTTCCATAGTCCAATAGCTCCCACCTGAACGGCTGAAACACATAGAGCACTTCCGGGCAACTCTTGAAGAGAAGTGCTACGCAGACGCAAACCGCAGCAATCGCCACCATTGACAACATAGCTGGTCTGTACGCTACAGACCTCCGTGTTGTCCCATACACCAGTTTATGGTCACAAAGCTTGCACTGAAGCTGGTTGGTCTGTGTGGTGATGATCTCCAAGGCTGAAGCCATCGGACCTGGTTTTGCTTCTTTCTGCTCTCTCTCTGAGAAAGTAGCAGGGATGTTGACCACAACATGATCTTCAGTTGTTGACTTCTTATTGATCTTGCGTTGAATCAAGTGTATGTATGAGAAGTGACCGCGTAAGCGTGCGTAGTCTTCTGGTGTGAAGCCTGTGCTGTCTCGAGATGAATTCCACGCTTCAATCCCCACCTGAATCACATGCAAATATGAAATATGATTTCTGTCCTCAAGTTAAAAAATCAAACTTCATGGCTGAAGAAAAGAGGGAAAAAGTCAAACTCACCATTGCAGGATCTTCTGTTAGAGCATCCAACACATCTTCTGAACCATCTTTACCGGCTGCAATGTGAAGAGGTGTTAAACCGGCTGGACCAGCATCATCAGGTCTAAACAAGCTGTGTTTTTGCTGCTTGGGAACGTATCTCAAGAGCATTTCAACCAAAGGCTTTGAGTTTTTCCTCACAGCTCTGTGAAGAAGGCACAGTTCTGATAGCGTTGCAACAGATGAGTTATCGCCAACAGCTCCTTCAAAGAACATGTTTAATAGCTTTCTAATCACAGCGCACCACTCTCTGTCCACTGAGAACTCGATTAGCCACTTAAACCGTGTTAATGGAAACGCGTCCGGGTTTGGATCTGATTCCCCGAGCTTGCTTCGGTGAAGAAACCAACCGATTTCATGAATGAAATCCATAGCTTGCTTAGCGGAATCAGTTCCGGTGAACTCTAAGGTGGTTTCGAGTAAACGGATTTCAGAACAAACATCGTCGTCTTCAACCACTATGAAAGGGAAGAAGCTGCTGCTGAGTCCTTGGTCTTCAATCTGGAACAATCATTCAAGCAAGCTCTGAGTCTGATGAATATGTAACAGTTTATTGAAGATCAGAACAGAAAATGAAAGTTTTTTCACCTCCATGAATCCTCGACCACTCGTTATAGGCATATCACAAGAAAAACTGACACACTCGATCCCATTATTCTCCTTGAGGTCATCATTCTCTTTCGTTGAGTCATGTGCTGTTTCTTGAATCAAGTATTTTCCTTCCACAGCACAAAGTAACCTGTAAAAAAGGTTGTTCAAAGACAGTAAGTTAGATATCAAAGAAGCAGAAGAAGAAGAAGAAGACAAGGAAGAACAAAACTTCAAAGGAAACAAAACCTTGTGCCAGGTCGACGGAGATTGATGCCTTTTACTGTAAACTGAGCCTTTCCTGTTGCAGCTACAGCGAGCGGCCTAACGCTAATAATTTCGCTACAATCACTGCTTCTTAGAGGTAAGGAAGTGTCAACAACAACCTGACCTGCAACACCAAATTTACAGTAAATACTCAGAACAAATATTCACAAGGTGAGAAAGATTTCTTGAAACTAACCGTTAAATACAAATGCAAGCTGGTTTTGCACTCTAACATAAATCCATCCAGATGTCCACAAAGGATCATCAGAGAGATCAAGAAGCTTCATTAAGCTATAACCCAGATCATCAGAAAGCTGCCAAGAAAAGAAAAGAGAATGCAATTTCATGAGTCTGGAACTTCTAAAACAAGACGAGATAAAATGATAGAAGTTAAACAGTAAGCTTACTTCTTCCCAAGCAGTTTCAGCTTGACGAAGATAAACGGTCAGTACGATGCAACCAGGCCGAATGTAGCTCTCCATGTCAGTCGGACTATGTGATAACCAATTAAGAATCTGAACAACCAGAGACTAACACATCAATATAACTTCCAAAATCACAAAACCAAGTAAGAATCAGAGGTCTCAAGCAGATCAGTACCTGTTCGCGCAAGACAACAGGAAAATCATTCGGTTCTTTCCCAAATAGTTTGAACACAATCCGACCTGTGCGCAGCTGAAGATGAAGTAAGAAAAAAAAAAAGCATGTTATAGCGAATTATCAGCAAGAAAATAGATTCAGATAATAGTATATGAGGTAAGAGATTTCTATATACTTGAGCATCTTCGCTGGAACTTGAGGGTGACTGGTCAGATGCTGAATCTGAATTCCTACTTGTCTGAGGTGGACTTGACTGATGTATCCAAGAAGGATAATCAAGAGAACTAGTAGCTGGATTCGTAGGAGGAGGGGATCTTTCGATATCTGTGCCATCATCTGAGTCTATATAGATGTCATTCAAATCAAAATCATTTACTTTGACTTGCTTTTCTGATCTGTTCTCTGTAGCTGTCCCATTGGCATACAATTCTCGCCCAGGAGTTTCAGGTACCGAAAGTTGCTTCAAATCCTCTTGGGGTGTTTGCTCAATAGCAAGCAAACCTGAGTTTCCAATATTCAAAGCAGCTTGAGATCCTCCTTGCAGAAGAAGCTCAACTAAGTTTTTCCCTAATTGTTCACCAGCATGGCTTACAAGGCTCTTCAGAAGATGAGACATCAAATCTTGATCACCAGTATTGTCTGATCGATTGGCTGCAAACGGAACACAAAATAAAAAAAACCAAAAAAAAACTGAAAATGTTTGATGAGAGATCAAATGCCCTACAGTGCATATTGGAGAGTATCTTCAAGAGACTAATCAACAGATAATTGCTTGACTGATGATCATCACCCAGAGGATTCCCGTTAGCGCCAGGTTCAGGATTTGTCTTCCTTCTTCGTTTATTATGCCCAGCCAAACGTCTTCGACAGCTTCTCTTTCCTTCATCAAACTCCTGAAGAACATGGAATCTGCAAGATATAACAATCAAAAGTTTATTCATTTTATTGATCAATTCCAACAGGTTTTAGAGGCTTCGAAAGGACGCATACCTACTACATTGCTGACAGAACCGCTGCATATTTCCTCCGACAACTGCACTTGTAGCCTTAGAATGCACCTCACACACCTTATGACGTCTATGATAATCCTTAACTTTGCTAAGATCAGCTTCACAATTCTCCACCTGACAAACCGCACGACTCGTCACACCTCCTCCTCCAAATTTTGTCTTCTTTGCAGCAGAGCTTCCTTCTCTTTCCCCATTAAGATCATAACCATTGTCTCCTAGCTTCAAAGTAAGACCATTACCACACCCACTACCACCATTGTTATCTTCCCCTGTGGCCACAGCTCTTCTCTTCTTCTCAACCTCTCTTGTTCTTCTCACCATTACCTCAGTATTATTATTCCCTTCCTCAGAGCAAGAGGAAGAGCTGTTGGAGGAGTTTCCTAGTGGGAAAAACTGACGTCCCATGGCTTCGCTACCACCAGGATTCAACGGTGTAGCCACAAAGAGATCACCATCCCATTTCCAATCATTCAAATCCCACTCCACACTCCTTTTCCCTACAGACCTTAGATCCATGGCTCTAAACCCATAGAAATGCTGAGCCTCACCTTCAATTCTAGCTTCCATCACAGCTTATCTCCCAAATGCTACTCCCAAAAAGATAAACTTTCAGGGTAGGGAACAGACTAAACACAACAAAACCCAATTTTTCTTTTTGTAGATCGGAAAGTAATAAACCAACACACGCAAAAATCCAGGCTTTAGCTTAATCAATACTGATTATTCCCCAGAAACCCAGTGACAGATCCATGGCTCCAATTAACCAAAACACACATGCCTATAATCCAACAAAACCGATAAATCAAAGACCTTTCGCCATCTAAGAGCCCTGGAAACCTCTTAAAGCTCTATAATTTAATCCAAAAGCTCTTCAACCCCACAACTATAAGAGAAAACTGAGCTGTCCCCAACACTAATCAATACAGAACTCCAGAATACAGCTGGCGACACCTTCCAACAGAAAATGATGATGGAGATGCGAAGAAGAGGAGGAAGAAGAAGAAGGTGATTGATTATGTGAATCTGCGTTTGTGGCGTGATAGAGAAGAGTATGTATGGTAATGGTTATGGGTAGTACAAAAGGTTAGGGGAGAGAAAGAGTGAGAGAGAGAGAGAGGTAGAGGTAGGAGAGAGAAACCAAATTAGTACAGGAAAAAAAAATTAATTATATGAAAAAACAAAATAGTGGTGGGACCACTTCTACACTAATAAAATAAAAAATATGAAAAATCTATAAGATAAAATAAAAACATAAAATTAATTCTTTAGTGACTTTTGTCTACCTCTTTTCTTCTTCCCATGTGAAGCAGTGTACTTAGGGAGGAGGTCAATAATCAGCTGCTTCGCGGAGCACGGGGATAATACAGTTGCACTGAGAGAGTTTCTATTGCCTGCGGGACGATGTACGATAAGCGTTTTTTTAAGTTAGTTGCGAGTTTTTGGGGGAAGAAATCGAGTGTTGCAGCGACTAGTGAACAACCGTAGTAATCGCTAGTTGACAAAGAAAGTGTCGGTGCGAGTGTGTGTGAACGCGGTTTGACTTTGACCGAAAGTAACGAAAAGAAAAAACAAACTTTCTGTGACTCGATTGGGTCAACCTTCTGTCTCCATGTGGTCATAATGGTCTGGGCTTTATTGGCCCACTCTTATTATAGGCCCACTTACTAACCCATGTCAATTTAATGAAGATATTAGAGATAATTTGGTTTGTTGTTTAATCTCGTTTTGTTTCATATCCTTGGTGTTTAATAATTTAAGGTGGAATGTAGGAAAAAATATCGAATTTGGTTAGTGTGAGTACAAAAAGAGACCAGTCACATGACAAAGCAGATCGAAGAATCCAATGCGCCACGTTGGATCATATTCTTCCATGTTCCTCGTTTTGGTAGCTTTAGAATCTCAACGGATCTAATTCCATAATCGTCCTAATTAAAGTATAACTTATTCCACATTTATTAATAGGTCATGATGCTGATAATTATTGGTTGTATATATGGGAGATATGCTGATACACATTCCGTTCTAACTCAAGCTATTGCAAAAACATCTAAATATATCGATTTAATAGCCGAAAAAGATACACAATAATGAATTAAAAAGTTCCACCAACCGCAGCGGCAAAGTTTCGGCAGATAATTCTCATAATCTAAAAGGAAAAAACAAATTGAAACGGCTAATCATATGTTATGACTTATGAGAAAGATTTGATTAGTGATAAAATAATGTTGTCACCAAAAGACACCATGATTCCTCTCGAACATGCCCATATTTTGTTCACATGCACGATAACGACTTCATATATACGACCCACAACTCACCAAACACCCATTTGTAACTTTAGTTTTTATTTTTTATTTTGCTCGTTGTTTCTTGCAATACCTAAAAAGATAACGCGGAAACAGAAAAACGATACGTAACATAGGAAGTTAGCTATTAGACTATATGTATACGTATCGTTTAGAAAAAGACTATATGCATACGTAGTTATAGCTAACGGTTTTTAGGAATCTAGTACCCCATATATGCATGTACAAAAGATGGAATCGATTAACTATTTATTATATTGAAAATATTAATTTCAACCATTATTTTTGAAACAAAAAATAATGTTCGTTCGCAAAAAGCACATGTTATTCTCAAATTCTCAATGGTCAAAAACAAATTTGAAATGGGTTATATTGTAATGAATTCGTAGTATTATAAAAAAACTGAAAATTTCCCAACTGGCAACTACCAACGGGAAATAAAATCATGGTTCGTTAAATGGCGGCCGACGGCGGAATTCACGGCGTTAATTTTAAAACGCTAATTCCGGAATTTAATTTTCCATTTTACTCGATAGATATTTAAATAAAAATGACGTGGCGATCTGGTCGTTTGACTTTTCGTTTTATTACATAATCTAACGGCCATCCTATTGACAGCTGTCAAATGACAACGTTTGAAAACCAGTCAAAGTTTGGAGAACTAATCCTCTGCTTCACTCAGCCGATGATCGAGCCGAATCATTTTTTTATTACAAATAAAAGTTTCCGCGTTTTTTTTGTTGTTAATTGATTTGGAACTCTCAAAGCTTGCCATTTTTGTCGAACATATTTCTTTCGACGGTTTCAGATCTCAAGAAGCTCTCTCACATTCCCATTTCACTCTACGAATCGTCTCTGTTTCTCTCCTTCGACTGAGGTAAAAAGCTTTTATGGCTTTACTTGATTTGTTCTGTTCTGTTCTCGATTTCCTTATTTAGAGTTGGAAGTGTTCATATCATTTTTTGTCTTGAATCACGCTTCGTAGATCAGCGACAGTCTTCAGATTTACATTTTTCGTACATAGTTAATGATAGTAGCTTCTGAATCAAAGCTTTAAGCTTTGCAATACGAAAACGAATTGGATTTAATTTGGTTTTGTTGCCTTTTAAGTTTCTCTGTTTACTTACAGTTTTTGAGATAGAAAGAAATGAGCTGCTTCGGGTGTTGTGAGGAAGATGATATGCAAAAAGCTGCTGATTATGGAAACCATAATAACACAGCCAAAAACTTTGGAGGTATTTTAAAGAATTGGTGTTTTGTGTTTTTCATGTGGGAGGATTTGTCTGCTTATGTTGGAGTTGTTTTTTGGAATTAGGAAACGATGGGAGGCACAAAGCCACTGAAACAGCACAAAAGGGAGCTCAAGTTGTGAAAGTGCAGCCTATTGAAGTACCTATCATCCCTGTTACTGAGCTCAAGGAAGCGACCGATGACTTCGGAACGAGTTCTCTCATCGGCGAAGGCTCTTACGGTAGAGTATATTACGGAGTGCTAAACAACGATCAGCCTGCAGCGATTAAGAAGCTGGATTCTAACAAACAGCCTGACAATGAGTTTCTTGCTCAGGTTCTTGTAGTTTTCAAGAAGTATATAGTAACTAACTATTGTGTTTTATATCTGACTTTTTGTATTGAAACTTTGGAAGCTTGAACTGCTTGTAGGTTTCAATGGTGTCTAGGCTGAAGAATGATAACTTTGTTGAGTTGATTGGTTACTGCGTTGATGGGAATTCACGGATACTTGCTTATGAGTTTGCTAAAAACGGATCTCTTCATGACATTCTTCATGGTATACACACAATCACACACTTGTACATCTATTTGTGGGCATTATTAGTTAAGTTTGCTTTAACATGATTCTCTTTTCTCTCAGGGAGGAAAGGTGTGAAGGGAGCACAGCTAGGTCCTGTCTTGTCATGGTATCAACGAGTGAAGATCGCGGTTGGAGCTGCAAGAGGGCTAGAGTATCTGCATGAGAAAGCAAATCCACACATCATTCACCGTGACATCAAATCAAGCAATGTCCTGCTCTTTGATGATGATGTTGCTAAGATTGCTGACTTTGATCTCTCTAACCAAGCTCCTGACATGGCAGCTCGCCTTCATTCCACTCGTGTTCTTGGAACTTTCGGTTACCATGCCCCTGAGTAAGTGTTGGTCTTGTGTAAACATGTAATCAGTAGTGTGATCACCTCTTAATGACATTTTCATTTTGTTAACAGATATGCGATGACAGGGCAGTTAAACGCTAAGAGTGATGTGTACAGCTTCGGGGTTGTGTTACTCGAACTTCTTACAGGTCGAAAACCTGTTGATCATAGATTACCAAGAGGCCAACAGAGTTTAGTCACATGGGTATACTAATCTCTCTCATTCTTACGTACACATCATGGAGTGTGTGAGTATTGATCATAGAAACTGTTACTTGTGCAACAGGCTACACCTAAACTGAGCGAAGATAAGGTTAAACAATGTGTTGATGCAAGACTTGGTGGCGATTACCCTCCAAAAGCTGTTGCTAAGGTATTAAACAAAATAAATATATCAAAATCTGTCATAATCTCAGACTGCTTCTACTTATCTTGAACCTCTCTGCTTATGTGTGTGTTGGAATTTCGATTTTGAAACGCAGTTAGCGGCGGTTGCTGCGTTGTGTGTGCAGTACGAAGCAGATTTTAGGCCGAATATGAGTATTGTTGTCAAAGCTCTCCAACCTTTGTTGAACGCTCGAGCCGCTGCTCCAGGCGACGGATTACATTAGCCACATCTCTCTCTCTCTCCGCCAGTCTCTCTTCTTACTCGGAAATTTTGATTTCCATTATACTTCAGTCAAAACTTAGTGTGCATAGATATCTCTGTAATGTTTTATTTATTTGATTTTTTTTTAACACTTATCATGTGTATCTTGTTTACTGTCCAATTGACTATTTCCCCCATTAAATTCTCATTTTGCCTAGCTAATATTATTTTCTTTTCATTCAAGTTTGTGGCAAAACCGAAAATCAAGTAATCAACATTAAACAACAAAAATAGAATGATTGTCTCTGTGGGAAAACAAGAAGGAGGAATTAGAATTTAGTGACTCTTTGATTTGAAGACAGGATCATATGGCATGTCCACAGATTAAAAACGCCAAAATTCACTCGTTACCATCCATTTTATCTTTGAAAATAGTCAAAACCAGAAACTAAAAAGATCCAAATTTAGCAAAACCATATAATCATCTATATATATATATACGTAACCTCTCTTCTTCCTTTTTCTATCCTTTCCAATCCACGTACGTCCAAAAAAGCAAACAAAAACAAAAAAAAAAACAAAAAAAAATGAACACTCCGATAAAACTCACCTTTCTCGTTCTCTGCATCGCCCTAACCGCAACCGCATTCGTAGTCCCGGCCAAACGCGATGCCGTTACACCAGAACATCAAAAAGCCGTCGATGGAATCTGCAGCGTTGTCAACGACAAACGTCTCTGTAGCATTACCCTAAGAAATGTCCAAAGCAATGATCCCGCCGTTTTGGTCCGTTACTTAGCCACGGCGGCTGAATTGTCCGTTAAAAGAGGCTTGAAATTCCTCGCCGGAATCAAACCCAAATACACCGGAAACGCCTTTGCCACCACCTGCATCAACGGTTGCGAGAAACAGCTCAACAGCGCCTTGGAAGACTTTGGAGATTTCTGGAAAGCCGCAGGACAAAACCTAACGAGCTTGGCTGAGAACTACTTCACCTGTAAGAAGAAGATGACTTCCATCTTCAACTACCAGTCGACTTGTCTCGATGACATTTACGACAAGACGTTGTTGAAAGTAGTCGAAGGAGGGATCGGGCTTGGCAAGAGAATGGTTGGTGAGTCAGTCGATTTGTTCGATGGAATGGGCAAAGTCTTCAACACTTTCAACATTAAGACCAAACTTAACCAGCAAGACACCGACTCGTTGCTCCCACCACCTTTGTCGTTTTACTACAATTGATTTGTTTATTAATATATATGATATATATAAAAAATAAATAAAACATCAAAAAATGTACGTATAATTTGCATCGATTGGGGTTTTCAGATATTTTAGGAATCTTCTAAGAAAGGTTTCTTTTGATGTATGTTTGTAATTAATATGTTATGGATTATAATCATGTATGGACCTCGTGATTGGAAAGGACATGGAAAAATGTGATTGTTATCGATTAATAATAAAACTTAATTAATAACGTATTTGGTTTTATTTTATTTTATTTTATGTGTATGCTCTATATAATCCATGTTTGCGTTAATTTTCGTCTTTGTTGATACTTTTCATTTCTATATATTGGCATTTTAGTAAGCAAAATATGTAGTGTTGTATATTTTACAAAAGAAAATTATGACCAACTTAGAGTTTTTATCTTTCGTGGGTCACATAATACACTACTTTTTAAAATCTTGAATATATTTAACTCGAGAGGTATAAATGCAAGGAGAACAAAATGATTCTCATTAATTAACCAAACTGTATAACAGTAGCTTTATATACGTAACGCACCATAAATTAGTCACCAAATCGTGTAACTAGCAACCTCAAGACAGCACACTATACCATTGATACACCCTCATATCTAAGCCTTTAATTCAAACGGCCATTAGAGAGATAAAGTCTTGACATGAATATTCTATCAAGAAGAGAATAGAAATGATAAGGATCCGATTGTAAAACCTTTATCAAAATATATCAACATGTTATTCACCAAAAAAAAAAAAAATCACCAAAAAACAAAATATATCAACATGTTCATTAGAGTTTAAAACGTAAATATTAATCTTTAGAAAGCTAATCATGTAAAGCACTATGGCGACAAATATGCATGCAAAACAAAATTTCAAAACTGTATATATTGGTCTCGGGACTAGTAGTTTCGATCTGCAGATTTAAGACTTACAACAAATAATATGCTTCAGCCTTCATGCCTAAATAGCATGTTTGCTCTATTAACATTTATCAGTTCATATTAGAAAGCGAACGTAGCGAATATATCATCAGGCCAGACCTTAACATATAACTAAGATTCATGTGTCGGTAGGTCCATGCACAAAGATAATGATATACAATAATAAATTTCCTTAATTAGCTTTTTATTTTCATATTTAATTTGGTTTTGGTTCCTGATTTTTGGTTGTGTATAGGTGTACGAATCTTTTCCATATTAAGCTTCTGATAATAGGACATACAGTACCACCTAATTATTGTTAAGGTTTCTATATCTATCAATGTTTGTTTTGTTTTTAGTCAATTAAGGCACCACACCTTCTAACTAGGAGACGTACGCCGTGTTTATCTTGCGGTGACCAATTTTAAACCCCACAGCTAAGCAATTACATAATCTCGTAACTTAATTACAACTATTTTTTGACCAGATATTCTCAGCCATTGGTCGACCGTAAACCCCTCTCTCTCTATCTCTCCATGCACACGTCCCTAATTTTAGAAACTAAAAGCTTCTATATAAACCTTCATTAGCCCTCACAAATTTACTGGCCCAAGTCATTATACAACTTGGCTTTTCTCTAATAAAGCCCCTCCTCTCCGATTAACCTCTAAATAAAACGGAGGGAGATTAAAAAAAAAATCAAAAATATACAAAATAAAAATAAAAAAACGAAAAAATGATCGGAAAAGTTGTGGTCTCGGTGGCCTCCATCCTCTTAGTGGTGGGAGTAGCCATTGGAGTCGTTGCCTTCATTAACAAAAATGGCGACGCTAATCTGTCTCCTCAGATGAAAGCCGTCCAAGGAATTTGCCAGGCAACCGCCGACAAAGCCTCATGTGTCAAAACTCTAGAGCCGGTCAAGAGCGATGACCCAAACAAACTGATCAAGGCCTTCATGCTCGCTGTACAAGATTCCATAACCAAATCATCAAACTTCACGGGTAAAACCGAAGGAAACTTGGGCTCGGGCATCTCGCCAAACAACAAAGCCGTTCTTGACTACTGCAAGAAAGTTTTCATGTACGCGCTTGAGGATCTCAGTACCATTGTCGAGGAAATGGGCGAGGATCTTAACCAGATCGGTAGCAAACTCGACCAGCTTAAACAATGGTTGACCGGTGTTTACAACTACCAAACCGACTGTCTTGACGATATCCAAGAAGATGATTTAAGAAAGACTATTGGAGAAGGTATTTCAAGCTCCAAGATTCTTACTAGCAACGCTATTGACATCTTCCACACCGTCGTTAGCGCCATGGCTAAGATCAACATGAAGGTCGATGACTTCAAGAACATGACCAGCGGAATCTTCTCTCCTAAAGGAGACAACAAAGGAACCCCTCCCGTCGCTGATGACTCTCCCGTCGCCGACCCTGACGGTCCTGCTCGTCGTCTTCTCGAAGACATTGATGAGTCCGGTACCCCAACATGGGTTTCTGGTTCTGACAGGAAGCTGATGGCAGCTGCCGGACGTGGCCAAGGAGGCGGTGCCGGTGCTAGAATCAAAGCGACCTTCGTCGTTGCTAAGGACGGAAGCGGACAGTTTAAGTCTGTTCAACAAGCCGTTAATGCTTGCCCCGACAAAAACCCCGGACGTTGCATCATCCACATCAAGGCTGGTGTCTACAACGAGCAAGTTATTATCCCCAAGAAGAAGAACAACATCTTCCTCTTCGGAGATGGTGCAAGAAGGACCGTCATTACTTACAACAGAAGTGTTGCACTCTCCCCTGGAACCACCACTTCTCTCAGTGGCACCGTCCGTAAGTCTCACGCACCAAACCCTAATTTACTGGTTCATTACTAATACAAACCCTAATTACATTTCATGTGTTTTGTAGAGGTTGAGTCCGAAGGATTCATGGCCAAATGGATCGGATTCAAGAACACAGCCGGTCCAATGGGACACCAAGCCGTGGCTATCAGAGTCAACGGAGACCGTGCTGTGGTCTTCAACTGCAGATTCGACGGTTACCAAGACACTCTATACGTCAACAACGGACGTCAATTCTACAGAAACTGCGTCGTCTCAGGAACCGTCGACTTCATCTTCGGCAAATCCGCAACCGTTATCCAGAACTCCCTCATCGTTGTCCGTAAAGGAAACAAGGGACAATTCAACACCATCACAGCCGACGGAAACGAAAAGGGTCTAGCCATGAGAATCGGTATCGTCCTCCAGAACTGCCGTATCGTTCCCGACAAGAAGCTAGCAGCCGAGAGACTGACCGTTGCTTCATACTTGGGAAGGCCGTGGAAGCAGTACTCGACCACCGTGCTCATCAACTCCGAGATCGGAGATTTGATCAGGCCAGAAGGATGGAAGATCTGGGATGGGGAGAGTTTCCACAAGACGTGTAGGTACGTTGAGTACGGTAACCGTGGACCAGGAGCTATCACTAACAGGAGAGTTCCATGGGCTAAGATCGCCAGGTCTGCGGGTGAGGTCAATCAGTTCACCGTCGCTAACTGGTTAGGTCCGATTAACTGGATTCAGGAAGCTAACGTGCCTGTCACGCTTGGACTATAAATCGTATAAATAAAATTCAAAAAAAAAAAAGAGGAAAAGAGAAAGAGAGTAGTACGTGTTCATCATGTAAAAGGTGAAAATATACAACGTCGTTTTCGATAGAGTTTTGCGCGGGGATGAAGTTGTGTAATATTTTGCTTTTTGTTTTGTCTCACGTATGAAAAAGATGAGAAGAAGAAAAATTTAAAAGTTTATGTTGTTTGATTTTCATTTCTATGTTTTGAAATATGATATTTATTATCTACTGTGTTGTACCTGTATGTCTAATAATTTTTTAAATATATATAATTTTCCAATGTTCTCTAACACTTAAAAACATATTAGATAATGTTGTGATCATTTTCTAATTTTCATATAATGTTGTTCTCAAACATATTTCAACAGCGTATTCCAATCACAGATACATGGGCTAGTTTAAAGAGAAAGCCCAATAAATGGATAAGAGACGACTGATAAAATGACGAAAGTACCCTTATTAAGATTTAGAACTGGAAATTTACCAAAAGCCCTTGGTCGTGTCATTTCATCTTTTTCCGACAGCGACGAGAGAAACCGCCGTCACGAGCTCCGGCGAAAGTTCTTTCATCCACACCGTCGATTTCCGGTTTTAAAAAACAGAGGAGGATGTTTCGGGCAGTTTTCGTGAGTAATCTGATTCGATCTTGCTCTAGAGTTAAGCATCCAATTGATCGGAGCGCACGTTCGCTTCTCTCGTCGGAGATGGTTCGTCTGTACAGCACCGGTAGGTTTTTCTTCATTCTCAAAGTTTTTTCATCATTTTCTTCGACTTAAAACTAGGAAACAAACTCGATTGCGAATTTATCACTGCAGTGAGTTCCATTTTAGCGAATTTCAGTTTGGTAATTGATTGAAAATGGCAGAAATGGAACCTCAGCTGTCTCCGGATCTTATTAAGATAATGGATCAGAGACTGTCGGCGATAGAACGTCGGAATGCTGTTCTTCAGAAGCTTATTAACCAGGTAATCCAAAGATTTTGTTTTTATATGTTTTGAAATCCAGATGGAACCTCATGTTCAATAAACTGTCTTGTGTTGATTGAAAAGACAGCCTGAGTACTCACAAGAAGAGTTTTCAAGAGCTAACAAGGAACTTCGGAAGCTGAGAGAGTCAATGGAGCTGATCAATTACTTGAGGGCCAAACAAAAGGTAAAGACTAATGAATATTCCTCCTCGTCTCTAATCTAAACAAAAGGTCATCGCTTATAAAGATTAATTCTTTTTTGGCAGGAGATTGATGGACTGAAATCTCTGGTGTCAGAGAGTTCGGATGATAAGGACATGCTTGATATGGCTGTAAGTGAATTAGGCGAGGCGGTGGAGGAAGAGAAGAGACTGCAGACTCTGCTGCTTAAGTCTTTGCTTCCTAAAGATGAAGCTGATGAGAGGGATTGTATCCTGGAGGTGAGAGCAGGTACATTTATGAACTAATAATGCTTATTTCCAACATTGGAGTTTTTTTTTGTTCTTTTTGACAAATGAGTTTCTTGGTCAGGTACTGGTGGAGAAGAGGCTTCTTTGTTTGCCATGGACATATTTAGAATGTAAGTTACTGAACATAGAAATACTTATATCCTTCTTTGTACCTTGAACTCTGACTCTGTTTCGGTTGGAATATTGATAGGTACGAAAGATATTCGCAGAAGAAAGGTTGGAAGTTTGAGATTGTAGACATCACCGAGTCGGATATGAGAGGATACAAAGTAAGTTATTTTTTGTTAATTCTTGCTCCCGTGAATATTAGTATTCCGTTGTTGTTACGTTCTAGTGCAGCTAAGATCTTGAATGTAATTGTCAGGAAGCCAGTGCTGCAATATGTGGAGCTAGTGTCTATGGAAAGCTTAAGTTCGAGAGTGGGATTCACAGGGTCCAGGTACACTATATATGGAGTCACATAAGGATTTATCTCTCTTGACTCTTCATGCATGCTCAGATACTGTACCCTAACACTTGAAACATCTTTACACAGCGTATTCCAATCACAGAGAAATCAGGACGAATTCACACCAGCGCTGTATCTGTTGCCATCCTTCCCCAGGCTGATGAGGTACCAAAGTTTCTCTCCGCTCTTATTAGCCTTTATCTTGCAAACTTCATTTCCTTTGCTCAATTTTCGTGTCGACACTCTTTGATCATACAGGTAGATGTGCAGCTGAGGAATGAAGATATGAGGATTGATACATACAGGTCGGGTGGCTCCGGTGGCCAACATGCCAACACTACAAACAGCGCGGTCCGTATAATCCATCATCCAACGGGGATTATGGTCTCCATCCAAGACGAAAGATCACAACATATGGTTGTTTATTGTTATTATTTCCTTCAACTCTTCTCCTTTTTAAACTTCCACATCCATCTGAAAAGTTTATCATTATTTGTTTTTTTGGTAACAGAACAAAGCTAAAGCACTTAAAGTACTGTGTGCAAAGCTCTACGAGATCGAAAGGCTGAGACTACAGAACAGTCGATCAAAGCTACGGTCTGACCAGGTACATATGGAAATTAACATTCTGTTATTTTTTGTTTAATGCTTTCCAGTCAATTTTACATGAAATTGTTTCCTAGCTGATGATGGATGTGTGATTCAATCAACAGATTGGCAGCGGAGACCGTTCGGGACGCATCCGTACATACAACTTTCCACAAGGGCGTGTAACGGATCATCGTGTGGGAATCACTCACCATGCGATCGAAGATATGATGCAGGGAGAGAATCTTGACTCCTTCATCGACGCCCTTCTCTTGCGCCAAGAAATGGACGCCATTGCTTCTTTCAGCTCCATTTCATGACACAGAGTCAAAGGTAGACCAAACCTGAAACCCTTAGCTTTGTCACAAGGGTTAGCACTAGAACAGTAGTAATAAAATTCATTGAAAGGAGAACAAGAGGAAGAGAGAGAAAGAAAGAGGGAGCCAGGGAAGAGGCAGTGCATGGGAAGAGACAAAACACAGTCGTTTGATGTTTTAGTAAACTCCATCCATGCTCTGCTTGTTCCCTGTCTCTCTCATTACCACTTTGTCTTCTTCTTACATTGAGGGATACCCATTTTATTTTATAATAAAAAAAAGCAGGCTTACCGTAGAGAAATTGGCCAGTTCCTTGAATTTGTTTGTGTTTCTTGTGTTACTTCGTTAGGTTTAAATAGATTTTGGAAGCTTTGTTTCTGTACGTCTTCTTTGTGATGTACTACACAGAGAATTCACCAGCAATATTTTGTACTCCTTTTTGTTTTTGCAAAGTATTGTACTGCTATCTTGCTAAAGAGAGTACTGCAGTTCCATTATTGCTTGATTTTCTTGTATTGCTAACTCTCTCTACTTTGTACTTTATACGACTTTGTCGGTTTGGACTTTTGGTAAACCGGAAGGTAGAGAGAATAATTAAGCTGCCACGTGGTAGGTCCCTGCTTTTTCCAGTACAATGCTCTCTTTCTAGTACACAATGTTTTGGTTCAATGTTTAGTAGAAAACAATTGTTATAAACAAACGAATTAAATTCAGAAAGTGCTTCATCGATTTATTTTTAATTACATGAGTATCATAACTCTTGAATCAAGTAAGAAGAACATCGAAATCAGAAAGATGCCATTCTGCAATTGCTTCATCGTCTTTGTAAATCTCCGTACCAACATCCACCGATGTCCAGATCCTCCTCGCTGGAGTCGTACCAGGATCCTATCACCGAACCAAACCAAATCAAAACCCAAACCGGTAAACTAATCAGAAGAAACAACAAATAATTAATAATCCGGTTCTGTTCAATCAATCAATTCACCTGGTAGAAGTAAAGCCGGCTAGACAAACCACCAACGTCAAGCTCCCAAGTTCTCGGATCACCCACCCAACCATCACCCATCCGGGTCGGATACCCATATTCTCCCCAAACCGGGTGAGGCAAAAGCTGAAGAATCTCCTGACCTTGTGGGTTACTGAAAGGATCACAAGGCCCCACCGGAAGCTCCAGATGCTCGCCGTTTCCCGGCGCACAGTACACATGGTAAGCCTCGTAAGGAAAACTCCGATCATCGGTACGGTGCACTCTCGTGCCGTTTCGAAACGTATGGTACGATGGACAGTTGCGAAGAGCCTTGGGGTTGCACCAACGTGCGGTTTCTGGGTTTATGATCATCTCCGAGTAACGAGTTACGTCGGTGGTCACGTCTCCGTCGCAGGGCTTCCCGTTGTTTTTCCAACAACTTCCTATATCAAGAAGATAGAACTGGCTCTTTGGTCCTCCTCCTTGTTTGATGTCTAGAGTTAGTCTCACTTTGAAGTTCGGTGACTCCGGAAGCTAAAAGAAAAACACACATTCTAATCAAAACTCAACACATTTCGTAATTGTGTTTCACAAAGGTTTACACTTTACTTACTGTTTTAAGCATTCCTCTGGAGTCATAATGGTAACCACCAGAGAAGCCTTTAGTTGCATCAGCTCTAAGGTAAAGCATGAGCCATGGATACTTTGGGGAAGTCTTAAGCTTATGTTTAAACACCCAACCACCAACACCAATTCTCTTCTCCCACACAACCTCGTAATAGCTTATCCCATCAAACCCATTTCCCAAATCTGCTTCAAGCTCGTACGTACCATTGAACCATCCCCTCATGGTGTGGCCGTCTCCGAGGAGCTCGGTCTTACCGTGGTTTAGCACCGGTTGGTTCATGCAACCAGTGCCGAAACAGGGGAATTTCCCGGGTTGATTGAAAGGTGGGATCTTTCGGCCGTTTTCAGGACAAAGACCGGAATTTGTGTCGTAGTTTCCGTTTTTGAGCATTACCATCCAGAAACTCCATGGGTTTGGTTTGTCTGAGACTTGACAGAGAGAGCCTAGATAGACTTCTTTCTCGACCGCGTAGAGGTCAGGGTTTTGTAGTGCTGCTTCTGATATGACTCCTGATTTACGCTGTCCGATCCCTAGCTTGTTATCGGAATCAGATACCTTGTGCACCAAGGAATAACCACCTGCTCAAAATACCATAGTTAAAGAACAGAGGAAAACAGAGACATGAGAAACAGAGGAAAAAAAAGAAGAAGGAGCTTACTTGTGATGTTTGATTGGTATTTTCTGATTGATTTGTTACGTTTAGAGGAGATATCGAAGCAATCGGCAGCACGAGGACTACCCATATGAGGAGCTTCGAAGCCAACCTCATTGCAAAAGTTCCAAGCTTCAAACGCCACTCTGAGACCATCTCTCTTCATCCCGGGATCTCCAACCGCTGTTGATGAAGATCCCTCATCTCCATGAACCAGGAGAAGCAAGATTATCGCAGAGAATATTGGAGCTAGTTGCTTCATTTACTTCACTTTCTTTCTTCACCTCTGTTTTTGCTTCTAGTACTTCACTTTCTTTCTTTACTTATCTGTGTAAGAGCCTTTTTTGGTAAAGTGTAGTGAGAGTTGGTGAATGATTCAATGTGTCATAAATGCTAGCAAAAAGTCAATGAAGCTGTTAGTCTTGTTTGTTATCTTAGTAGTGGCGGTAAATGAGGAATAAATCCTGACTTGCTCTTCTTGTTCTAAAGCAAAGGCAATGCCATATATAAATGAAACCCTGATTCGATTGAACCACGAATAAGTAGAACCGGTGTTTTGGTTTATATATCTAATCATACCATTGTTGATTCCACTGTAAAGAGGGCGAAAAAGGCCCAAAAACATGGTAAATTTCCACATTTTCTTCTCCGTTGTTCAAATGATGTTGTCTCGTTTATGCATTCTTGTAGGCCGTTGGGCCCATGGGCAAATGGCTCCATCACGGAATGAACATTCTTGAACTTACCTTTACAAGTCGAACCTGCGCGCATATATATCACAAGGCAAGGCGCAACAATTAGACAATCCTTAAGAGAGGACTAGAAGAAGCGACAGAGAAAATGCTCATATGCATGCCCTACACGGCTACACCTAGGAAATTTTGAATATCTTATGGTCATATAGCAACAGATAAATATGTTTCAGAGTTAAGACTAGAACAAACGATAATCAAAATATAGCCAGGATAACCAGAGTAAATAAGGATGGAAAGATGGAGCCACCAAGTCAGTTGTTAAATCCAAAAGCAGTGTTTAAGTTGCTTAAGTTTTTGTTACTTATCACACGAAAGAGAGTATCTTCCCAAAGAATAGTTCAGGGGATTTAGTTCTATGCACAAAAACAATCGTTCAGCAGATACAGAAATTTGAGATTAGCGAATTAAAAAAAACGTTAATCAAAATTATATTCTGGTAATATAAGGCCATTCATCGTGGGCCTCGTTGATTTAGGCCCAGTAGAGTTACTACTTTTCGTAATTTTTTATGGCGCCAAGAAAAATAAAAAACAAAATTATAATTGATTTGTGGTCACAATCAAGCCAATATGACGTCGCTTTATTTCAATTTCGGAGAGTTGGGTTCTACCGATTTTTAGGGTTTAATAGCCGGAATAAGAAAGGCGAGCCTTTTTCTGTTTATGGTTTAAGGGTTTTTCTCTTTCTGTGAGTGTGAGAAGTGAGAGTAAACCACATTGTCAATATGTGGAAATGGAGGAAATGACGATGACTAAAGATTGTCAAGTACAAGTGTATACTGAAGAAGAAGGAATGGAAGGCGCTTGGTTCAGAGCCGTTTTGGAAGAAGACCTAACGAATTCAAGACGCAGAAATGTCCGAGTTCGTTAGACGACTCTGTTAACCGAAAAAAGTCATTCGACCGGAAAACATGTACAGCGGCGTCGTTTTGGAGGAAGGAATGGCCGATCACAGAGATGTGTTGTGGAATGGTCTTGTTGGTTATTACAGCCTTGATAAAAAACCTTGTTAATTTATACTCCAGAGAACAATAATTATTAACAAACTAATTAAATTAAAAAAAGTGCTTCATAAATTTTTATCATCTCTTCAATCAAGTAAGAAAAATGTTCGAATCAGAGATTCATGTCTTCTTTATTAGCGCGTCACATGATGATTTTATAAATAAAATGTATAGCATCAATGTTTGGAATATTACTTCAAGTGGTAGTAACTTTATTTATTTTCATCATAACTATAAAACGTGGACAAGGATAAATAGAGAAAGAGCATTATGTCAGTAATGACGTCAAGTTCGTAATTGGTTAGATGATAGATAAGATTCATTGATTCTGGAAATGCGCGGAAAAAGTAGTTATTGGCAGACAATTCCTCATTTGGGCTCCCTTGGAGTATTATTTTGACTTTTATTTATTTCCTTTGGATCATCGAGACAAGTAATTGTGACTTTTATTTATTTCCTATAGTTTTTTTTAATATTATTAATCTCTAGTTTTGACTTTTATTTATTTCCTTTGACCATCGATAGATTCGATACAAGTAACTGCGACTTGTTTCTTGCTCATAAAGTAATCAAATCCACGTGATTCCCCAGCTAACATGTTAATGCAAAGATATGATCGGATCAGATTATCTAATTGTATAATGTTTTAGCTTACATGCAGTACAATTAATGTCATCCAAATATTGGGAACTCCGAACCTTTTATGTTTATGACTCAGTTACAATTATTACGTGCACATGCTTTGCATCCGTTGTCAACAACTCAAATCGCAATTTTGAATTTACAGATTTTTAAAAAATACTCCTAAGAAAAAGGGATTTTGCACTTGTGACTTGTCAAAGTCTTAACAACTAATGCGATTATGCGAACAAGAAGAGTCAACTAACCGATGGAAGAACATTACAATAATCTTTCTGCTTTTTTGGTGTATTATGCATGTTTTCAAAGTTTAAATATTTTTTATACATAGTTGGTAAGAGACTAAACTAAAAATGTTTTTAGTTAAACTTGCAAATCTCTCTCGCTGGTCCCTACTACAAGTAGTACATATACATATATAGACACACGCACAAACGTAGATACGAAATTTATGGTTTTTAAAATATGAGTTAGGACGTATGCAGGCTGCTAAAACAAAGCTTATACTAGAGATCAAATTGTATATTAAGTTAAAGAGTAACGAATGATTTAAGGGATTATTGAATATCATGCGGTCCTGCCGTATCAAAACTTTATACTAAAAGTTATAGAGTTGTAGTTGAACAAAACAGCTGGATTAGTACTCGTTAAGTCTATGATGAATTCTTTCTTTTTTTTGCTTGCTATAATTAATCATTTGGTCAGCATTATGAGACAAGAATGGGCAGATTAAACAATATAAAATGACGAAAAGAACAACACATATCTTACGTATTCTTTTGATTAAAAACAAAAAAAATAGATCCATAAGGCCATATTTATTAATTTCTTTGACATCCATTTTCTCTTTCTCTTGAGCAAGTCCCGACTTGTTCGTCAAGAAATAAGCAGAGTATATATACACTAACATTTTTCTTTTACAAACTTCACCTACAAATATCTATAAAGAAATAAAATATAAGCAGAGAGATCTCTGCACATTTTTCAACTGTTTATAGAGCAGACACCAAGAAGTCGCTAATCCCCTTTTCAGCTTTTTTATTGTTCTTGTTCCAGGTACATATATATATACATATACATATTCTCTGCTTTATCTTTCCAAAACTCTGTACTTTATAGCTCTTAATTTTGTCTGGACTAGCTTGTGTGATCCTTGGCTTGAATTGATAGGTCTTGCTTCAGGTCTCACCATTTTCTCAGATGTTCTTAGAAAAAAATAAAAGATTTAGAAAAAGAAAGACAAAACAGTTCTTTATGGTGTTTCAATGGTTGGTGAAGACTGATATTGATTGAATAAAAAAGGAAACTTTTATCGTGAAAAGTCCTTGCTTTGTTCTCTATTTAATTTAGACATTCGCTTTTGACAGATCTCAACTCATAGATTTAGAAACTTATTACAAATCTCCTCTGTTCTTTTAAATGCTTATAGGAACAGCATAAGGCATCTGTGAAAATCTAATGGCTTCAGAGAACGGCTTAAACGAAGATTCGAACATAGTAGAAGAGGTTTCCGAGACCAAAAGAAGCAGAGAAGAAGACAAAGAAGGCAAAGAAACGAAGAAAACAGAGAAGAACAAAGAAGAAGATCATGAGAAAACCAAAACGGTTCCGTTTTACAAGCTCTTTGCTTTCGCAGATTCATTTGATATCCTCTTGATGATCCTCGGGACGATTGGATCTATTGGAAATGGTCTCGGTTTCCCTATTATGACCATACTGTTCGGAGATCTAGTTGATGCTTTCGGACAGAACGTGTTTAACCCAAATGTTACCGACAAAGTCTCCAAAGTAAATGTTTCTTTATTAACTCAGATCGATTTCAAGATTTTTGACTTTTGCTGATAATTAATAGTTTCTTAATCTCACTCACAGGTTGCTCTGAAGTTTGTATGGCTTGGAATCGGTACCTTCGCGGCTGCCTTCCTCCGTAAGTTATTGGATCTGTCAAAAGATTTAAAGAAAACAAAAAAACAGAGTTTTTAACGTTCTTGATATGTCTTGTAGAATTGTCTGGTTGGATGATTTCTGGAGAGAGACAAGCAGCAAGAATAAGGAATATGTATCTAAGAACCATCTTAAGACAAGATATCGCATTTTTCGACGTCGATACAAATACCGGTGAGGTCGTTGGAAGAATGTCCGGTGACACTGTGCTTATTCAAGACGCCATGGGAGAGAAGGTACACACAGCAGCAAAGTCAAACAAAAAAAGGGTTTTTTTTTAAGTTGGTTTTTGATGGAAACGACGGCGTTTTTCAGGTGGGGAAAGCTATACAACTTGTATCAACATTTATAGGAGGCTTTGTGATAGCTTTCATAAGAGGATGGCTTCTGACTTTAGTCATGTTGTGTTCAATTCCTCTTCTTGTAATGGCCGGTGCGGCTCTCGCTATCGTCATTGCTAAAACAGCTTCTCGTGGACAATCCGCTTATGCCAAAGCAGCCATTGTCGTTGAGCAAACCATCGGTTCCATAAGAACGGTAATAAACAGTTTTACACTTACTTGTTATGCACGCTTTCTTGGCCAACAAGTTAAAGAATGTGACATTTCTTGTAATTGTTCAGGTTGCGTCATTCACTGGAGAGAAACAAGCGATAAGCAATTACAACAAACATCTAGTCTCTGCTTATAAAGCAGGAGTCATTGAAGGTGGCTCAACAGGATTGGGACTTGGAACGCTCTTTTGTGTAATCTTTTGTAGCTACGCTTTAGCGATTTGGTATGGAGGAAGGCTGATATTGGATAAAGGATACACTGGAGGACAAGTTCTCAACATCATCATCTCTGTCTTAACTGGATCCATGTAAGTGTATTGAAAACTACTTTGTTCTATGTTCATCTTCTTCTTGAAACCTAATTTGAGTTTTGTTCTTGCTTCTTTCCTTAATTAGGTCGTTAGGTCAAGCGTCTCCATGCTTAACCGCGTTTGCAGCTGGACAAGCAGCGGCTTACAAGATGTTTGAGACAATAGAGAGAAGGCCTGACATTGATTCTTATAGCACAAATGGTAAAGTGTTGGATGACATAAAAGGAGATATTGAGCTCAAAGATGTCCACTTTGCTTACCCGGCGAGACCAGACGAGCAGATCTTCCGAGGCTTCTCGCTCTTTATCTCCTCCGGCACAACCGCGGCTCTAGTCGGACAGAGCGGGAGCGGGAAGTCAACGGTTGTGTCTCTGATCGAGAGGTTTTACGATCCACAAGCCGGTCAAGTCCTCATAGATGGGATTAACCTAAAAGAGTTTCAGCTGAAATGGATCAGAAGCAAGATTGGACTTGTGAGTCAAGAACCTGTTCTCTTCACTTCAAGCATCAAAGACAACATCGCCTACGGTAAAGAAGGCGCGACCATCGAAGAGATCAAAGCCGCTGCAGAGCTCGCAAACGCGTCCAAGTTTGTTGACAAGCTTCCTCAGGGTTTAGACACGATGGTTGGAGAACACGGCACTCAGCTCTCAGGCGGACAGAAGCAGAGAATCGCAGTGGCTAGAGCCATCTTGAAAGATCCGAGAATCTTGCTTCTAGACGAAGCTACAAGCGCGCTTGATGCAGAGTCTGAGAGAGTGGTTCAAGAAGCGCTTGACAGAATCATGGTTAACCGGACTACAATCGTGGTTGCTCACCGGTTAAGCACTGTGAGAAACGCTGATATGATCGCTGTGATCCACCAAGGGAAGATCGTAGAGAAAGGCTCTCACACAGAGCTGCTAAAGGACCCTGAAGGAGCTTATTCTCAGCTCATACGTCTACAAGAAGAGAAGAGATCGGAAGAGAATGTAACGGACGAGCAAAAGATGTCGTCTCTCGAATCATTCAAACAGTCTAGTCTGAGGAAATCGTCTCTAGGCCGGTCTCTAAGCAAAGGAGGAGGATCCTCAAGAGGAAACAGCAGCCGACACTCTTTCAACATGTTTGGTTTCCCAGCAGGGATCGACGGAAACGACGTCGCAGAAGACCAAGAAGACGTTACTACTCAAACGAAAACAGAGAAGAAGAAAGTCTCTGTTCGCAGAATCGCTGCTCTAAACAAACCGGAGATTCCGTTTCTCATACTCGGAGCAATCTCAGCAGCAGCAAACGGAGTGATCCTTCCTATTTTCGGAATACTAATCTCAAGCGTGATCAAAGCGTTTTACAAACCGCCAAAACAGCTCAAAGAGGACACGAGCTTCTGGGCCATCATATTCATGGCTCTCGGCTTCGCATCCATCATCGCTTACCCGGCGCAGACTTTCTTCTTCGCCATAGCTGGGTGCAAGCTCGTGCAGAGGATAAGAAGCATGTGCTTCGAGAAAGTGGTACACATGGAAGTCGGATGGTTCGATGAGTCAGAGCATTCGAGTGGAGTGTTGGGAGCGAGACTATCATCAGACGCAGCGGCGATACGTGGCTTAGTTGGAGATGCTTTGGCTCAGATGGTTCAGAATCTCTCCTCTATATTGGCTGGTTTGATCATTGCCTTCTTGGCTTGTTGGCAGTTGGCTTTCGTCGTCCTCGCGATGCTTCCGCTTATTGCACTCAATGGGTTTCTTTACATGAAGTTCATGACTGGTTTCAGCGCTGATGCGATGGTAATAACTAATAAACTAGTTACTTTTTCTTGTCTATATATACTAGTGCAACCATTTAAGCAACTCTAAATCTCTTTAAATGGCAGAAAATGTATGGGGAAGCGAGCCAGGTGGCGAATGATGCGGTGGGGAGCATAAGGACAGTGGCGTCGTTCTGTGCGGAAGACAAAGTGATGGAAATGTACACGAAGAAGTGTGAAGGTCCGATGAAGACAGGGATACGTCAAGGGATAGTGAGTGGTATTGGTTTCGGGGTTTCCTTCTTCGTTCTCTTCGCTTCTTACGCTACCAGTTTCTATGTCGGAGCAAGGCTTGTGGATGATGGCAAAACCACCTTCGACTCTGTTTTCAGGGTAAGAGGAAATGAAACAAACACAAAACAGAGTTTTATGTTCGATTTTTTTTTTATTGATTCTTCTTCTTTGACAAATGTCAGGTTTTCTTTGCTTTGACGATGGCGGCTATTGCGATTTCTCAATCGAGTTCGTTGTCTCCTGATTCGAGCAAAGCCGATATCGCTGCTGCTTCGATTTTCGAGATCATAGACAGGGAATCGAAGATTGACCCGAGTGTGGAATCTGGAAGAGTGTTGGATAATGTTAAAGGAGACATTGAGCTACGTCATGTCAGTTTCAAGTACCCAGCAAGACCAGATGTTCAAATCTTCCAAGATCTTTGTCTGAGTATTCGAGCTGGAAAGGTTTGGATTCTTCTAAACTTTGCAAACGAACAAAAAGGCAGAGCCTTTGAGACAAAACATAAATCTCTCTGTTTTTTTTTTTTTTGGAACTTTTCAGACAGTTGCTTTGGTCGGAGAAAGCGGGAGCGGGAAATCAACGGTGATTGCTTTGCTACAGAGGTTTTACGATCCGGATTCAGGTGAGATCACACTCGACGGTGTGGAGATCAAGAGCCTGCGACTAAAATGGCTGAGGCAACAAACAGGACTCGTGAGCCAAGAACCAATCTTGTTCAACGAAACAATCAGAGCCAACATTGCTTACGGTAAAGGAGGAGACGCCAGTGAATCCGAAATCGTATCCGCAGCTGAATTATCAAACGCCCATGGATTCATCAGTGGTCTCCAACAGGTAAAATTGAAAAGAAAATCAAAAATTGAAATTGGGTTATCGGGTCGGGTCACAATAACCCGGGATTGCTTTGCTGGTTTTAGGGTTACGAGACGATGGTGGGAGAGAGAGGAGTTCAATTATCAGGCGGACAAAAGCAGCGAGTGGCTATAGCGAGAGCCATCGTCAAGGATCCAAAGGTATTGTTACTCGACGAAGCGACGAGTGCTCTCGACGCAGAGTCTGAGCGCGTGGTCCAGGACGCTCTTGATCGGGTTATGGTAAACCGGACCACGATTGTGGTGGCTCACCGGTTATCGACGATTAAGAACGCTGACGTAATTGCCGTCGTTAAGAACGGAGTCATCGTTGAGAAAGGGAAGCACGAGACTTTGATTAAAATTAAAGACGGTGTTTATGCGTCGTTAGTTCAGCTTCATTTGAGTGCCGCTTCTTAAAAAAAAAATATTTATTCCCCTTCATTTTCAATTTTTTTGTGTGTTAATAACTTAATTATGCCTCATTTATACGTATATTGTTGCTGTTGTTTTTATAGTTCAACATTTTTGAGAAACATTTTTTTTCTCTTTTATTATTGGTGGTTCAACCAAAAATATGTACATATACAACTTGAGATTGAATGGTCAAAAGTAAGAATAATGTCCAAATATCATATTTGCATTTAGTTTGGTACTTTGGTATCAACAAACTTGAAATTTGTTTTCTTTTTTTCTTTTGGTTCTTCTCTATCTGTTTGGTTGCATTTCCTATGGGTTACTGATATAATTCTTTTGGCAATGCTACTTTATATTATATGGAATGTGATTTTGTTACCTGTGTCATTTTTTGTGTGCATCTTCACTTGTGCTAATAGTTAACTATATCCGAACAATGGTTTACATCAGACAACAACTTACTTCGAAATAAACAAAGTTAGACTTCAGTAGTGGTAATTAGCTCTTGTAATCTTCAACCGTCTAACACTAGACAAGAACATCCTACAATCAAATTAAAAGCCATGAAAACAAATATTTAAGTATGATAAATTAACTTTGACCAAAAAAAAAAAGTATGATAAATTAACAATCTAATTAAGGAAATAACTAAACTTTTTTTTTTCGTTTTTAAAAGAAAGTGCTTACTCCCAAGGAACATCCCCAACCATTATCCAGTCACCTTCCTTGTCTGCGTAGGTTAGCACATGACTCTTCTCGCTGCACATCTCTTCTTCTTCAGCCCCTGTTTCCATTTTCGTTTTTTAATTGCCATCAATTTTTCATCATTTTATTTATGATTTACCCTTTGTACCACCTTACACACTTCACACTATCTTACAAACTTTGACCTACGAAAATGCATCATTATGTGTACTTACAGAGAATGGATGCGCTGAACATGAAATCTAGGGTTCGGATCAAGTCATGGTAGCCATTAAGAGACATTAGATCGATCTTTCTTCCAATAGGAACTCCCTCCATGTTCACCTTCACGAAGAAGCTCCCTACGCTGTTACACTCGTTCTCTTCGTCCTCCTCCTCCGCCACCGCTGCCGGAGCTGCAACGGAATACCCGTAACCAGCGTTGAAATATTCCGTCCGTGAGGATGTCTCGAAGCTGAGTCCGAGCCTCAGGTCCGTGCTTAGGTTCCGAGTACTTGAAGAGCCACCGAATGGGTTGCTCTTACCGCTACTCTCTATCGACGAAGACGACGAACTTCTCCCTCTTCCCATATCTCTACAGAGACTCTCGATCCTCTCTCTCTCTATCTATCTATCTTATTTTTAATTTTTTTAGGTTGAGACAAATGAGTAATGAGCCGCCATGCTTGGTTTGTACGTATGTGTTTATATAGAGATATTTATTTTATTTAAATTTGGTGCCCTCTTTCGTATTTTGTTTTGTAAATTATACTCCTACACAAGTACAAAAAGCGACGGTGGAATGATGAGACAGCAGCGTCCGCTAACGATGTTGTTAGTGTAGCAGACATAAACACGTGTCAAATGGCGATTCGATCAAAGTGTTGGTTATGATTCTGTGGGTTCCGGTTTCGCTCTACTTAATGTTCATTTTCTACTACATTGACGAACAAATTATTTGAAAATTAAATGGTTTCATATGAAATGGATAGAATCGCTAACCGCATCTGCAAAATCAGAAGCAATAGTGAATGCTTGGCTACTTGATGATCGGTTTAACACTTCTCTCTTAAGTTAATTAGGTATAATTCTGCTTATCACTATTTTTTACAAAATTAAGAATAATGGATCTAATGAAAGGACCGTTAACAACCGTGAAACCGGTAAAAACATGCCCATTATTAATGATGTAAACCATACGTAATGTAATAGCGAGAAGAGAAGAAGTTTTACGTGATCATCAATAAATCAACCGAGAAAATTTTAAAGTTTTAAAGAAAGAGGGGTCATGAGTAATGAATGGTTCACCTTAAAGAGAGGACCTAATGAGACTTCCTTTGTCTATGGAACTTAGGGAGACGTCACAATTCTCATATTTGCAAGCACGATAAAAAGGAAACACACGCACACACACACGACACAACGACCAACACTTACATTTCTTGCCATTCCCACTTGGCACTTTTATTTCCACGTGTATATGTACATTGTACAATGGGTTATGGGTGCATGTCATATGGTAGAATCAGTTTCAAGCAAAATTCAATGTAAGGAATCAAATCCTTGACTCGGCTTGGTTCTCCTCACTTTATTTTCGAGTTTCGACAATTCATTTAGAAATAAATTAGTTTGAACCAACGAGTTTTAGAGAACTATATAAGAAAAACAAAATCAAGAGAAAAAGGATAAAGGAGAGATGTTCCCTAACAACACTACAAATTACAATTTCCTCACTTTCATTTTTTTTCTTACGTACTGCCTCCGCCTCCTCTCTGTCCCCTACGTTTTCCATTATTTTCCACAGCAAAACAATTATAAAATTCCTCATATGTTTCTACTTTCTAGCATGAAAAAGGAAATGCATATATGTATGGAAAGTAATATACGACATTTCCACAAAATAGCGTGTACTATAGACTACAGTTTTGGCACAATTATCATGTATTTAGAAGAATCGCATTGTATTGGAAACATACATACATAGTCAAGTACTTTTCCATATTTTTCTTTTATATATGTGCGCTAATTTTGAGAATTCAACTTTACTGCGTCGTGGTTGCTTGTCAGTCAAAACTTGGGGTTGCTTGCTTGCTTTTCATAAAGATGCGTGATTGCATTTGCATGTCTCGTGGCGCTTTTTTTCCTAGCCCCTCTTGTTGAACTAATCATAGTCATAGCCTTTTGTTTTCCCCCTTTGCTTTAACATTACTGAAATAATGGGATTCATTTTCTTTTGTTTTAATATACATACTTACATGTATTCCTCATAGCTGAGATTTAATTACGTTAGATTACAAAATGACATGAAATAAAATTAGATTATTCAAACGATACTCTTTATAAAACAGAGTTTTTTTTTGTTTTTTTTAACAGGATTTGGTTAGTCTACGTGATACAAACCAAAAGAAAAGGACAAAGAAAAACTAGTACTAGTATTACATTGGATGTTGTCCAACTAAAATAGAAACATTGAATTGTCTAAGCTAATTGAATCAGACTCGCATTCGAGTACGATATACACATTTAGAAAACCAACCATTTGCCAAAAAAACTTGATATTCTTTCTATGGTCGAAATAAGTGTAGTCTTTGAAGGAAGAAGTATATAGTCCTCATCAAGGGGCAAGGGCAATCAAGTGGAGGTCCTATTTGTTTATACTGAAAGCTTAATACGTTTATAAAACAGAAATGATATGGAGCTCTATAAAGAAGAGATACGTGCATGCGTGCGTGCGGGTATTGAGTCGAGATGTTACGTGCGTGTCTTTTTATAGATACTATATAATATTCATCAAAATCCTTAAAATGTTTAGATTACGCACGCAATCCATGAATTGTATATAGATTTACCAAATCTTGAGATTATTTTTTGGTTTCTTACAAATCACGAACAGTGGCCAGTGGGTAGTGTGACATTTTGTCCCTGTTTATCATATATGACGTATAATTTGAACGATTTTCGTTTTCCATTTATCATTTAATTGACCAAATCTTATTTGAGAATAGTTTGATTAGTTTACCATTTGTGATGATAACTGGATGTTGTACAAAAAAATAGTTGATTTGTACAGAGTTTTTCTGTTGGACTATCATACAATATTCTCTTCACATGCGTATATTTTTTGGATTTATGTAATGTTTAACTACCTTAAAATAAATGGTTTTCGAACCCAGTTTGGTGTGTGTCTATATAGTGTTCCATATCTATCTATCAACAATCAAGTATCAACACATTTTCAGTAACTATATCCAACGTATATGATATGATATATTTTAAAATATCAAATATGATGTATCATGTATTTATAATTACATTATATATTATATACATGAACTGATGATGTAGTTTTGAAATTTCTCCAATGATCCATTTTATGTATGTCACATTTTATGAACGCGTCTCACCGGATCTTCTTTACTGTTACAAACGTTCTAAGCTTTACCGTCAATTTCAACAGAATCTTTTTCACATGCGAAGACCGTTTCCGTTTGCAGCAATTGGATTTTTTTTTTAGAAGGAATTACGGCGCCAAAATTTTAGGATCAATAAGCAGATGATGACACGTGTTTTCGCCTCAATCGAACGGTGAAGATACAATGTAATTTGAAAGAGATCATAGGGTCAAAATCGTCCACTTTTCCGCGTCTCATATACGCAATTCAGCTACAGTGAGGCGGTTTTGTTTACCATTTGCGAAATTAAAATTTTCATTTTCCCCGCCTCTCTCTCTCTCTCTCTCTCTCTCTCTCTCACCGCAGAGATTTCGAATTTCTGCTTAGCTCTCAGTCTTCTCAGCTCATATTTTCAGTTAATTTTCCGGTGATCTTCACGAGAATCACGAGCCAGGGCTCTCACACTTCTCCCACGAGCTTTGAGTAAGTGATTCTTCCTTATTGATACCGTCGCTTGATTTTCTCTGATTTCGCTTTCGATTTATGGCTTGTTACTGTTGGATTCGGTGTAAATCCGTCGCGATCTATGCCCATTTTCGTTTATATGGAGATATCGTCTCGATTTACAGATCCGATAACTGTTTAATAGTCGCCTTGCAAACTCGGAAGCGTAAATGTGAAATTTGTTTGCTAGAGATATGTGATTAGGGGTTTTTTCGTTCTCGAATAATTTCTGTCGATTGTCAGCTTCCAGTTTGAATCCATTATGCATTCATCGTTCGGAATTTGACATCTATAATCTGTTTCTTCTCTTGTTTTCATCATGCTATCCAGATCTAACACCGAATTTTGTTGGGTATTTTGTATTTCAGAGCTTCGAGATTCTCTGGAAAGGTCGTCGTCACTCTGATCTGTTTTTTTCTCAAATAGGTATACAACGATTGGATTGTAATTTCTCTGGGTTTCCAATTTGACACTCTCACTGATTCTCATCCATTTTCAAATAGCTTGTGTTGCATTCGGAATAATATTGCGAATCTGTGATCCATACACGAATGCCTATTTTCAGGAAAAGATGAGCGATTATAGAAGCTTCGGCAGTAACTATCACCCATCAAGTCAATCCAGAAAGGTTTCCATTGGAGTTATGGCCGATTCTCAGCTCAAGAGAAATCCTGGGCCAGTTAAGGGTGATGGAGATGTCATTGCTAGAGTAGAAAAGTTGAAATCAGCCACAGTAGCTGATTTACAGGCGAACAAGGAAGATAAAGGTGATTTAGCTACCAACAAGCAGAGAAAATCAGCTCAGGGCACAGAACAAGCGACCTCACCTTGGAGGTCTCCAAGATCCTCTTATCGGAGATTGGGGACTCTGGAGAATGTTCTTTCTAAGCAAACGACTAGTTTGTCTGGTAGCAAAGGATTAAGCAAGGGACTTAACGGAGCACCTCAGGCACCAGCTCGTGAGCCATTCCAAAACTTACCCATCTCGACTCCTCAGCACAGTGATGGTGAGCTGAACGGTGGCAGGAACGACAATGGGATGGATAGGACTCCAGAGAGGATGGAAGAACCTCCATCTTCAGTCTTGCAGCAAAAGATTGCGTCACAGAGAGAGGAGATGGATAAACCAGAGAAGGATAAAAATGGAGGTACTGATGTTTTAAGATCAAAACTGTGGGAAATATTGGGGAAAGCTTCGCCAGCATACAATGAAGATGTGAGCTCTGAGACCCCAGAAGTGGTGAAGACCAACTGCAAGTTGAGTCAAGACAAGGGTTCAAATGAGGATCCTCTTATTAAGCCTAGACACAATACAGATTCTATTGAAACTGATTCTGAGAGCCCTGAAATTGCAACCAGAAGGCCAGTAACTAGAGCTTTGTTGCAGAGGAGGGTAGGAACCAAAGGCGTCCAGAAGAGAACCAAAGCTGGTGCCAACTTAGGTGGCAAAAGCGCAGAACAAGGAAATAGTGTATTCTCCTTTGAAGAAGGTTTGCGCGGAAAAACTGGCACTGCTATGAATTCCAGTGTTATGCCGAAGAAACAAAGGGGTAGGAGAAAAAACACTGTTGTGAAATGCCGAAAGGTTAATTCTCGCAACAAGGATGAAGCTGATGGGATTCGGAAGGAGCTGAGTAAGAGTAAAACTCCACAACGTTCCGAGAGCACGGGAACTGGCAAAAGGTCTTCATTTTCAGACAAAAAGGAAAGTTCCCATGAGCTTCAACAGCAGAGCAAAGCCCGGAAACAAGAACCAAATATAAGAACAAGGGAAGAAGATCTTCATCCATCGCCAGAAGCTGAAACAGCAGCTACACCAGAGATGTTTCATGGATTATCTAAAGATGGCGATAAACAGGAAAGACCGAATAATGTTTTCAGGGAAAAGTCTACTGAGCCAGAAAACGAGTTCCAGAGTCCAACGTTTGGATATAAAGCACCAATCTCAAGTCCTTCCCCTTGTTTTTCTCCCGAAGCATCTCCTCTGCAACCCAGGAATACTAGTCCTGCTTTTGATACAGAAACACCAATATTTAGCTTTGGTACTAAGAAAACCTCTGAAGGGGCAAAAGGCCAAGCGTCAGACACAGAGATGAGATTGCCTGTAACCTTCATAAACTCAAGCTGCTTTATTTCACTTAAGAGTTATGCATGTTGACTTATCATATTCTTCTTTTGTGTTCCCTTGTTTATTTTCAGGACTTCTTGGAGAAGAAAAGAGATTATTCTTTCAGAAGAGAGAGTTCTGGCGAGCCAAATGAAGATTTAGTTCTGTCAGATCCGTCCTCAGATGAGAGAGGTTCAGATGGATCAAGAGAAAACTCACCAGCGTTGGGACGTTACAGCAGTACGCTTCTTAATTTTGTTTTTTTTTTGTTTTTGTTCTAGACCATATAGAAACTGGAGGATCTTAATAACAGAATCCATGTTTTACTTATTTTACTGATCTTGTGATTCAGGTCCCGAAGAAAGAGAAATTGCCAATTGGAGTAATGAGAAATCGAAGCTGGGGTCTAGCACAGCTAAACGGAACTCTAACCGTAAGGGAAGGGGACGCGTTGTATTAAGTCCTACGTCGTCTTTGTCCAAAGGTATAGTGCTCATTTGTTATGTCATCGGTGTGGCCTTTTTAGACTACATCCTTATTTGTTTTGTCTTGAAAACTAAGCAGGAATCAATAAAACTGCTTCCTTCCAGCAGTTTTCAGAGATGGATGAAGATGAAGATGAAGGCTTGGGAAGGTCTCTTTTGCTTGAAGATATAACTAACATTACGTTTCTACTTGATATCTTCTTTCGTGTCTTCAGCTGATTACTTAACCATGTTGCAGGGCTATTGCATTGTTCGCTGTGGCTCTTCAAAACTATGAGAAAAAACTGAAATCTGCAGCTCAAAAGAAGTCCTCCGAAATTATAGCATCGGTCTCCGAGGAGATACATCTGGAGTTGGAGAATGTCAAGTCTCACATCATAACAGAAGCGTATGTTTGCTCAATTGATTATGCATTGCTCCTTTCTTGTATTCAATCAATGAGACTGTTTAATTACTGCACAGGGGAACAACGAGTGACCTAGCCAAAACTAAGAGAAAGCATGCCGAAACAAAATTACAAGGTAATCAATGCATCATATCTTCATCAGTGTAAATTATTTCACAAAGCTTTTTATATAACTTGTTTGCTAGGGATCAGAAACTTGATATTAACTCTTGCTCATTAGATTGTGTACCGTCATTTCTGTTTGAAGAACACACCATTCATTCACCTCTCTGTTCTAAATTGTTCACTGATAGATGCTATATATATACGTATGTCTTGATTTAGGTTCTCATATTGACACGAACATAGTTCCTCAAGAAAAAGCTATATGCCCAATTCCTATAAGGATAACAGAAATGTAGAATTGTGTGTTTGTCGTAGGACAATAGAGTCTTGAATTGTCCTGATGTGTAAGAATATGCAAGATCATCACTGATGATCTAATCGTAATGCAGAGCAACAAGAGAAAATGAGGATGATCCATGAAAAGTTCAAGGACGATGTGAGCCATCATCTTGAAGATTTCAAGAGTACTATTGAAGGGCTTGACGCAAACCATTCGGAACTGAAAGGAGCCATAAAGAAGCAAAGTATGTTGGCTTTTCTTAACTCTTGCTTTTCAGTTATCACGCATTCACAAGTATCATAGTTAGATTCTTTTTGGAGGACGGACGAGTCTTTTGCCTAAACTCACTTGAGGTCTATCTCTTTGTTGACAGAAACGTCACACCAAAAACTCATAGCCAATTTTGAAGGAGGCATCGAGACAAAACTGGATAATGCGACAAAGAGAATCAATTCTGTCAACGAGGTAAGTCTTGTTCTGCTCTTGAGAATCAAATTTAGTAATTAAAAATCATCACTGTATCTTAAATTGGTTTCTTTGGTCACAGTCTGCGAGAGGAAAGATGTTGCAGCTTAAGATGATTGTTGCTGAATGTTTGAAGGATGATGTGTTGGATTGAGCTCAAGTCTCACAGAATCAGTCACCTTCTCACACGTAAATCATTCTCCCACTTATCAACGTACCCATACTTTAACTAGACGAGCCGTGATTTGGTTGTTTCCCCTTTTAGTAATTTTACACACACAAACAGCAAATCCTTATAAGGTTAATATTCTGTGTCCAGTGGTCTCATCAGTTCACGTGGGATAAAGAGAGATAGTAGTAGATGCTTTGCCTTGCCTCATTCGTATAAAATAGTTTACTGTAATATGTGACCAACTTATGTTTAAATTGGACCATATATTTTCTTTATTGATCGTTCGCTTTTACATATCTCTTAATTTAAACCAATCCAATCTAAATTTCAGCTTAACTAAATCAGAAAAACCCCAACTTTCTTTCCCACATTCTTGTTTGTTTTGTTTAAAAACAATCCTGCCGCTAATATGATGTTGTTAAAAAACATCTCTTAATCTTTTTTTTTAGCAAACGAAATTCTTACTTAGCTATCTGTAATTCGTCTAAATATAAAACCAAACTGATATTGGTTCTAATTCGGTAAATTTTATTTAGTGTAAAATCTTGCTCCAGTGGGAATATCACAACCGAAAAAAGAGAATGTTCTTTTCTAGTTAGAAACGGTAAACGAAGAATGTAAAATGCGATGATAAAGTAAAAAATGCACAAAACGACAAGTTTATTTTCTTGGACGCACTAAACGACAAGTAGCAGTTGTTAGACCATGTAAGAAAGGGGAGACAAAATAACACAAAGGGGTTGATGAATCACGCGGCATCACGTGAAGTGCACGTGGATTTAGCCAAAAAAGGCAGTTGTAGGTCCCACTAAAATATGCTTTTAAGATGGGGCCCATCCCTTAAGAAGAGACAGACATGACTCCATGACCCATGTCTTTGTGGCGTGAAGCTTCTTTCCACTCCCGTGGGGCTATTTTTTTTTATGCGCCCGTCTATCTCACGACTCGCACACACATCAGTGTTAAAAAAATCACACAGTAAAACTTTAGTGGAGTGAAGTATTAAGAGAAAGGATAAGAAAAAATCATAACATTAAAAAGTGATGACCATGCTCCTGATTACATAATTTGGTTCTTAAATTTTATGCTCTTTCTGTTTCAAGTTCAACCATAAAATATTCTTTATTTCCCTTTCAAATTTGAATAATTGTTAAGACGGAGACAAAACAACAAATTGTCATCGTAGATTTGACTTTAATTTTGTTGGATTTTTCTCTTCTTTTCTAAAGCACAGAAAAAGGGAGCGGTGGAGAAGAGAAGTTGGTCATAACTCTTTCTTTGTCTTTCATTTCACTATCGCCCATACATTCTTGTCTTCACCCATACTATACGAGGAACGCACCTAAATGCAGCTAATTCCAATAATATTAGTAACAGTTACTAATAGATCTTGGGTAAATTTAATTAATATACACAAATAATCTGACAATTAAGTATTTTACAAAATAACATGATAATTAGTTTTTTAGCAGAGAGAATATATTCTGTAAACCAAAACTATCATTTTAATCTTAAGATATTACATAAGTTGTTATTGACTTATCTGATGCCATTAACATATTTAGTTATTATAATATCAGTAGTTAACGTGATAATAAATAGTTATCATAATATCATATAAGTTAGCATGATAATCAATATTGTTATCATAATATTATATAATTTAGCATGATAATCAATATTGTTATCATAATATCACCAATATCTGATGATAACTTATTTAATTATCATGCTAACTAAAATCGTATTATGATAACTATTTAACTTAATTGTTAACAAACATGTTAGCATATTATTTGGAATTTGCTAACACATTAAAAATATTTTGTAGAGTCAAGGTGTTGTGAGTCTTTGGTCAATGAATAGTGAATGAACAGTACAATAATAAAACTGTTAATGTCATCCATTTAATTATGGGATTATTGATGTATATTCCTTGCAATTTCCCATAGATCTTTAACAAAAAAAAACAGTTACTAATAGATAATATACATTTTATATGATTATATGGTTTTCTTACGACGCATGTATGTAAACAAATACAAGAAATCTACTTTCACTAGCATCGTTTGTTTCTGGTATGAAAACACAAGGGGTAAATCTGAGGTTTGATCGTTGAATTTAGTCACAAAATAACGACAAAATTCATAAAACAAATAAATGCTTATTGATTTTTATCAGAATTAGAATTTACAAAAATAAAAGAGATAAAGGTTGTAAGTACGGATTGGAGAACCAGAATATATGAATATATATATATATATATATATATATATATATATATCTCTCCCTATATATACAAATCTGCACCTCTTCATGAACCCCAATAAAGACTAAACCAAAGTGTGTATTCCATTTCTCTCCCATTCCACAATTCATAAACACCAAAAAAAACAATTTACCTCAATGGGAAAAATTCCCTGTGCATCACCAGCCCAACCAAACATGATGACTCCATCGTCGAGCTTCAAACCAATGTTAGTTTCTTGATTTATCTACACTTAATTACTACGACTTCTACGCACACACAAACACGTATATTAGGATATGTATCTTTACGTACGTGGACTGATGTTTTACATATTCGTGACTCATTTGTTGCAGATTGAACGATCAAGATTATATGGAGCTGGTTTGCGAAAATGGGCAGATTCTTGCAAAGAGTCCAAAACCCAACAACATCTGTTCTTTTCAGATTCAACGTACGCAATCTCTCTTGGATTTGTATGAGACTGAGTACGATGAGGGATTCAAGAAAATCATCAAGAATCTTTGTGACACACAAGTTGTTCCGGTGAGCCAATCTCAGCGACACCAAGATGAAGAAAACTATGAGCAAACGAATAATATCAATACTAAGAAAAGGAAGACTAAGCCCTTGGAGATCGAGTTTGAGAGAGATGTCTCGAAGAGCAACAAAGTTGTTGAATCATCAACTGATAAGGATGGTTCTTTCAAAGCTTCAAAGAATGTCGGTGTTATAACAGCTCCTCCTGATGAGCAATCTGCTGCCGTTGGAAGATCAACGGAATTGTATTTTGCTTCTTCTTCCAAGTTATCTCGAGGAACTTCGAGAGATCAAAGAAGTTGTTCTTTAAAGAGAAAGTATGGAGACGTTGAAGAAGAAGAATCAACAACCTATCTTAGTAATGTAAGAGAAAATAATTAATTAATTAGTAGTTAATTAGATTCCTCAGGTTCTTGTTTTAATTCTTTCACATGGTGGATCATTAAAATTAAAACAAAATTGTTTTTCATTTTAACTATGCAGAATTCGGATGATGAATCAGAAGACTCGAAGACGACACAAGTTTCTCCGAGAACAAGAAAGACGGTGACTAGGAGAAAACGAAGCACAGAAGTCCATAAATTATCTGAAAGAGTGAGTTTAATTATAACTCTATATGCACTCTCATCTCCTTAATAATTTCACTTGAAAAAATTATTAAAAACGTATGAATGAAAATAGAGTCTAATTAATTTGTAATGATGTGTAAAACAGAAACGAAGAAACGAAATCAACAAGAAAATGCGTGCTTTGCAGGATCTACTACCTAACTATTACAAGGTTTGAGATTAACTTAAACTACATTCGATTGTTTACTTAGAGAGTTTAATCTTTTCTTTGTGGAGATTTCTGAATATATTTATAATTGTTTATAGGATGACAAAGTATCATTGTTGGATGAGGCTATCAAATATATGAGGACCCTTCAACTTCAAGTTCAGGTATTCTAATCAATAATACATTAGTTCATAGACTTTCATCTTAAAAAAATACTAATTGAGAATTAATAATACAATTTTTTTTACACATGAGATTCTAAACATGTTTGTAATAATCGTTTACAGATGATGAGTATGGGAAATGGATTAGTAAGACCACCTACGATATTGCCAATGGGTCATCATTACTCTCACATGGGTCTTGGAATGCATATGGGTGCAGCAGCAACTCCAACAACATCATTACCGCAATTTCTGCCTATGAATGTTCAAGGGATTAACAATGAATCATCACAAATGCTAAGCTTTCTTAATCAGCCCCATCATCACATCTTCTCTCCATTGGGAGGTTGCTCTCAGCGATACGTGCCTTCGTGTGTTCCTCAGACTACTTCTTTTACGCAATTCCCAAATTCTGCTTCGACCTCAAACTTAGAAGATGGAACGCAATTTAGAGGAAGCAATGGTTATTATCCCTAGCTAGCTAAACTAATATACTCCCTCCGTTTTTTTAAGATAGATTTTCTAGATATTAGTTGTTGTTTCACAAAGATAAATTTTATACTTTTTTGATATACTTTTTCAGTTTTCAAGAAACAATGATTGTATTTGTTAGATTTTTATTGGTTGAAAATTATGAAAAGTTGTTTTATTGCAGAAATCAATACACTAATGATTGAAAATCTGCTTTTCCTTAATATGTGTAAAAATTCTAGAAAATTTATAAAAAAAATACGGAGGGAGTATTTGTTAAGTAGTCGATGTCTTATCCAACTAACTGATTTGGATTAAAAAACAAACTGATAATTCTAAGTATTATCTAGTGGGGCTTATGGGGAATTGTTTCTTGATTAGAATGATTGAATTTGAATCCTAGTATTTTCAAATTGTGAATGTACAACGCTCTATCGCAACTTTAAGTTATAAAGTCGTGAGTGTATAACACTTATAAATCGAGGATGTGCAACAAGTGAATACTAACATGAACCAAAACTGGTCCAAAATGTCATTTAAAAAAAATATTTTTCTCCTAAATATTAAAATGCGAAAAGCCAAAAACAAAACAAAACCAAAGTTAAGCTATATAAGGGGGAAGTGATGATGAATCTCACAAGAAATGGATTTGGCATTTAGATGAACGCTTAGGAAGAGCAAGGAGGTCACTGGTGAGTTGCAGTTTCTTGTCATCATCATCAGCATCAATTTCCACTTTCATCACTTGAAGAAACTGCAAATGCCACAAAAACCACTTGGTTTGTGTAAATTCTCCAACATTTCCTCTGAACCCATATATCTCCAACACTTTCACTTCACTTGGTCGACCAATGTAGTAGACTCCCTCTTTTCCTATACAGTGCAAGCCCTGGATAAGCAACAAACAACCATCACAAATACAGAGTTAGGATTGTGAATTACCTAATTAATTCTCTGCTTATATATATTTAAATGAGGATACAACAAACACCTTGAGGACCAAAGTTTCAAGTTTTGGAGATCTGTAGAGCAGATCCGGAAGCACTTGCCAACCTTGTCTTGTGTTACTCTCTATAGAAAGTTTAACAAGGTTTACAAAGGAAGGTATTACCATACCGCTTCTTAACATTTCCTGAAACACACACACACACAAATATAATAAGAAAACAAACTATTAAGGCAAGGAAGAAGCAGACAAAGAGACACACGTCACACACCTTAACAGTAAGCGAAGAGAGGGAAAGGTTCTTAACGTTGCTCGCCCAGATAAAGATCCAAGATAGATATACACTCGATCTATGCATCTCTGGCACATCAACATCTAGTTTGGCTTCGACAAGGGAAACCAAGGGTTTGGCGGTCCTTACCTCATATTCCAAAGGAGCGTGACCAGAGTAATCGATGTAAACAAGACTCGGTGTGTCGAATGTCGTGGATGCACACACGTCAACACAGTTATTGGCGTGAACTGTGAGTTTCTTGAGGGTTTTGTGGGATACATACAAGTATGGGGAAGATGGTTGAGTATGCTCGTAACCACCAAGGTAATAATGTAATGATAATTCCTCAAGTACAGGACAACCAGGAAGCATCCTACGGCACAGTTTCTCGCATATAAACCAAAATCCATGTAAGACGAGACTCTTTAGCACTGGAAGACACACTTTTAGAATCTCTATTATAATAGGCCCAATCTCTATTCCTAAAGTTAGCTTAACCAGCGTCTTGTTTGTGAAGACAAGACTATTAAGCAAACACGCTGCCTCATGATGCACACTCGTCGTTAGACGCAGATCAAGATCCACGAGACCTTTATCCAAGGCAATGCGTATCCATTCGTCGGTACTGATATGACCATCTTGACATTTCAGCGAGAGTTTCTTTATGGTATTGCTACCGGAAAGTGTTTTCCCCACGAAATCTCTGAACCTCTGGTGCACATCTTGCTGCCTCTCTCTAGCTTTCGTTGTATCATCAATCTTTACCTCAGGATAAAGTAGGTCAGAGTCGTCTAAACAGAAATGATGTTGAGGAGCGAAGAGATGATTCATCAACGGAAACAGATTCCTCCACCTTTTAGAGAGGACAGACGTAGAAACAGCTCGTTTTGTGGGAAGATGAGACAATATCTTAGCAAGTATCTCATCTGTAAGAGAGTTGATTGCATCTCTAGATTCCATCTCTATGATCCCATAAGCCCTAGCTAGTTGAAATATGATACACTGATTTTAGTAATTCTGGATATATATATATATATATATATATACCTTTCTTTCCAGCGGAATCTGATGTCGGTTTTCTCCTATCTTCTTCCCGGAGTATTGTGTATCTCCTTTTCGACCTAATTCTTGGACTTTGAAACGTATTGTGTGCCACAAGTATAAACGCAGAATCTAAAACGACGACGAATCTTAGATGGGCCTGGTGGGCATTACAGTGGGCTTATTCAGTTTTTCTTTCAATTTAATCCTAGTGATCTTCGTAGTCTACGAAAAATATTCATATCTACAATAAATCGATAAAAAATAAATTCAAAAGAAAATACAAGTACTTTTTACTTTTAGCAAACAAAAAAAAAAGATTCTGGAAACGTATATCAGATTTTATTACAAGAAATAGCAAAATGCCAAAAGAAGAGACTGCAACTGTTCTTTACATGCCTTGTAAAGTTTGGAGAAGACAAGATTTATTACATAAGCAATGACCTCATCTTTCCTGCTTCTACTCGTATTACATTTTTTAATCCTTAGGACAAAACATGAAATTAGTAAATTACGTTCCTAAACAAGGATTAACTTGCCGACAAAAAAATAAAACCAAAGATAACACGGTCCCACATCTCCGTTAGAGAAAGACAACTTTTAAAATCTGAAGTTATCATTTTCCTCTTATTTTAATAAAAAAAGTTATCCTCTAATCAGTTATCACACACATTGTAATTAGATTATTATTTTATTTCATATGTGAAATATTTTCCATTGAGTTATGTTGAATTAATAAAAAATATATACATTCTATCGTCGTTAACTACTAAATATATAATGATTTTCTCCCTTGAAAACAAGTATGGCCCTGACTCAAATATGAAATGTGACTTCTTTTGTTTTGTTTTGTCGGCAAAATATAACTTAATATTTATCTCATATGAAATGGGATAAATATTAAAAAAAACGTAAGTAAAGAGAAGTGCTCGTGCGTTTTCTTATCACAAAAAATGGAAGTCACTCACACGACACAATAGTCACAAACCATTGAAAACCCCCCAATTCAACGCCACCTCACAAAACAATTTTTTTAACACAAAAACCTGATTGTTCTTTCAATGGAGCTCTTGAGCACGACCAATCTCTTAGCACTAGCTCTTCTGCTCCTTGTAGTTCCCAAGATTTATGAAGCTTTTCGGATCCTTGTTTGGCGGCCATGGATGCTATCGAGAAGATTCAAGAAACAAGGAATCTCAGGCCCAAAATACAAGATCCTCCACGGAAACCTCCCCGAGATGAGGAAGATGAAGCAAGAAGCTAAGCTTTCGGTTCTTGATCCAAGCTCCAACGATATCTTCCCTCGCGTTTTACCTCATTTCCAACAATGGATGTCTCAATACGGTGCCGTTTTTAGCTCTCCATTTCTCTCCTGCCTTAGCTCTGATCTTTTTTAGTTTTGTGTTTCATTAGACAAAGATGCGTAGTTCACAAGTTATCATGGCATTTTTATTAGGAGAGACGTTTCTTTACTGGCAAGGAACAGAGCCAAGGATATGCATCTCAGATCATGAACTAGTGAAACAGATCTTATCAAACAAGTTTGGTTTCTTTGTCAAACCGAAGACAAGACCCGAGATCCTTCAACTTGCTGGTAAAGGACTTGTCTTCGTTGATGGTATTGATTGGGTTCGTCATAGACGAATCTTAAACCCTGCATTCTCCATGGACAAACTCAAGGTTTTTATTTTTTAACAAAATATAGTTCCTGACCATATTGACTAGAAGACGATATAAGATAGAACTTTTATATTTTCGTAATTTCTTCATGTTACTTATTTGATCAGATTATGACCAAATTAATGGTGGATTGCACTTCGAGGATGCTTGAAGAGTGGAGAAAACAGGGGAATGGTGGAGAAAGAGAGAAAGTAGTGATGATGAACATTGAGTTTAAGAGATTAACCGCTGATATTATAGCGACTGCTGCGTTTGGAAGCAGTTATGCCGAAGGAATTGAATTGTTTAAATCACAAAGAGAACTTCAAAAGTGTTGTGCTACTTCAATCACTAACGTCTTCATCCCTGGAACACAGTAAGTTGTTTATAATCACACTACTATTTCTAAAGTTTCTTGTTGATTATTCTAGGGATCTAAAGACTGTTTTCGTTTCTTGTATCCCAAGGTACCTTCCTACGCCTTTGAATATTCAAATATGGAAGCTTGGTAGGAAACTGAACAACTCAATCAAAAGAATCATAGAGGAGAGGCTAAAATCGAAATCCAAGAACTTAGAGTCAGATTATGGGAACGATCTTCTTGGAATCATGTTAGCAGCTGCAAGATCTAACGAGGCTGCGAAAAAGATGGACATAAACGAGATCATAGAAGAATGCAAGACGTTCTTCTTTGCGGGACACGAAACTACCGCCAATCTATTGACATGGAGTACAATGTTGCTCAGCTTGCACCAAGATTGGCAAGAGAAACTCAGGGAAGAGGTTTTCAATGAATGCGGCAAAGACAAAATCCCAGATTCAGAGACATGCTCCAAACTCAAACTGGTAAATGCAAGTTACAAAATAGTTTCTTGCCGTTAAAGGAACCTTTTATATCTTAACCTATTGCAATAGGTTTCTTGCGGTTAAAGGAACCTTTGTAGCTTAACATAACGCTGTTAATGGTTGCAGATGAACATGGTATTGATGGAGACACTTCGTCTATACGGACCAGTGTTAAACATGGTCCGATCAGCAGCAGAAGATATGAAGTTAGGAAAGCTAGTGATCCCTAAAGGCACTACCATATTCCTCCCGCTTGTTAAGATGCACAGAGACAAAGCCGTTTGGGGAAATGAAAGCCATGAATTCAACCCACTGCGATTCGCAAATGGCGTTTCCAAAGCCGCTAATCACCCAAACGCTCTACTCGCGTTCTCAATCGGACCCAGAGCTTGCATTGGCCAAAACTTTGCCATGTTAGAGGCCAAGACCGTTCTCGCCATGATTCTTCAACGTTTCCGGCTTAATCTCTCTGGAAAGTATAAGCACGCGCCGGTGGATCACCTCACTCTTCAGCCTCAGTACGGTATACCGGTAATTCTTCAACCCATCGACAGTTGAAGTGTAAATGCTTCCATGTATGTATTTGGGCCAGCCCATTAACAATCGCTACTTATAGTTAATTGCTAGTTAACGTAACACGTTGCGTTCACGACTAAAGTCAAAAAGCGACTGGTCAAATTGATAAGCCTACGGTAAGCTTTCTCCCGAATTTTAGCAACAAATTCTACATCCTACTAATAGTTTATACAACATTTAATTAGAAAGTGACCATTATACAAAAAATCTCAGCTTAATACGAGATGTAGATATCATATGGCCCCGGTTTGGTGCTCATATACACGTTGGTTCATGATTCGATGAAGAAATGTCTTCGTTGAAAACGAAAAAGCTTAATTAAGAGAATATCACTTAATTAGTAATCTGGTTAGCGACAAATAATGGAAAAAAATAAACGTTTTAAGTACAAAAATGCGGATCCACACGATACAGTTTGAAGAGGAGTGTGACGGAGAAAAGTATAAGCCACATACGATCATCCCTGCAGGCACCACTAACTCTCTTAACATTTATTTCGTAATTAATTATGAGAATGATATCTTTTATTTGTTCACACCACATATTTTATTCGACGCAAACTATGCCAAACAAATAGAGACACATGCTTATATCATTAAATTTTTCAACTACGAGTATGAATTTCCCATGCCATTTTGTGTGTATGATTGGTGAATGCAAACATAATTCTCGATTTCAAAGTGTTTCGCATAAGTTTTACATACATTGAGAAAAAAAAAGATAGATATTCTTGGCCGAAAGAAAAACGATAGATGTTATCTGAAAGATATAAATATAATTTTCATATCTGACAGAAAAGTATAATAGGGATAAAGTGTATTTATACATGTTATTTTAGTATGCGTGGAAAACTTACCGTAGATATTTTTGTTTAAAGAAAAACAATTAAATATTTTAGCGATATTTATTTATCTATCATTAATTGTAGAAAGCATCATCAAATGCACAGGTGTTAGTACTAGCAATTTATTAATTAACGGATATGTAATGTAACTCCCGATTTGCCCCCAACGAGCGAGGCATATGGGACCAACCTTGGCTGTTAAAAGAAGGGGCAATTTCGAAAGCACAGAGAGATCCTCAAAACGATCCTGCGTTATGAAAAAAAAAATGGTTTAAGAGCTTGGATTATCTACTAATAAACGGTCGATTACCTAAAGCTACGATTTTGGATTATATGTATTCAAACACGCGTTACAGGTGTCGCTACTTATAGTGGTGAGAGTGATAGCTTTGAAAAATGTCTGAATAAAATCAGTCTCTAACTTAAGAAATAAAAATAAAAAGGGGTCACTAATATAAGCTGGTGACGTTAAAAGACCAAAAAGTGTCGCATTTTCTAAACAAATTTTAAAAATCAGTCCATATAAGATTAAAAAAACCCACCACAAGGTGAAATAAATAAGGATTATCCAACGTTAAAATATTTTTAAAATTCACATACAGAGGGTAAATACGTAAATTGCGCAATATCCGAGACTCGTTATAAATATGAGTTGACTCATTTTAGATCAATACTTGTGGAAGCAGCGAAACAAAAGTAAAAACTTTGAAAACATTACAGAACTTACGATACCTCTTCTTCTTGCTATCTTTAATGGCGTCAGAAGAGAGCTTGATGATCAATTCTTCTTCCATACTAGACGACGAGTACGACGACTCAGATGACGGGTTTCATAATTTTCATTACCAGACCAGGCAAAGCAGTCTGTCCAGGTTATCTGTCTGCACGAGCTCCTTTCACGACGACGGCGAGGATAGTTTCACGAATTTGATCTCTGAGCTGCCATTAGAGAGCTCCGACGACGACGACGGAGCCGAGGCGGACGGGGAACTCTCCGACGACGGTGATGAATCCGATTCCGAGAAGGAACCATCCGGATTTTACTCTCTCCCGACGATCATGTCTCGCCGGAGAAGGAAACTCACTGTTCCCGGCGGTTCGGAAGCTAGCGAAGAGAACGAAATGAAAATCGATGGCAGTAAGTGTAATTTAGTCAAGCAGAGAAGGGTATTAAGGGAAAAGAGTAAAAGAGGGATCCGATACAGTCACGGGTTTAACGGTGTGGAGAGAGACAGTGACGGAGACGGAAACCGTAACGGCAGGGGAGGAGGAGAATTGACGGTGTTAACGAAGGTGAAAGGAGGAAAGAAATCGATGAAGATGGGGTTTGAGGAAGTGAAGGCTTGTAGAGATCTCGGGTTCGATTTGGAAATTCCGGGTCGGATTTCGGTATCCGCCGGGTCAAACCGGGAGACTCAAACTCAGACTAGTAGTGGCGGCAACTCACCGATTGCCAGCTGGCGTATCTCAAGTCCTGGTAATTATATGTTTTAACTAATCCCACATAAATTAGTTAAAACGCACAGAAAAATATATTAAATCTTTTTTCTTGTATGATGATGATTATAATATTAGGGGATGATCCGAAGGATGTTAAGGCGAGATTAAAGATGTGGGCACAAGCTGTAGCTTTAGCTTCTGCATCACGTTAAGTTTCTTATTTGCTTGTGTTCTTTGTTATGTTAGTGTTTGTCTTTGGAAAATTAGGTATTTGTAGTGCTTACGAGTTCATTTCGATGTTTTCTTGTATCGGTGACTCGTTTTTTTGGATATGTAAATTAGTAAATACGAAAGCTACTAATATAGGTTCTCTGAGTGTTTGGAAAGTCAACTAACAACACAATTACTTGTAAAGACTCTGAAGTTACAATTACTTGTAAAGACTCTGAAGTTTGAAGATGTTAACTCATTTAATTAAAAGACGAGATTGTGACAAGTTTTGTCACAAGAGTAACGACAGTCAATGGCTTTGGCTGTTGTTAGGTCAAAGTACCAACACCAACAAATTCAGCAACGGTCTGCAAAAAAAAAGTGAATAATAGTTTATCGACCAACTTCAAATTCTACTGATAAATAAACATCAAACTAAAGGTGTTTTTTCCAAAAAAGCAAGACCACTTTGAATGTAATCGTTTCCAAAACGTTATTTGGGGTGCTTTGCTTGGGGCTTGTATTCACGTTTGGAGTTCGGAAGCAAGACGCTAGTAGCATTGAAGCTCTTGTTAGGAATAGGATTATCAGAAACGTACATATTTTGAAATATGTAATACATAGATTTGTGACACAGCTTCTTGCGATATGATGGAGAAGAATGTTTTAAGATTTCAAAAAGAAGTAAAAAAACAACAGAATATCGAGGATTGTTTCATAGAACATAAACAAACTACACAACAAAAGTAGCCAACATTGCACATCCAGAAAACAAGATAGTCTTATCACAGAGAAAATTTGAGATAAGTTTTAACCTCCGGACACAAAAAGCAGACGACCATAAGAAGTAATAAAAAAAGAAAAGAAAGAGGAGTGGTTGCGTTTCGTTGCATTTTGCATAGAGCTGCTTGGGCCATCTTCTTCAACATCATCTTCTCACTCGGGGCCTCCATCATACAGTTAGGTTGACAAGACACTATGAAATAAACAAGGAATCAAGAAATTGAAAACCAAGATACAAGAAGCAAGAATCAAGAACAGAATGACATACGGGCTTCAATGTATATCACGTTGTCCTTGTTTTTCATTTTCAATCTGCAGCTAACTTGACCTACAAGAAAGAGAAACAAAATAAAAAATGAATCAATCAACCCAATTCCTCTCTTCATCCTCAGATAACCATGGTTGTCTCGGTTCTTATTTGTGTCTTGGAAGATGAAATATGGCCTAAAGCAACCCAGACTACCAGACCACGACCTTCCATGGCCAATCATCATCATTGCATGGCCTTGCAACAATTCCTCACCATCATCTGGGCCATATAGCTGATTTCCTACCAACCATTCATAAGAAGCATCATACCAAAGACATCAAGATAATAGAGGCGCAAGAGTTGAAAAAACTCCTCTTGAAATCCATTTTCTCTAAGCTTTTACACAATTTTCACACAATTTCTTTCCACTTCTTCAACATATGTGCTTAGGGTAAGTAATTATTGCTTGAATTGTTGGGATAAACTTCAGAGAGATCGGAAAATGTCTTCATGAAATTTTGCTGCTAGAGATTTGGGATCAATCTTGATAATTTCTTCAATTGAGGCCATACATATAGCCAGGTAAACATATTTTTTTGGCATATGAAAAAGATTAAATATACACATGCATTGTGGTGACCAATTGAAAAAAAAAAACACACAAAAAAAAAGAAAAAAAAGAAATCACATGCATTGGCATCAAGAAAAATCCTAAATATCCGAAACATCAGAATGAACTTGCCGGTATCAACCAATTGCAATCTTTGGATCAAAATCTAAAGAAACATTAAAAAAAATCTATATTAAATTCATTCTCCTTTCATCTCTATTTCGATAAACCACATTAATATAGTAATAAATTTATATTAAACACACTCGAAAAATAAGTTATTTAAATCGAAAACAAAGAGAGGATAGCACAAGTCATGTAAAAATGAGATGGCTTCAGTCTTATAATAATTTCGTTAATTTTTTTTTTGATAAAAGGTTTTCAAAATTTCGTTAATTTATTTCGGTAGCTTTTAGCTTTAATCGAAAACAAAGAGAGGATAGCGAAAAAATTTACTGTATTTGTTTTCGGTATGTAAATACGAAAGCTACTCTGTTTTCTACTTGCTAGTCTTATTCTTCTTTCTTCTTCTCCACGTTACAGAGACGGGAACGGGTACGGTAACGGCTATAATACTTCTCCCTCCAGTTAGGGTCGGAAAGACGCTCTCTGAGAGGAGGAAGGCCAATGGGGATATCCCGGCGTCTGTGTGGTTTGGAACGATAGGCGTATTCAACAACAAGTTTGAAGCCTCCCATGTCACTTCCATTAAGTTGCAGGGCCTTCTCCTTTGCGCCTTGTCCACTAATGAAAAAGCAGGCGAATGCAGACTCACGGTTTCTTTTATGGGCATATAACTCCACCTGCGAGACCTCTCCACATGAAGAGAACTTTTCACGTAACGCCCTCTTGATAGACTTCCTAGAAAGCGAGCGGTCATATCCCTTAACAGCCATCAGGTCAAATCGCTTACCAAGCATCATCGAAGAGACTAAGAACAAAGAATAAAACTATAGCTAGAGTTTCTTATTTTGCTCTTTTGCTCCCAATGAGAGGGGTCTTGTATTTATAAGGAGATATTCTTCCTTATCTATTTTGGAAATATTATTCTTTGTGTTGACCTCTTTCCTTTTTTCTAGGAATTAGTCTTCATCTCCAAATAATTCCTTTTCTTTAAGGAAGTAGAAGTCGTGTATAAATACAAATATAAAGTCGAGATCAAACAACACACTCGAATAAAAAGTTATTTTGATCGAAAACAAAGAGAGGATAGCACAAGGAATGTAAAAAATGAGATGGCTTCAGTCTTGAGAGATGCCGATTTGTGTAATTTTCAGAATTTGTTTGTGACAACACCTAATGGTAACAAGTATGGTATAGTTTGAAAGAAAGTTGTTGAGTTTGAAGATGTTAAAACTCATTTGAAGATGAGATCGTGACAAGTTTTGTCGCAAGGGTAAGGACAGTCAATGGCTTTGACTGTTGTTCGGTCAAAGTACCAATCACCAACAGATTCAGCAACGGTCTACACAAAGATAAAGAAGATAAAACGATTCAGCAAGCAAAACAAAAACGAAGAAGTTAAGGTATTTAAATGAAACCATTGAAAAACAAATGTTAACCTTGCCATGAAGCCTAGGAGAATCTGGTGCAAACCAAGTGTCTTGTCTTTCGGATTGGCAGTGAGCGAAGCATGAGTTTAGGAACACACCGTTATGTTTAGATGCCGAGAAGGATTTTACAGCTTCCACCATTTGATTCCTGAATTCTGTTTGACATACAATAACATGTATAAAATTAACAGAATTAACCAATAGTGATTTTTTTTTTTAAAAAGTAAAGAAAAAAAGCAAACCTTGGAAGAAATGGATTTGAGAGGAATTGCAATGGGAGTGATCTGATTTGCATGCCTTCCAAGAGCCACTTGGGTCGGCAGATGGTGGAGCTAAGCTCTCTTGTACCTGTAATATAAAGATGAATATGAAATGTTTGATAAGAGAGGAGCAATGAGTGATCGATCAGAGATGAAGAAATGGATGATAACCTGCCAAGCGTCATATGCTGCATTGAGAAGAAACATTGGAGTTTTGATATCTGAAACCAAGTTCTGTGGAAAGAAGCACTGAGGAAAACGAAACAGAACACAATGAATTAGCTTGAGTCTTGTCCAATCCAAAACTTTGCTTGTGGGTTGGTTGATCAGTAAAGTGAGAAAATATACCGAAGTTGGATCCAAATGCTTTGTACAAGTAGTGGACAGTTCCTTTTGGAGATTCTAGATTTTGACATAAAACAACAATCAAAGAATATTCAATAAAAAAAACAGAGTAAGTAAGAAATGGTCTGATTCCGAGATTAACCTGTATTGTAACAACACCTTTGAACATATTCCGGAGCGAGTGACCTCCAGAGACATCCACTCTACAATTTTTAATCAAAACGTTCCAATTCAGAGTTAAGTAAGAATCAAGAAAAGAAATGATTGAAGGAAAATCAAAGATGAAGATGATTACGTACGCATCCATAAACAATCCAGCATCACTTAAGCATTTGACCTTGGTAGCACCAGGAAACAGTGCCTTAAACTGATCGCAGTGCAAGATGGAAGCTAATCCTCCAGCTGAACATCCTGAAAGCAGAGCCTGCAGTGTGATAGATATTATATAGTCTTTGCACATGTAGATCAAAACATCAAATCCATTAACACATGATAAGTGTAAATTACAAAACCTGCTCTGCTTTTTGCATGCCTTTAGACATCAGTTCTTCCATAGCTGATTGCCAGATTCTTTGTCCTCTATAATAAAGATTTGAACTCTACATTTCAACCAAAATTGAAGAAGAAGAGATTATAAGCAATGACAAGCCAATTCACTGAAATACGAACACTGAAATACTTGCATTGTCTTGACTATCTCCAGTGAAAGAGGCACCATCACAGTAACGCAGTTTGACTCTATTCCAGTTGTAGAAGTCTGCAAGAACCAGAATCAATGGATGTAATATGTAAAGATAAGCAAATGTATAAAAGCTCACATAATTGATAATTTTGGAGTGAGTAGTACTAACCAGGATTCTCATTAGCTTTATTGCTCGAGATTCCAGTAAAGGCCAAAACTTTCTCCATGTGATTTGACGAGCCACGGCGTGTTGTTTTCCGGAAGATACAGCTCCTCCGTGTGTTGCACCATCCTCCACCCTGCATCCCAAGTCAACCAATTTTAAACCATACCAAACACACACACAAAAAACAGAACATATTGGTCAAACTTGATTAGCATAAGCAGAGACTAAAGCATTTGCTTTTATAAATACCTCAAGTTGGATAAGCCACCTGTTCGCCCCTGATCCAAATCCACTGTGTATATGATAACCAGGTAGTGTTCCATCCAGACAAACTACATCAATTTAGTCAGTTAAAGTTTGAAGCTTTCATGGTTTTAGTAATCTGGAAACAACTTTAAAAGCAGCTCTAGGATCTCAAAGTCTCGACCTTTACACATTTGTGCAAGCATTCTCAAATCAGATATGAACACAACTAGATACAGAGAGAGAGAGTGAGTGAGTACCAGCTCCTTTGGGGCCAGCTCTGTGAATCAAGGTGAGAGGCACCATGAGAAGCTGAGACGAATTTGTCGTCGCCGTCAATTTATTTTCCAGCAACGAGATCGCATCGTCGGTATCTCTCACTCTCCCGATTCCGTTTCCATCACTAGATCCTAAGACGGAGCACAGGCAGAGCCACCATACCGCCGCCGCAATCCGCAAAACGCAATTCATCTCCGCCGTCGTCGTAAGATGGAGCTGAGCAGAGACTGACTCGTCAGCTGAAATTTTTTGTCGATTCAAATGGACGAATCTTTTCACTGCATGTGTGTGAGTGTGATAGCGAGAGAAGCCTCTTTTTTGGCTTTTTACTTTTGTTTTTTCTGATTAATTCTCTCACATTTGCATATTTTTGGTAATAATTGATTTACGTCAACGGAATAAATGTCTACTATCCCGCTGTTGATATGATTCTATAAATGTAATACTGAAGTTTTGACAAATCATATCTTTAAATTTATTATTTTATGACTTTTTTGGGGGGATGCTAATAATTATAAGAGGATTTTACTAATGTTCCTCCTCAATTACTGCCAAAACCAATTGAGTCAACAGAGTTTACTGTTGTCTGACCAATTAAAAAAAAACATAATTAGAGTTTACTGTTGTTTGACCAATAAAAAAAAAACAGAATTAATTGCTATTTGTTCCTCCATTTTGTCGGCAGCGGATCGCGCTATCTTACGCCGCATGCGCATCCACGTGGTTGGAATGCTCTATAGCCGAGGCCCTTTATAAATCATTGGGCCTATCTAAATGTATCATTTAGCCCAACTCACTCTTGCCTTTGAAGAACCGTTGACAGCTCTTCCCTCTTAGCTTTGAAATTAACACATTTCATGGAGTTTACGACGTCTTATTATCATCTTAAATGGGAAAGTTGATTATCTTAAAGTATATTTTCGAAACAGAACACCGATTTCACTTACATTTATACGCAATTGTCAATTCGATTGCATTATAGTTGTAGATACGAATTGGACTGTGGACACACGTATGAAGTATAGAGGTTTTGTACATATATTCATTGTGGATTTTTTTGTAAGAAAATAATATAGTAAAACAGTATGGTGGATTTTCACGGGAAAACTTCAATTTTATGTTGATGCCCCCACTCCAAATCTACAATAACTCTTGTTGTATTCTAGAATATTGAAAAAGAAAAAAAGACTTAATGTAGTGGGTGATTTTGATAATGGCTTTGGTTTTGGTTTTGAATCTGGAGTATATAGAAACAAAACAGTGTGAAACCAAAGGCATGATTTTCTTGGGCGTTGAACGAGTTTGTCAATAGTCAAAAACTCAAAGGCAAAAGGAGAGAGTGGATTTGGTTAACAAATAATGATTTTACATGCCAAAATATATTAACAAATTTAAGCTATGATGTGTAGTGGTTGAGCTTGTTAAAAATGTGGTAAAGGTTGTCAAGGTTTACCCATATATTTATATTACAAATTTAATTTGGGAAGGTACTTATCACAATAATCAAGAAACAAAGTTGGTTTTAGAAACAATTTGGGCAATCGATATCACACAAATAGATGATAATCAATGAAAATATACAATAAACAAAATCCTATAATACCAAAATCTTATCTTATGGAGGTTGTGTTAATCTTTAGCAACAAATTTCGTATAAACACTTTCTGTTTTGGATGATAACTATTAGGCATGTCCAAAATATACACATTTTCATTTTTAAAACTTCATTTCTTCTCTACTTTTCTCTACTAGTATCTTCACATTTCTCAGGTTATTTCCAAATTCCGATAGAGAAAATTCTTTAGTTTCAATACTAGATTTAAGTAATCTCTGATTTTGTTCTTTCCAGGCATCACTTCCAGATGATTCTGATATGAGTAAGGAAGATGCCGTTTAAGTATATGTGAGGTGTAAGGACAAATCCTTATCCATTGGAACTCTCAATGCGAAAAGGCCCCAGCTAAGCTACGATTTAGTGTTTGCTTCCAAGTTCTCTCTTGCGCACACAAACCATATAATGAAGCTGAGGAGAAGACTAGCAAGTAATCTCTGTCGTTTGTTTAGAGTCAAGTAAACTCAAGTAATCTCTGTTGTTTGTTTTTTTGTTTAGGTTAAAGTAAACTCTTCTAAGTAATCTATGTCGTTTGTTTAGTTTTATTTAGGTTAAAGTACAATAAACTCTAATCTCTGTCCTTTGTTTATGTTCTACGAACGGTTCCGGTTTGCAAAATATTTTAGAGTGTTATCTTCGTCATTGATTTTGGAATCAATCAATCGATGTCTTGAAATCTCATAACCGAAGATTAGGATTTTCCGTTTACCTCTAAAAAAAATTAGGAAATATTTCAAATAAGATTTCTTCTATGACATGTCTGTATTTGATAAGGGACTAGAAAATCATATCTCGATTGGATGAAGTTGCACAATATATATAGAAAAACAATATATAGATCAGTAGTGGACAGTTACTTTTGGAGGTTCTTGATTTTGACAAACAGAGAAAAAAAATCAAAAAAATTTCAGTAAGATTTTCAATGGAAAAAAAAAAACAGAGTAAGTACTAAGAAGTGATCTGATTCCGAGATTAACCTGTATTGTAACAACACCTTTGAACAAATTCCGGAGCGAGTTACCTCCATAGACGTCCACTCTACAATTTTTCAATTAAAACGTTCAATTCAGAGTTAAGTAAGAATCAAGAAAAGAAATGATGAAGGAAAATCAAAGATGAAGATGATTACGTACGCATCCATAAACAAACCAGCATCGCTTAAGCATTTGACTTTGGTAGCACCAGGTAATAGCGCCTTAAACTGATCGCAGTGCAAGATGGAAGCTAATCCTCCAGCTGAACATCCTGAAAGCAGCAATAGGATCTCAAAATCTCGACCTTTAGACATTTGTGCAAGCATTCTAAAATCACATATGAACAACTAGGTACCAAGAGAGAGAGAGCGAAGGAGATTGTGAGGGAGTACCAGCTCCTTTGGGGCCAGCTCTGTGAATCAAGGTGAGAGGCACCATGAGAAGCTGAGACATATTGTCGTCGCCGTCAATTTATTTTCCAGTAACGAGATCGCATCGTCGGTATCTCTCACTCTCCCGATTCCGTTTCCATCACTAAATCCTACGACGGAACACAGGCAAAGCCACCATATCGCCGCCGCAATCCGCAAAACGCAATTCATCTCCGCCGTCGTAAGATGGAGCTGAGCAAAGAATGACTCGTCAGCTGAATTTTTTGTCGATTCAAATGGACGAATCTTTTCACTGCATGTGTGCGAGTGTGATAGCGAGAGAAGCCTCTTTTTTCAGTTTTTGGTTTTTTACTTTTGTTGTTGTTTCTGTTTAATTCTCTCGCATTTGCATATTTTTGGTAATAATTGATTTACGTCAACGGAATAAATGTCTGTGATCCCGCAGTTTATATTATTCCATATCTTTTAAAAATGTTTTATGACAAATCATATCTTTAAATTTATTGTTTTATGACTTTTAACTAATGTTCCTCCTCAATTACTACCAAAACTAATTGAGTCAACAGAGTTTATTGTTGTTGTTTGACCAAATAAAAACAGAACTAATTGTAGTTTGTATATTGTTCCTCCATTTTGTCGGCATCGGATCTGTTTAAAGCTATCTTGCGCCGCATGCGCGCATCCACGTGATTGTAATGCTCTGTAACGAGGCCCTTTATAAATGTATCATTCAGCCCAACCCACTCTTGCTTTTGAAGAACCGTTGATACTTGATAGCTTCCCTCTTGGCTTTGAAATTAACACATTTCATGTACTTTATGTCTTACTATTATCTTAGATGGAAAAGTTGATTCTTTTAAAGTATATTTACGAAATTATATTTATAAATATCTTTTAAATAAATTTACATATGATCAGAACACCCATTTCACTTCTATTGCATTGTAGTTGTAGATACGATTTGGACCCACGTATAAAGTATATATAGAGTTCTTTTTAAATATTCATTGTGGATTTTTTTGTAACAAAATAATATAGTAAAACAGAATGGTGGATTTTCACGGGAAAACTTCGTTTTTATGTTGATGCCCACTGCAAAGAGAAAGAAAACTTAACGTAGTGGGTGATTTTGATAATGGCTTTGGTTTTGGTTTTGAATCTGGAGTATATAGAAACAAAACAATGTGAAACCAAAGGCATGATTTTCTTGGGCGTTGAAAGAGTTTGTCAGTAGTCAAAAAACTCAAAGGCAAAAGGAGAGAGTGGATTTGGTTAAGTCAACAAGTTTGTTTGTTTTTTGTTTTGGTTTTTTTAACGTGACTCTATTCCCTCGTGGAGTTGGCTTCTCTTGCATGTTAGGCATCATTACAATCGTCCAACTTTTCTTATATATTTTGTGAAAGTTTAAGTATATAAAAAGTTTCACTCATTCATTAGATTCGTAACCGTAACATTAAGCAAATAAAAAAATACATCGACGGACCAAATTCCATTTATACTGTTTTCTAGTGTAGTAGACATGGAAAAATGTTAAATTTACCTCGTTTAATGAAATATATGGAGCAACTTGAGATTTAAAATATAATTTGCTAGCCTAGAACATGATAATATTAATAAACAAGAGATACTTGAAAGTTCAAACTATATACTAATATAATTAACACCGGTCAAATCTTCCGATATGAGGAGCAAGATTCAATGCAACTAATTATAAAAAAATTAAGAACATTGCATATAACATAAAGTTTTTTTATTGAAAAATTGGTAAGCAAACAAATAAAATAAAAAAACGGTGTGAATAAAACGGACCCCACGAAAAAAATTCAACCCATGCAAAGGGTCCATCGATGAGAACAATAATGACGTGAATCACCTGTAATTGTATACCTCCAATCATTTGCAAACCCCGTTAATGTAAATTCTAAAAAGCTTTCGTTTTCCGGAAATTCGATAATGAAAATGAAAAAAAAAACAGATAAAAACCCTTAAAAGACGGACTTCACTTTTTGCAATTTTCAACGCAATTGTTAGAATTGTTTTTACTTTTCTTTCCAATTTGCTCTTTGATTTTTTTTTTCTAATTTTTGTTTAATGACTTTATTTTTCTTACCCTCCCAAACCATTTGAAAACCCCGAGAAAGAGAGAAGACGCACCTCTTTTCTTCTCTGCTCACCGGATGAGTTAAAAATAGTTTTTTTTTTTAAAAAAAGTGAAATTTCAATTCTCAGTTTCAAACCCATTGCAGTTTGAAGCTGCTGCTGCTGCTTCTTCTTCTTCTTCTTCCTCATCGTCAGCTCCTTTGGGTTGCGTTTCGAGTGTTGTTCGATTTTGAATCTCGGTTTCTCCGTATATCTGAAAGAGGGGAAAAACTTTAAACTACTGTTCTGGGTTTTATGCTTTTTTTAAAAGAAATTTTGTTTAGTTTTTCCTGGAAAGATTGGATCTTTAACAGCTGGTCGTATCTGCATGGTTAAATCTCAATCTGGGTCTTCTTCTTCTTCCTCTTTTTTCATTTTTCTCGTTTCATTTTTTCCGTTTTTTTTTGGGGTATAATTTTTAAAATTGGTACTTTTTGTCAGATTCCCATAGAAATCTAAAGAGGCGTTTTTTCCCCCTTTACTGTCTCTCTATTTGCTTCCGATACACTGTCTCTTTGCCGCTCCTTTGGATTTCGTTCCCAGATTCTGCTTGACCCATCTCCTTCTTCAAGCTCTCAACAGCCGTGGAAAGGTTAGATCACTGATTTTCCCTATTTTAAACTGTTTATGCTTCCATTTCAAGAGCTCTGAAAGCAAGGATTTTGAGGGCATTTCAGCTGATTTCTGCTTTCCTTTTTCAAAATCCCAATTTGATACTGTCAGGTACTCGTTTCCGTTTCAATGTTCAGAGATTGAGCCTCAGATGATGCTTGGGTTCCGAAAATCGCGCCGGATCTTTGTAGGGTTCATAAGAATTTCCGGAATTTCGCCTCTGTTTGTTATGTGTTGCGGTGGTGCTGGAAATTGCGGAAACTCTTTAGAGGTCTATCACGGGATTGTGCCCGGAAGGTGTTTGTAGTATTGCCTGAGTGAGAGATGGGAAACGGAACCTCCCGTGTTGTCGGTTGCTTCGTGCCGTCAAGTGAGAAAAACGGCGTCGATTTGGAGTTTCTCGAGCCTTTAGATGAAGGCTTAGGGCATTCCTTTTGCTACGTTAGGCCAAGCATCTTCGAGTCTCCGGATATTACTCCGTTTAACTCTGAGAGGTTCACGATTGATTCAAGCACGCTTGACTCGGAGACACTCAGCGGATCGTTTCGAAACAATGTCGTCGATGATCCTTCTTTCTCGGATAGACACAGCGGTAAAGGCTTGGCGGAGACTACGTTCAAGGCAATCTCTGGTGCTTCGGTTAGCGCCAATGTTTCCACGGCAAGGACTGGTAATCAAATGGCATTCCCTTCGAGTGAAGTGTTGGAGCTTGCTGCTTCGTTTGAGAGCACATCCTCTTTTGCTTCGATTCCTTTGCAGCCGGTGCCTCGTGGTGGCTCGGGACCTTTAAACGGTTTCATGTCAGGGCCTCTAGAGAGAGGTTTTGCATCTGGTCCTTTGGAGAGAAACAACGGTTTCATGTCAGGGCCTATGGAGAAAGGAGTAATGTCTGGACCTCTTGATGTATCTGATAAGTCTAACTTCTCGGCGCCGCTCTCTTTTAGACGGAGAAAGCCTCGGTTTCAGCGGTTTATGAGGAGTGTGAGCGGACCAATGAGGAGGACGTTCTCTAGACGGTCTGATGGGTTAAGTTGGATGCATCGCTTCTTCTTGAATCCAGAGGCTAGGGTTTCTTGGCCTGTTGGGAAAGAAGGTAAGTTACATGGTGAGGATCCGGAAAATTGTCTAGAGAGCAACCGGAACTTGCAGTGGGCTCATGGGAAAGCTGGAGAAGACAGGGTTCATGTGGTGCTATCAGAGGAACAAGGTTGGCTCTTCATAGGGATATATGATGGGTTTAGTGGACCGGACGCACCAGATTTCGTTATGAGTAATCTATACAAAGCTATAGACAAGGAGCTGGAAGGTCTTCTCTGGGATTATGATGAGCCATCTGTAGATAATCCATTGCAGCCAGACCAGGAACCTCTTTCTACAGAAGATAACTTGTTTGCTCCAGAAACTATCAGTGAGCAGCATTCAAATTCAGTACTGGTAGGAAGTGAGGAGGTTGTCGCTAATAGTAACAGTAGCCTTGGAAATGCCGACGCTCAGATTGCTGATGGTCCACCTGATGGAAATTTAGCAGGTCCTTGCAAGAGAAGCATGAGACTTTACGAGCTGCTTCAATTGGAGCGGTGGGACGGAGAAGAAATCAGACTCGAGCATTCTCACGGAGGGACCGAGAATCCATCTACTTCAGGTGGAGGAGCGGGGAATGATCCGTGTACCAGTGAGCATAGCGTTCTTGATGGGACTCCGAACCAGGGACAAAGCCATGGAACTAAAAAATCGCAAATAAGCTCGAAGATAAGAAGAATGTATCAAAAGCAGAAGTCTTTACGGAAAAAGCTGTTTCCTTGGAGTTATGATTGGCACAGAGAAGAAAGGCCAAGCGTTGAAGAGAAGATAGCGGAGCCACCTGGACCGATTAGGAGACGCTGGTCAGGAACCGTAGACCATGACGCTGTTCTAAGAGCAATGGCTAGAGCACTGGAAAGTACTGAAGAGGCTTACATGGAAATGGTGGAGAAGTCTCTTGACATAAACCCAGAGCTTGCTCTAATGGGTTCATGTGTTCTCGTAATGCTAATGAAGGATCAAGATGTTTACGTGATGAATGTTGGAGATAGTAGGGCTATCTTAGCCCAAGAAAGGCTCCATGATCGTCATTCTAATCCCGGGTTTGGAATTGAGGAGGGTATGGGGCATAAGAGTAGGTCCAGAGAGTCACTTGTGCGTGTGGAGCTGGATAAAATATCAGAAGAATCTCCAATACACAACCAAACCACTCAGATTAATGTCTCAAACAAAAACAGAGATGTAACTTCTTACCGGTTAAAGATGAGAGCCGTTCAACTCTCAAGTGACCATAGCACGAGTGTCGAAGAGGTAAATGCATATATGTCTTATTCTGAACTGAGGAGTCTTAGTCTTTGTTATTGTAGCTCTGATTGTCAAAAAAGCTAAGTTCTTTATGTGTTTCAGGAAGTTTCGAGAATTAGATCCGAACATCCAGAAGATGACCAGTCTATACTCAAAGACAGAGTCAAAGGCCAACTCAAAGTCACTCGAGCTTTCGGTGCTGGATTTCTCAAAAAGGTAGTGACAAATCCTCAAAACGTTCATAACCAAGTTACTTTATATGGGCTGCTCGTTCGTTCATCTTCTGAAACATTTCATGGTTGTTGCAGCCGAATTTCAATGAAGCTTTGCTTGAGATGTTCAGAGTAGACTACATTGGAACAGATCCGTACATCACTTGCGAACCGTGTATTGTGCATCACAGGCTCACTTCAAGTGACCGTTTCTTGGTATTATGCTCAGATGGACTGTATGAATACTTCAGCAACGAAGAGGTTGTTGCTCACGTGACTTGGTTCATCGAAAACGTTCCTGAAGGCGATCCTGCTCAATACCTCATTGCAGAGCTTCTCTCTCGTGCAGCCACCAAGAACGGTACAGAGCTTACACATGAAATGATCTGGTTGTTGGTACAGTGTTTTTTGGTTTAAACTAAACCAGCATTTCTTGTGATGTTGTTTTGCAGGGATGGAGTTTCATGATCTGTTGGATATACCTCAGGGAGATCGAAGGAAGTACCATGATGATGTCTCTGTCATGGTTGTGTCGCTTGAAGGAAGGATTTGGCGATCGTCTGGACAATATTATCCAGAGAGAAAACCAAAACCCAATAGATGAATTAACAAGCAAAAACAGAACAAAAAAAAGAGTAGGCGTTCGCGTAATTGGATTTAAATTCGGTTTATCTTTATTTATGGTGATGTATTTTGGTACGACAAACACTCTACTTTGTAAGGCATTTTGCCATTTGAGGAAATTAATCACAACTTTAATTATCTTGAGATGAGATCAACGACTAACATGAGACTCTGAGAGAGAAAGAGGGTTTCTAAGTCAAATTTGTGGGACCGCATGAAACATTTAATCGGTTGGTTATAGGGACGGACGCGTGTGAGTCGTTTAGAGCCGTTAATTCACGATTTCGTCTTTATGCGTTTGACTGGGCGGAGGAAATCAAAAATCTATTTTCCGGCTGCTTCGTTGCTTCAATGGTCACGAATCTTCTTCTGCAAATGTATCTGAATCTCTCGTCTCAGCAAAAGATTCAGATTCAAATTCAGTATGTTGTCTCTTCGGAGCCTCACTAGCTTCGTCGCTCTTCCATCGCGATCGCGATTTAAGCCGTCTCCATCTCTGCGTCGTCGCTCAGGCTCAGTTCGTTGCCGTCTGACCGAGGCGGCTGCAGCTTTTTCGCCTCTTGATGTAGTCTCCGGAGAGTCGGAACGAGCGATTGCTAGCTTGACTGAGCTTCCAAACGGCGGTGGATGGAAGCTGGAGCAGGAGCTTCCCATTGCGGCGGAAGATGGCGGCGATGGACTTGAAGATGACGACGGTTCGGAGGATGAAGAGGGGATTTCTAGCGTCCATGTTCCTCGTGAGAAATACATCAGTGTCTCCAAGTCTGATCTCGTCAACGCCATTGAAACGACGCTCCTTTATTCCCAAGACGGTGACGCTGATATCTTTCTCCTCCTTGCTTCGTAAGCTGATTTAGTCAATCCTTAACGCGAATTGAATCATAATAGTTAGTATTTGAAGCTCTGGAACTCTTTACTCTTTAGGTGCTTGGATTCGATCCTTCACGCGGAGCACAAGAGGATTTTAGAGCAGATGAGAGCCGATTTCGTTGCCACTCAATCTCTGGAGAAGGTAAACATTGGTGGTGGTGATGAAGAAAGTTCTACTTCAGGTAGAGAAATTGACTCAGAGTCAGAGTCAGAGGAGGAAAGTAACTCGAAAGCAAAGAAATCTGAAGCAGGGAGTGTTAATGGATACGAAGGTTTATTATTCCCTTTGGCTGATGGTTTCGACATTTGGAACTTTCTGATTTCCTCTGGAAAACATGCAAAGAGGCGTTCCGCTGAAAGGTATTAGAAACTATCTGGCATTCAATTCGAATCACTATGCGGTGGAAGTCTGAATAATAGCTTGGAGATGTTTGAATGCAGTGTTACTGCTGCAACTCGGTTCCAGCATTCCTTCATTCAGCTTCTCGACAGTGCCGGTTTTGAAGAGCTTTCAGCTAGGGATTTGGCATTGACGTCGGCTCTCAACACGGATTACCTTCTTACTCTGCCTGTGTACGTTGATTGGAAGAAGGCGGCAGAGTCCAATGCTATTGTTTTCAGGTAAATATAGTATCTTTTGATCCGTTTGTACAATTTGCTATCTAGTTTTGTATGTTGCAGCTTTGGATACTGCAAACACTTGTATTACCTCTGAGGTCTTGTGCTCTCTAATGGAGAAATGATCTGCGTGTGGATTTGTCTTTGCAGGCGTGGATATGCCACTGAGAAGGAGAAGGGTTTGTTACTTGTGGAGAAGCTAGACTATATCCAGTCTGTAGTTCTACAAGGAATCTTCTCTACCATTTCAAAACCCCTGAGAAAACTTGGAAAACTGATAAACAAGGTCTGACGCTTATTAAGTGAGGAAAATGCTTTGTTATTTTGATCCATGTGGCAAACCTCTGAGCTTTTCTAAACTTGAATAACATAACTTTCTCCAAATTTCCATGAATAGGGATTAAGCGAGGCTTCCAAGACTCAAGAAATGCAAGATTTGTCAGAGAGAATGAAGGTTTGGCTCAAGGAGCTGTCTCTTTTCAAGGAATCATATCTAGACCAAGTCCAAACTTCTGATAGATTATTGGAAGGGGAGTTCCGTTCAGATTCAGTCCTCCCCATGCGGTTAGCAGCAAAAAGAGCAGTTAGTCGGTATGAAGGGCTGCTCACACCTGTCGGTCCTCGCGAAAGGCTCTTCAGAAAGTTGCTAACATGGATTGGTTTCACTTCTCCTGCTTATGAAATACCATCTCAGCTAGCTAATGATACCAATGCATCTGAACCTTATTTGAGGTGCGTGGCTTCTTTATTTAACAGTCAAAGTGTCGTTGAACTTTACGTCATGATTGCTAGACCTTTAACCTGATTAGAAAGACTCTCTTCACTCAGGCCGATATCCTTGTCAAGGATGACACTAGGTGATATATGGAAACCTGCTTCAAAGAAAGCTTGCGGAAATGATTTGTGGAAAAGGATAAAAACTTCGGTTTCCATTCTTTTATCACCGTCGACACTGCAGGTATTCTTTTTCCAACCAAAATTGATATATAATTTGTTTTAATCTGTAGTGCACTGTCAAACTTAGTTGACTCTGTTTGCTTATTATGCTCTTTGGTGAATAGGAGCCTGCATTTGAAGAACTAATTTTGCTTTACACGAAGGATGCAAGTGAGAAAGGCGATAAGAATAAAGATGAAACCCGGTCATCATTACAATTGGAGATATTTGAAAGAATTCCAATTCCAGATTTACCTGTAAGTGTATTACATCTACATCATCAGTCTCTTCTCATGTTTCTTTTCTGCCAATGAGCCTTTCCCTGTAGTTTTCACCATCATTTTTTTCTTTCTTTTATGCAGGTAATTTTCCCTCACAGGAAGCTTTACTTTCGCATCATAGATACAGTAAGTGTGTTTGCATTATGCACTCAACTTTACTGATCTCATCTCTGCTGACCGAAATACTTCAAATCTTTTGTTAGGTACGTCTGGATATCGCCAGTATATTGGGACTTACAGCATACTTTGTAAACTACAAGTTTGAGAACATCTCATCATCCCCGTGTGTCTTCTTAATACACTCTCCTCTTTATGTCACTTTGTCTTACAAGGAAACAGAGAGTTTAAGAGTGTTTATTTGCTTCACATTCAGATCAGCACTATTGCTTGATGTGGTCGCCGTCACTGCTCTTGTAATCTACGCAACACGTGTGGTTTTGGGTTACAAACAGACATGGGATAGATATCAAGTGAGCTGATACCCAAATTCACACTCCCTTTAATCTAAAGTGTTCTGATTTTGAAGATCTAACTTGCATTGCATTTGATCTACTTGCTCAGTTGCTAGTGAACAAGACGCTTTATGAGAAAACCTTAGCCAGTGGCTTTGGCTCTGTCCATTTCCTCTTAGATGCCTCGGAGCAGCAACAGGCGAGATCTCTTTTCTTATTCCTTTCCAAATATATGCCTGAGGGATTTTTTTACTTGTTACTTATGGTCCAAATTACTCAATATGTACAGTACAAGGAGGCAATATTGACATATGCAATTATTCTTCAAGCGGGGAAGAATCAGGTTAGGCATAACCAGTCACTCTTTTGTCTTAATGCCATGCCTCATTTTCGGATATGAACAAATTATTTGCCTGCAGCATATGTCGTACCAAGGAGTTGGAGATAGATGCGAGAGATTTCTGTATGACAAATTCAAAATAAAGGTTGGAGCTCTCTCATAGCAAACATTACTACACCTTGTAAGCTGCTGACTCACTATTACGAAACTACTTGTACAGGTTGAGATGCGAGTAGAAAAGGCTATAAGCACGTTGGTGAGACTTGGTCTAGTAACAGAAGAGACACTGATCGATGGAAACACCAAGCTACAGGCTGTTCCTTGTGCTCAGGCTTATGTTTCTCTTAAAGAACTGTGGACCAGTCTACTTGGTTGACTATACCAATAAATCCAGAATCATTTTTGGCTTTATTGTACAAGTCCTCCTGTAAAACCAGAATAGATTGCTGTTGTACATATACAGAATCTGCTAACATAATAATTTCATAGGAAAGCAAAGTTTTACATATTTTTGTTAATGTTTCTAACACACATTTTTTTTGTCCAAACAAATATATTTTTGTGCTATTTATAAGAATTTATCCCCTTCCTTAGAGACAGGACTAATTTGAAAACCCTAGTCGATAGAGAAAGATCACAAACCAAAGTTGGAGATTTAAGCCGAGCAATAGTTGAGGATTTGTGTTTTCCTTCTCTCTCTCAAATAAACTATAATATATGTCTTCCAAAGTTAGGGCAAAGAAGGAGCAATGGTCCCAGGAGACGCCATCTCTGACTAGGTCACTTCCAGGTGACATGATCGTTGATATCGTAGCACGTGTACCGAGAAGATATTATCCGACAATCTCTCTCGTTTCCAAGAGTTTCCGAGCTCTAGTTGCATCGCCTGAGCTATACAAGAGAAGATCCTTGTTAGGCTGCACCGAACACTGTCTCTATGCTGTCTTCTATAACGTCAACACCCATCTTTCCCATTTGTATATTCTCAACAGCAATAATCGCTTGGTCCTTATTCGGCCCCCTGCTCTTATTCATGGAAAATACGTCGCGGTGAAGTCCAAGATATATGTGTTTGGTGGATCTTTCAGTGACATTACAATGTGCATCGATTGTCGATCTCACAGTGTGCAGATCATCTCCAAGATGCCTAGGATCTTGTTTAATCCAGCTGTTACCGTCATCGACCGGAATATTTACGTAATGGGAGATTGCCATGGTGATTACATTGACAAGGTGGGCGCGAGAGAACGGCCAAAGAGAGTCGCGGTGTTGGATACAGAAACTCAAACGTGGCAGCATGAGACTACAAAGCCAGACATGAAGATAGGCGCATTGCGGCCTGATGCTGTGGTGGTGATGGAGGACAAGGTTTACATGAGAGGCTTTGTGAATAGCTTTGTTTATAAGCCGAAGGAAAGTAAATGGGAACCGGACGAGATGCTAAATTCTATGAGATGGGATAATGCGTGTGCTGTTGAGGATGTCTTGTACTATCATGATTATTACGCGAATAAGTTGAGAGCGTATGATCCAAAGCAGAGGCGTTGGAGTGTGGTGAATGGTTTGGATGATTTGTTGTCTAACATGTCTATTACATCGTGTGCCAAGACGGCTAGTTACGGTGGGCTTTGGCAATCTTCTTTCATAAAGAAAAAGAGATTTGGTGTGCTGAGATTGTTTTGGAAAGACAGCAAGGAGGAGAGATTTGGGGCAACATGCAATGGTGTGATGTTGTTTATAATGATGGGTGCGTTTTTTTGAAGACATGTTTAGCTGTTACGCTTTGATTCAGAAAACTCTACTTTGCTTGAATTATACTAACATTTTGGCTTTATTGTTACAACATGGTTCTCTCTGTGATATAAAAACAGAGTTTTTTAGTTTTTTTAATTCTAATTCTCACAGCTCTAGGGGTTGAGATTTTGTAAAGACAAATACGCCTCCACCTCCAACGGATCGACCCAAGAGCATGTTATTATCGAGATAAGACAGGTAATACAATCCACCTACTGATCTCCTACAATAGTAGAGGAAGGAACAACTTTAGCATCCATAGTCATACCTTAAAACATAGGTTATGTGTGTATATAAACAACTTTAGTATGTTTATGTGTATACCTTCCTGGACTGGTTGCGGTTACTGGAATCTGAGCTTTGAAATTGCGTATAAACTGCAAAATCTGGAAAAACCGGTACAAGAGTTATTAGCTTGGTTTAGGTCTTGGTTTCTAGGCAAGAGAGTTGTCTCTAACCTGAAGGCTTAAAAATGAGCGTGGAATTATTGCAGGTGCAATAAGAGCTTGAAGCTGCTCATTGATGTTTATGTTTCTAACACTTATCTGCCAAAAAAATCCCAATGAAACTGAGTGTGTTATGAAACTGAAAGCAGACAATCAACTACTAACCTCTTCAAACTGAAGGTAGATGTTTCGACTAGAGACCTTGTCGAATTTTGCAGTCACAACAAGTGTTGCACCTTCTTGCTCCTGCCATGTATTCATTTATTACAGCAAACTAGTCTGTATATTGGGAACATGAAATTTGAAAGGGAAGAAGCAGGAACCTCTAACAAGCTTGGAACACTCCACTGAACAACGTTCCGAATGATTCCACCTTCTGATCCATCTTTGCACTCAAACTTCTGGAAGATCTGACCCACCTGATTACAATAAAACCAGCAAAGGATTAAAACTGAAACTCAGACAAATGTGTGTGTGTGTGTGTGTCTCTCTCTCTCTCTGCTTTGTCTGAACATCATCACCACCTGAAAGAAGGGAAATCTTGAAGCAGCTTCGAACAGAACAACAACATCAGCTGCAGATGTATACTGTAGCCTCCATGTCCCATCTAGCTTCACTAGATCAATGGCTTCACCGCCGTTAAACCCTTCCACAGTCACCTGAAATGTTTCTACCAAATTCCAAACTCATAAAGAAAATGACAAAACAATCTCTTAACTCAATATCATTAACACAATTACTGTACCAGAGCCTCTTCGATGACAGATCGTTGATCAGAAGTGGCAGTGAGGCCTCGTTGAGTTTCTTGAACAGCTCTCAGTAGGTCGTGTTTCTTGTGTTCTAAGTCAAGTTCACTGTCGACGACCTGAGTTATCACCGAAACATACTCAAAATCATTTGTCTCAAACGGAGCAAAAGAAACAAGAGCCAAAATGTGCAGAGAACAAACCGTATTTGCAGAAGCCACAGCTACTCGACACGAGAATATCTTTCTATGATCAGCATCCATGTTTCGGCCAAAAGGTTTGATTCTACAGACGCGAGGCGGTGAAATCGCTGAGCAAGAGAAAGTCGCAGACGCGATTCGATCCATTTTCAGGCGATACCTGTAAAGCTCAAAAGCTATTCGACAATGGTGAAAGAAGAAGAAGCGAATAGCGTTTCGTTTTCCTTGTTTTTCTTGACGCATTTCGAGATGACGTGGCCGTACATCGACCTCACACTGAACAGGCTCAATGGTTTTGATAAGTGAAAATTGATAAGCTATCAAAATGATTCATTCCACTATAAATATAAGAATATAAAATGACAAGAAAATTCAAAAGTATCAAATCGTAGTAACAACATGATGCTTAAAAGACTAATAAAAACCATCAAAATGGGCGCTGTACAACAAAAGCAAGCTCTTCTCATCATCAGCAAAACATTTTGTAAATTTTTCTTTTATGAACAAACATTTTATTAGCCATTGTTATCTGGTTGGTGATGAGCATCATGCTCAATCTCACCATCTCCACCTCCATCTCCGTATCGAGCCCATGGAAGCATTGACTCGAACAACACGGCCAGTGCACTCCGATTCGCCAAATCACGTGGCGGCGGTGCTTGGTGGTGACCACCGCCTCCTGCTGCCACTTGCTCTCCTCCTCCTCCCATTCTCTGATCAGCCGCCACAAAGTTCTGCAAATTGTCTGGTGGGAGAGTCGGCATCGAATCAGAGAAGTCATGTGTTGACAAATGAGAGTACCTGAGGAATCAAATCAAATTACAACAATGATCAGCTCTATAGCCTCTAAGCCAAAAGGACTCTTGACAGAAGTTGAAAAAAACACTTACTCGTTGTTCTTAGCAGGGAAAGCTTCTTCCCTTGCACGAAAGAAGTCCTCTGCTTCGGTTTTGTTCTCTTCCAGTGACTTAACGACTAAATCAGCAGCACTCCGAAGCAGCTTCTGAACATCAGGAAGCCTCCATATAAGGTAATTCCTCTCCACATAAATCTTGACAAGATGATCCAAGGAAGGGTTCTTCGATTCCTCTGATCGGAAGTAAGAATGCTTCAGTATCTTCGTCCACACCTGATCTTTCAAAGGCACCTTGTCCACTAGCTTCTTCAGTACAGTCGGATGAAGCTTCAAAGCTTGCATCATCAGATCTAAAGAGCTTGACTTTGAAGTATCCACATGAGCAGACTCAGACTCCATCTTCTCGAGGTAAACTCTGGCTATAGCGAGCGAGTAGGAGAAATTCGGGAAGAGCCATAAGGAGTTGTCGCTTTGATACTCCTCCGCGAACTCCTCCAACCACGCATACTCCTCAGCTCTCAGAGCAAAATAGTCCACACAGAACAACGCACCAACTGGATTGTCAGTGTCCAACGAAAGCAAGAGCTTGCAGACTTCCAACGCCGATCTGTGACAGCCACGCCTATCCATGTTCCTCATGTGAGCGAAGAGCGTCGTGAAGAACGGTTTGTTCGTCTCGTGAGAAAACTTCAACCGGCAGTTACCTTGGAACGGAGTGAACATTGGGTGCCACGCACGCTCCAAACCGTACAGACATTTCCCGACGGCGTCTGCAGCCATTTCATGCTCACCGGTGAACTTGAAGTAGTCCGCCATAGTTATAAGTGAATCAATATGGTAAGGATTGTTTCTAAGGACACTTGCTACACCGTTTAGATCATGAGTAGCTTGTGCAGCTTGAAATGCCCTCTGAGCCTGCTCATATGAGGATGAGTGAGTGTATCTGTGCCAACAAAAAAAAGGAACCTTCTTCATCAGACTTACGCACAAACAAGAAAACACAACAACAGCAAGAAAAACTGTCAACAAAGATGTTATTTTACCTAAAGTAGTTGCATCCATCTTTAGTCTCAAGAAACTCCATTGAGAAAGAGCGATCCCAGCGAGCCCAATTCTCCATTGGAGATATCAGAACCGTCTTTGTGATGTGATGGACTCCTCCACGTCTTCCTCCTAATCGTACCTGTCTAGAGCTACCACCAGGTCCACTGCTACTCTCGAGTGATCTAACCACCTTTGAGCCATACATTCTCTTCAATTCGTTTTCAAGGTTTAGATACTTGGGATCAATCTCCAACACTGATCGTGAAGGAGCCTTTCTCGAAGACTCACCAAGTGCTTTCGTTCCCTGAGTCTTTCCTTGCTTAGACTTCGCATCATCGAGAGAAAGTGCTTCTAAAGTCTCATCCAAATCGATTTCAGCTTTTGCAACATTAGAACGAGTCTCTTTGTTCTTCTTCTTCTTCTTTTTCTTCGACTTGCTCTTTGACGCAGAATGCAAATCTTCATCCTTCTTCTCGACTACACTCTCATCGTCAATCTCTGTCTCCTGCAATCAAACCCAATTGTCACACTTAGAATTACCTCTCCATGAATCACAGATTATCAGAAGAAACTTTTCAATACAGTTGCAATCGACAATCGACCAATCAATCTAATCGTCAAATTTTGGGGGTGAAATCAGCTGATAGACTGACCTTTTCGGAGTCAGGATCTTCATCGCCATCGTTCAAGAGATCAAAAGGATTGATGGAAGAACGTCCTCCTACAGAATCACCAAGATGCTCGTCGTCGTCTTCTTCTTCAATTTCCAATTCTTCGTCGGGATGATTCCGTAGCTTTGAGTCTTCATGTTCCTGGAGAACCTTCTTCAGCAACCTCCCAGACATCTCTACAGCTTATTCGTCGTCCCCGAATTCGGTAAGGTCGATTTGAGACGGCGGAGAAAGGCGGCGACACCGATTAGATGATATCTCGACGATACGCGTTTGCTCGCTCTTCTCCTCTTGACCTTTAGGAGGAAAGAGAGTATCTTTCCGGTTTAAACATGTTTTTGGTTTCCAATTTCTCTAAACCAAAATTTAGTCAATTAATTATATTACCGACTAAATTTGCCAAACCGGTCAAATTGGATTCCCTTTTTTGTTTCTGTTTACAGCTGTACATAGAAGTGATTAATGTTTTTTATTTAGAGAGTCTGCTTAATGATGTGCTTATTGGTTCATGGATTTTAATGGACTTAGACATCTAGGCTAAAATTCCTCTTATTAGATTAGTGATTTTAAAATCTTGCTCAAAATCCTTCTTATTCATTCAATGATTTTAAAATACTAGTTGAAATCTCCCCTTATATGTTTAATAATGATTTGTTATTTAGATTTAGAAATCTGATTTCGGATTTGTAACTGCTTTTAGGTTAAAAATACAAAGAATCAAATCTGAAATAAAACATTAGTTTTTCAAAATCCATCGTTTTATATTTAATGATTTCTAAATTTTATATCTAAATATAATAGCAATATGAATAAATGTCTTTTTTTGTCGTGTCTTTTCATTCTTAACCGTTTTGTCTATAAACGCTCACCTAAAGAGTTGTGTCTCTATGTGGCACACACTTTCGCTACGAACAGTTGCAATTTTTGATAATGATATCGTTTTAGTACATTTTCATCCCTCAAACAGAATCTTTCCAACTTTTGTTTTTCATCGTCCCTGTATTTTTTATTCTAATTACATTCATTCTTTTTTTTTTGAAAAAAAAAATTGTTATTCTTTGGTATGTATTATTCTATGAAATTCTCTTTATCGTTGATTGCTGATTTCTCATAGCAATTTGTTTTTCACCAATCAAATCTGCAGTTCAATTTTTTTTTTTTTTTTGGTGGCTAATTCTCAGCAATCACTTTCGTCAATTTGTTGTTGTCTTGTTCATGATGTTTATCCCCACATTCACACAATCTTTATCGTTCCTTTTCTGTCTACATTCCCACAATTATTGTCCATGGATTAATATTATCTCTAATGCAATTTTACAAAAAAAAAAAAGGATTGGAATATGGTGAAGAAGATGAAAGAGATGAAGATGTGTGAGCGTCTTGTATTATTGTAAATACATTTGGTTATAATATCACATTTCTTCCTTTTGGTTGCCTTGCAATTTTTAGAACCTCAACGTATTTTACATCGTAAAAAATTGACATTGCATGAAAAACGTTATCCGGATATCGGAAGTTGTCGTGAATCTGCGATGTAGTCAGTGATAGGCATGCCTGGTGATAACTGATACGTAAGTTGAATACATGTGCAAAGTGGAAAATATAATTGAATTATTTAAGTAAGTTGTGGTGACATTATCTTCGAGATTAATATATATGCTTTATTTAGCGTATGTGTGTAAACTCATCAGAATAACAAAATGTCATCTTCTCAAACTCACCCACGTGCTTTGGTTTTCTTCTTCTTCAATCCTCTTAATTCCGGGGAAAGATATCTCATTGCAGTTTCTTAGTTTTGAGAAATTAAAAGGTCTAATTTTATGAAGATTTGGACATACAGTGTTTGGGTTAGGGTAATACAATTAAGATATTAGAGTATTTCTCAAGCATACATACAACATACAAATACAACCGTGCATAATCATTATTCTCGTGATAATACATCTCTCCTCACACTCTCACACAGTTTTTGAGCCTTGATTACAATACAGTTTTTGGAAACTCTCTATTTCATCATAAGAGAATCTGGCTAAGTAGAAAATTGTAAAAAAGTTAAACTGTGAAGAAAGGAATATAGGTCACGCGCCTTTGTCGGCTGCGTGTCGGCTCTGTAAGATAAAAATTAACCGTAAATAACAAAAATAAAATAAAAATAATAGTATAAGGGAATCTTTTAGAAAGAGACAGTCCCCCAAACGACTCTGCTGTAGAGATTTCACTTTTAAAAATTAAAAAGATCAAAACACCCCTTTCATCTTCTTCTTCACAGTGCTTTTTGAACCATTTTCTTCATTCTCGCTCTGCGTTTCAGATAAAAATCTCAGAAAACACACAAAAAATGTTGAGGAAAGGGTTTGAGAGCGGCTTGAACCACATAATGTGCGTATACGGGGCAAATAATTAAAAAGACCAAAACACCCCTTTCATCCTAATTACACAACTAATAAACCTATTCCCTCCCCCGAAATCAGAATCCAACTAGTATTCAACCCACATAATGTTTACGAGAAGAAATTAATAAGATTTCATAAGTTTATAAGGTTATTATTCCATGGTGTAAAGTGTCGAATGTAATAAAGTTCATATTTGGACCACATATAAAGTGATTAATTTTTTTATTTAGAGTCTGATTAAATTAGAATCCAATGCTTTCGGCTAAGCTAATAATTAGACTCACAACAAGCACTGCCAATCATCTCTCACTGATATTTTCACTTTTACTTAAAAAGTTATATAATCACGAATCAAAGATTGATTATGATTCTTTCTTTCTCACCATACTCTAAATTTTTTTATCATTATTTGTCCTTATTACTACTATTCTTAACCTATTAACCACTTTCATTTGTAATTTTTGTTTTTCAATAGTCAGGAATTTCATATCATCATCATCACGATTATAATCATAGTCTCAATTCAAAATTTTAAATCACACATACTTTTTCGGCTCTTTTACAAAAAGATGAACTTTTCAACAATTCATTATATTCGAATTTCCACCAAAAGTAGAAATAAACAGAAGACACTAATCATAGCAGTGATCAAAGTGGGCCCATTCACCCAACACAAAAGCCCAATTATAAATTGCAATCCTCCTCCTTCAATTATTAACCGGAATCAAACGACTCTTCATCCTCTTCGTGACAAAATGAATCGGAATCTCCGAAACGCCATTATCGCAGTCCTCGCTCCACTCCCTTCCATCGTCTTCTACATCTCCTTTCTCCGTAATTACTCTCCAACCTCCGACTCCGAGCTCTCCTACATCCACTCATGGTGTTCGAATCACCCGCTTCTACTCGCAAACCTTCTCTTCTTCTTAAACGTCAATGTCCTCTTCTGGGTCATCGGTTTACTCCAATCCAGCCACTGGGTACGCATCCAAAATCACAAAAAAATTTACCCATTTGTCATAAATTTTGAATTTTGAAATTTGATCAATTTCTAAAATCTCTGGTAATTTTGCAGATGATCGACGTGTATTGGACTGTGATACCTGTAATGCTCGCTCACTACTTCGCGTCGCATCCATTGGGGAATTACAATAAATCGAGATCCACGATCGTCATCATTCTCACATGGATTTGGAGTATCAGATTGACTCATAACTACTTCCGGCGGGAAGACTGGGAATGGGGCGCCAGAGAAGACTGGAGGTTCAACGACTTACGGAAACAGTACGGTAAACACTGGTGGTGGGTCTCCTTCTTCTCCGTCTACGTCTCTCAGCAGGTTTCTTCCTAAACCCACCAACTGTTCGATCATTTGCCTCATCCAGCTTTTGTTTTCCTCTGTTTTTAGTGATTTTTGGAGTAAAGTAGAGATTTTTATTGTTAAAGTCTAGAAATTTGCAATTTTCTATCTCTCTGTTATTATAATCTCATTCTGTTGTCTCTGTTTTTGCTCAGATCTTTCTTATTGGGATATGTCTACCTTTATACGTCGTCCACTCCGTTGATGCGCCGTTGAACATTTGGGACTTGATCTCCTCGTTGATCTGTTTGACGGGGATTGTCATGGCGTACTACGCAGACACGCAGCTTCACGAGTTTGTAACGGGAAACCAAAAGCTCAAGGAGCAAGGGAAGCCTAAAATCCCCAATTTGGACACGGGTTTGTGGCGTTACTCTAGGCATCCTAATTACTTGGGAGAACAGTTGTGGTGGTGGGGACTTGTCGTATTTGCTTGGAACCTTGGTCAAGGATGGACTTTGATAGGTTCGTTGGTCAATACTCTGTGTTTAGTCTATGTAACGGTCCTTGTTGAGCGTCGGATGGTGAAACAAGAATACAGAGCTGAAGCTTATAGAGCGTATCAGAAGACAACCTCGGTTTGGATTCCATGGTTCAAGTCTACTACTAAAGACAAGAACACTTGAAGGAAAGCTTGTGATTAGTTTGTTTCAATAAGGTTTTCTAGAGATCCTTTAATTGTGTATTATTGCCTTTGTTTGGTGTTTTTTTTTTATCCCCTGTCATTATTATGTTCCTTTAAGATGCTTTTCGTTTTGTCTGTGTAAATTCGCATTCAATTGATTTTTTTCTCTGTTTGGTCTCTTCATGTTGTTTGTTAAATTTGTTGGGAAAAAAATTGTTACTATAAAAGTGAATATCTTTACGAATCTGTTTGTTTCAAAGAATCATCAATATCAACATAAAAAGCATATGCCAGTTCAGTTGGATATTGATAGATTGCACACATTGTAGAATATACCATTAGAATATGATACAGATCAAATCAATGATCTATAAAAACAGACTCGAATCCGAAGGAAAAGATTATTTCACTTTCTCGTTTTCAGTTTCAAAACATAAGAAAACACAATGGAGAAAACACTACTAGTCTTATTCTCTGTTTTATGTGTTTCTTTGATCTGCTCCTTCTCTCCGGTTTCCGCCTACGGTAGAAGGCCACTCCGGTTTAATCTTGATGGTCGGTTTAAGATACTGCAAGTGTCAGATATGCACTACGGTAACGGCAAAGAGTCGCAATGCGCAGACGTATCAGCAGAAGAAAGGCCTTACTGCTCCGATCTCAACACCACCGCCTTCTTACACCGGACTATCGCCTCCGAGAAACCTGATCTCATCGTCTTCTCCGGTATAACTTCACAACTAAAAAATCAAAAATAAACTTTATATTATGTGGTGTATTTTCGATGCATATTTTAAGCATAATTCTAGTTTAATAATGTCATTTCAATTTATCCATACAAATTTTAACATTTTACTTGAAATGCAAGAAATAAAACCTAAAACAACACTTCTTAATGTGTTGTTGTTTTTTCTCTTAACGCAGGAGACAACGTATATGGACTATGCGAGACAAGTAACGTGGCAAAGTCGATGAATATGGCATTTGCTCCTGCGATCGAATCAGGGATTCCATGGGTGGCCATTTTGGGGAATCACGACCAAGAATCAGACATGACAAGAGAAACAATGATGAAATACATCGTGACATTGCCCAACACGTTGTCACAAGTAAACCCTCCCGATGCTTGGCTATACAAGATCGACGGTTTCGGTAACTACAATCTACAAGTCGAGGGTCCTTTTGGGTCGCCTCTCTTCTTCAAATCCCTTCTCAATCTCTATCTTCTCGACGGTGGAGACTACACAAAGCTAGATGGGTTTGTTTACAAATATGATTGGGTCAAAACCTCTCAACAGAACTGGTATGAACACACCTCTAAATGGCTCGAGGTAAGCACAGAATATTGATCTCGTTAGGCAAATTATATACAAAAAATTGTTAAATTTGGTACTATAAACTTGATTTTTAACAGATGGAATACAAGAGGTGGCCATTTCCACAGAACAGTACTGCACCGGGATTGGTTTACCTCCACATTCCGATGCCGGAGTTTTCAAAATTCCAAAAACCGACGGAGATGACCGGAGTGAGACAAGAAACTACGTGTGATCCACCTGTTAACTCTGGTTTCTTCACCAAACTTGTCGAAAGAGGTGAAGTCAAAGGTGTTTTCAGCGGGCACGACCATATCAACGACTTCTGTGCCCAACTCAATGGAATCAACCTTTGCTACGCGGGCGGTGCCGGGTAACAAATAAAACAACTTTTAGCTTGTACCACAAGGTTTCTTAATACTTGTGATTAACCTAAATTCTTGATTACTTGTAACATACGTTAGGTATCATGGGTACGGAAAGGTTGGATGGGCAAGGAGAGTGAGAGTGGTCGAAGCTCAGCTTGAGAAGACTATGTATGGACGTTGGGGAGCTGTTGATACCATTAAAACGTGGAAACGGCTGGATGATAAGAATCATTCTTTGATTGATACTCAACTTCTTTGGTCCAAGAACACAAGTAAGTAATCTTTTGGCTGATTTAAAAAGTAACTTGAATATTTGGAGAAGATGTTCTGTGATCTTAATTATGGGGTTTTTGCTTTTTTGCAGCTGCTCAGCCAAATTTTGGGTTTACTTGCTCTACGATAAAGCAGCACTGATCATTTAGTGGAGTTCTTGTAGGATGATCGTTTGTTTTAGTTTAAACATTCGTTTATAATTTTTCTCCAAACTATGATTCATTTAGAGGTGTGTTCATTTTATAATTTTCTTTACATTCGTTTTATTTTTCTCAACACTAACATGACTCAGTGGGTATACGTTTCCGTAATTTTATTTATGTCAGGTAAAGAGTATAAATAACTAGAAATGTAGGGACTAATGTTAGATTAAAAGACAGCGTGTTATATACAGTAAGTCAAACTTTGACTTCAATAAAACGGCGAGACGTCTGATGGTTTAATGCAGATGAAAAGACAGCGTGTTGTTTTTGTGAGCTTTTACCGCCATTTTAGTATACAGACACACGATCGAAGAAAATCGTCCAATTCTCCTAAATCTAGGGTTTCATTTTTCACATAATCTTTATATTTACTTTTTTTTTTCTAGTTTCAGATGATCACATTGATATCTCGAGATTTGAAGAAATTTTCGTGAATTTCTCGGGATTTATATAACAGCCATGAATTTTAATATTTTCTTCCACCACATCGAATTGAGATAATTCATTAAAAAAATCCCATTGTGTATCTTGTAAATTTCATCTGACTAGACTAAACGGCTGTGTTTATTGATCAAATCAAATGTTCATCTGAAAACGTAAAAGATTGGCAACCTCTGATGCAATATTAAAATTGAAAAGTTTGATGAATGTATTGTTATCACGACTTAGACATGTATATGTATGGTTGCACAAAAAAAAAAAAGACACGTACATATGTACATGTAAATCTTTGAGACTTTTTGTTGTTGTGAAATGTTAAATTTAATAAAACCTACAAAAGGAGCTTCTCTTTTCTTTTCAAACGATCAGCGTTTTAAGAGCAGCATCGATCAACATAAATATAAACTTATACGATAGACTACTTTTAAGCCACATAGACATCAGTCATCACCAATCTAATTTCCAAACCCTTCAGTTTAGTTAAGTTAGTTACACTATATAAACCCCCTAAATATAATTTTTGAGATCGGACTACTTAGCTAATGAATGTATACATAACAAAACCATCATATATGTGCTAAATAATTAAGCAGGATATAACTAGTTGCTAGCTAGTAGCTATATATATATATATATATATATATATATATATATATATATATATATATATATGGTATACACTCATTGGATAAATCATACTAAATGCTTGTGTATATATATGTGATCATCACATCTAACGTATGCGTATAAACATGACATATGTTAACATTAAATGTGTCTCTGCAACGTATGTATTGTGTAATGCTTCAGAGTTCAGACCAGGAGACGAAAAGAGAACCCCAAAATACAATACATAACTGACAACAACAAATATACTGTTATGTTTAAATTTATTTAATTTCACAGCCTTTAAGCGCTTTTGTAATAATTAATAACTGCATCAGAAAATATATGTGAAAACAGATCATACCTTTTTCAATCGCCCCAAGATGAAAAATAAAGGGAACTCTTCTCTTTTTTGCAAAGGTAGACATCACAATGATACAAAGAAAAAAAATATAAGTTTAATAAATCATTGTTTTGTCACTGCCCATCTCCTGCAAGCCTGCCTGCCTAACTAATATCCAGCAATAGCTTCAGGGAAAAGCAGCAACAGCAGCCATATTTAGTAACCAAACATAGAAACCCATAACCAAATTAATTGCTGTCACAATTATTGATGATTCATATACATACAAAAATTTTGCAGCACAGATATATAAGAGACAAATCACTTTTCTAAGACAGCCCATCAAACTCTGAAACTTTCTGACCACAGAGACATACAAGAGAGATATGGGTTTACACTGATCCCAATCCTAGTTCATGTCTCTTGTTATAAATCTCACTTATATATTTTGTACCCAATTTTTTCTACTATATACAGCCTTACAAACATACTACATAACCTATGATATGTTTTGACAAATGTATACACTATAATTTGATCCATTGATATATGATTGAGAGAAATAAAGACTTACAAATGCTACAAGTTCTTCATCTATATATATACACACAAATATTGTCAACACTTTCAGGAACACTTGACAAAAGACTATTCGAATCCATAAAGTTCCTATATGAACAATGCACATATCTTTCCTCGAAAATCTAATAATGAAATCAATGCATTATGTTGTCATATATATAGAATTTTATATATATATGTGTGTTTTTTTTTAAATACCAAATTACTAATCTCATCACTATCATAATCATTACTGATCCAAATCAAAAGACAATGAAGACTTTCCTTTCTTAGAGAAGTGATCATTCTCACTGCTGTTTCCAAGTCTCAGCTGAACCAAAGAGGACGACGAAGAAGCACCGCCACGTGGCATACTCCCACCGGAAGATGATGATTCCTCCTCCGTGCTGTTGGTTACTCCGCTCTCGCCACATTCCATATCCACTCCAAACAGCCTCAATCTCTTCCCGGCGGCGGCCTGAGCTGGAGCTCCTCCGTGCATCATCACCGGCACAGATTCGATCACTAACGGATCAGCCACCACCGCAGGATTATGCCTCTGATCCACTGACCTAACGAAATACCCATATCCAAATTCCCTCGGAATCTGAGGATAACTATAACCACTGGGATGATGATGACGTGGCTGCTGATGATTGTAGAGATTGTAACTTGTCGAAGCTGTTGCTGTCGGAAAGCTGTAAAACCTAGGGAACAAAGCTCCAGCAGCAGCAAAGTGAGCAGCAATCGATGTCGGATGGTCAGGGACTTTAGGTCTTCTCCTCCAATCGATAAACAGACGACTGTCTCTCCCCGAATCTCCGACACATCTCTGGAAAGAGACAATATCTCCGGCGTCGAGCTTCTTGTCTTTAACGAAACGGCTCCAGCCTTTGGTCATGACATAGCTCTGGCTACTGTTCCAGTAAGAGTAACGGAACCTCCAAGACTTTCCAGTGAGATCTTCGAAGTTTAGAAGCAGACCTTTCTCGTTTGAGGACGAATCTAGAGGGAAGTATCTCTCTGCGTGTTGCTTCGGGATCACGAGCCTGTTTAGTTTCCCGACGTCGCTTGGAGTCACCACTTTGTCGAACATGTGCTCTCTCTCCACTTCTTCTAATGGCTTCTTTGCTTCTGCCTCTTCTTGATCTTCTTCTCCTTCTCTTGTAAGAGACAAATTCGTCATCATCTTGTAATGGTGTGGCCAAGATTGGGGTTTCTGACCGGAATTGGATGATTCCACAGCAATCTGATGAGAAATTGAGAAGAAGCAAAAAAAAAAACCCTAATTTTGGAAAGAGAAGAAGAGAATTGGAGGAGGAAAAAGGTTAAATTGGTGATGTGATCGACCTAATTATACATAAATAGAAAGTTGGTTTTGCCTAACTTCTTCACTGAATCATCACCTCTCTCTATCTCTATCTCTCACTGTGTTCAGCAAGAGCTAAAGCTTCTCTGGAATTTACAGGAAGAAAACAAAACCAAAAAGTTTTTTAGATTTTTTTAGAAGAAGAATGAGAGAAAAATTCATCAATGTTATAATGTTATGATGAGAATGATGGAGATATGGGCAAGAGAACCAATTTTAGAGGGACCCATGAATCATCTGGTTCAGTTCATGTGACCTTATTGTCCTTTAATTTTACCACTCTTCTACTAGTTTCTTCCTTCTCTTCTTCTTGGTTTGTTTATAACAAATCTACATACATAATATTCCTTTTTATTAACTCCCCTGAACATAAAATATATTTTATTGGCAAATGAATTAAGAAGGAGATCAGAGTTGTCCAATGAATTATGAGAGTAATGGTTGGGATATGAGGAGAAGGGAGATGATAATGTCGTGGGCTTGGGGAGAATCATTTGCTTTTTTCTTTAAACCAGAATCTTCGAGCTGTTAACAATCAAATGATCTCCTTACTAATAAACAATCTCGTCCTCATTAATGCTAGTTATCGAAAGGAAAGCATTTTTTATGGGTTTGCTGCAGTTTTGGTTTCACAAAGACAAAACTGGCATGTGTGTTTTCGTCTTGGTCTTTACTGTTGACTTTTGGTTCTGGTTCCCCTTTATCTCTCTTAATTTCATCTAGGTATTTATATTTACACATATTATGCATAGTGGTGTGTGTGGTTACATGTTTTACAATTGCAACACTTGTTATATACTTTTCCCACTTGTGAGAGATTCTTTTTCTATTAGTCACACACACTTGTTACCTCTGACCTGTCATTTTAAAAAAATTTCCATAATCACTTTATTTTGCTAAATTTTTGTGTACTCGTTCTAGAAAATCAATATCATATTTTCTTTTTTAAAAAGAAAATTCAGAACCATATTTATATCTGAATCCAAAAAAATTTGTTCGTTAGATTATTTTCATTCGATAATAATCACGATGATTATAGAAAAAATGTGAAAATTTATATTGTTTGTGAGTATAGTGAGAGGCTGGATTCTTGTTTGGGGGCTCGACTGTGAGACCAACAATCTTACCTTAATAGAATATTAGAACACTTTTTTCTTTTGGTCGGCAGAAAATTAGAACCTAGCGACTGAGCTATAACAGACGTCTCATTTGGAACATGATCACTAAACTTAAAATAACTATTTAACTGGTTTTTACCTAATAAATAAAATTGGATTATTTATACTCGGTATATTGTTCTTGGACCTGCCAAAGAATCTTAGAGTTTATGGCTCAATATATACAACTTTTGACATAAAACGAAAATCGATACATTTGTTTGTTCCAGCGCATCGTACAGCATGTACACATGTTTTTTTTCTATCCATGTAACAATGTTAGTATAGTAACAATACACATGTAATATGCTGCTCTAGAACATGACACGTTTCACTTTAACACTCGCAAATCCTTGATAACTAATAAATTAATTGTTTTCATGTATAGTCAGTGTTAATCTTCTTCTATGTACGTACGTGGTCCTGAAAGAGACTAAGCACCCTTCCATTCTCCATCTTTGGTTTAAATCTAATGAATGGCTGGTTAATGATTAAAGCTTCGAACTTTATTAGACTAGAATAGTAATAGCATATCATCATGTTAATCGACCTTATTAGTCGATGGCTACTTAGACCATTCTTTTATATTACATTCATTGATGGGTGAGCTTATATTAAGTAGGTTTCAGAGAATTCGATTATGAGAAATTTATAAACATGAAATTATAAAGCAGTAGGTAAAGGAACATTATTAAACGTGGTCCAAAATCTCATCCTCAGTACATAATTGGTTGGTCACAAAAGCCTCCCGTCGATACATTGTGTTTTCTTCTGTTTAAAAGTTATTGATTCGATTCTTAATCAAAACTATACCACTTTTTAATCTTATCTTAATGATCAAAAACATAATAATATACATAACAATTTGCATTTGATATACACACGATTATTTGCATGGCTTATTTTCTTTTCTTTAGTTTGTAAACTTTCTAAACATTGGGTTGTGTTGCTTTGATCATGCGCATCTAAGCATCTTATATTATGACGCCCCCAAATGATATATAATTGATTGTATGACGGATTAGAATTAATTTTCAAAACTTGCAAAAAATAGCGAAGCACAACGAAAGGCAAAACGATTAAATCTTTCTTTATATAAATGAACACCATTCTTTTTGTTCTCCTTTTTACCTCCATTTTTTGTCGATATTTACATAATATCATCTCTCTCTATTTCCTTAATTTCTTGCAGAGAGAGAGACATAATAATACAATAAATACCAAAAAATTACGAGGAAGCCGTAGCGTCGTCCTTTTCAAAGCTATGCCCTATTAGCCAAGGGGACCTCTCTATTTCTTTCTATATATGCATCTCACTCTCAATTCCTATCAAACTATTTCTAAATTTTAAACATGAATCGAAGCTACAAAAACGCATCGGATAATTAGTTTTCGATCTTTAAATGCGTCTAAAATGGTTAACGCCTCATGTACGTAGTCCTTAATTGTTCAAATTTATGTCATACTATGGTTTAAAGCTTAAAAGTGATGACACACAGAAAACATATCGAAGTAGTTTGTTAGTCGTTGTTTTGTGAGATTAAACTAGGATTTCGCAAACTCACTTTATAGTAGTTGTTTAGTGTACAAAATTAGCTTATGATAATGATGGAGAGTAGGTGTACAAATAGAGATATATTAGCATATGATAATGAAAGAAGGAAAAGATGGGGTTTAGGGTAAGGACCACTTTGTATATTAGTAGTATACTGAAAAAAACCAGACTTGCACTTATTAACTCTTGTTTATATGCCCACTCGCGCTCCTTTCTTTTGTCCATCTCTTTAAACCCTCCTTTTCCCTTAGAGATCCTTTCAAACTATATAATACTCATTGATTGTAATTTTATCTCAACACCAAAGGTCCAAAACAATCCCTGTAAAGTTTTTTATTTATTTTATTTATAATTTTACCATTAACCAAAACTATAATATATATACGTTTAATTCCATGTATAACTCGAAGAAACAATAAGAACATTGATAAATGCATATGGTTATAAATAGTTTGGTGAATCTATTGGGGCAGGACAGGCCTGGCTTTTGCTCGATCCATCGAGGTGTGTATATGGGGGCAAGACAAGAAAACGTAGCCTTTAGAAACTTAGGGTTTCTTTGATTTTTTCAAAAAGAAAAGTTTGCATTTAATATAAATTAGTTGTGTGTTTTGGACTGACGCGATCTTCTCCGTAGCACTCGTGTTAATATAATTAGTCGACCATTATTGAATATAGAAAAGATATATGATAAAATACATGTAAGATCGGTCGCCATCGAAGAGGTAGTGGTGAAGTAGAAGGCGGTCCATTTGTTTATAATTGATTTTTGTTTAGTTTAGAATTTAAAATGGAGAATCAGTGGTGCGATCATGGCAACAACATGCTCCAGTTGTCAATTTGCCCCAGAGTCTAGGACTCTCTCCCTCTCTCTCTCTACTCTCTAGCCAACCATCTCCTTTAACTAAAACATAATTTATCTTTAAGCATGCATCTTTAAAAGTTAATGTGCTTAAAGAAAAGGCAAAAGAATTACAGGAGGAAGAAAGCTTAACGCTTATTGTGGAAACTTAGTTAAATTGTTTCCTATATTAAGCATTACATGTTAGTAGTCAATAGTCAATAGTCAATACTAATACTATGTATTGAGCATTACAGTTTATATGCATCATTAGTAATGTCGTTGTGTGACTATTTTCACATTATTCACATAATGGGGATAACAATTAAATAGTATATAAATGATGTAGATGAGATATAAATGCAAATATATAAGGTGGGGTCGGTTTGTATGGAAGGATGGATACAAAGGAATCAACCCCTTCAGGTTGTCTCAACTCTCAAGGCCAAAAACACTCTTCAATTTGGAGGCTTTCTTAGCAAAATAAACTAAAAAGGATTTTATATATATTTACATCATATATTGTAACTTTATAGTAAATTACATTTACAGATATTATATATATGTGATAAAGTATTGACTGCATGGATATATATAAAGGGTCTGCGGTAGCTGCGAAAGTCAGCTTCCCCTGCAGCTCCTATATTCACATTCATTCACTGTTCCCACTCTTTAAATCTTGATAACAACTGTATATGCATCTGTTTCTGTATTCATACATTATTCATAAATATACACACGTACACATGTCGGACCATATTTTACAATTAATTCGTCACTTTGTTGATCACAATTTAAAGAGAAAAATGAAAATTAAAATTGGAGGAGGGGACTATAGGTGTGGTCCCTAGAAAAGAAAAGTGAGGCCCAAAAAATAAATACGATATAGATGATAAATCCAAAAGCCCATTCTCTATCTATATTTGTGCTACTCTTGTTTAGTCGCTTTCTCATTTGGATCCACACAAACACAATATTTTGCTAACTAAAAAAACCCTGTTTATGTTCACTGTACTCTAGTCTAGAGACGCCTAGTGCACACAGATCTTTCGTTAAGATTTTTGTTTTTGTTTTTTTGTTTAAAATATTGTGCAAATAAACCCTTTAACTAAATTAGTTTTGCAAAATAAACCTCCAATTTAAAACTGTGCAGGTCAAACCCCTCAAGTCCAAGGTCACCCGCTATATAGGACCTCCGTGAAGTTGTCGTTACTTTTTAACGTTGACTCCAAACGCATCGTTTTGTAGAAAGGAAAATCGTGTTGTTTAAATACTGTATATAAATAAATTAATAATAAAAAATGAAGAAAAAAAAATAAATCTCACATCTTCGTCTTCTTCCTCTTTCTTCCGATCTTCATCTTTTTCATCTTTAAAAATTGCCCAATTGATATGGTTAGAGAATATCCAGAAATTGAAAAATGTAAGATTCATTGGCTATTGGTTTTACAATATCTAAATTTAGAACTCCAGCAACTTAAATCTTTTTGGTGTTGGTGATGCTCGTTTGAGCAATGAAATAATTAGTCTCAGGCGTGACTTTCTGTTCCTAATTCCAGTGCCCAGAAATTAATCCCATCAGATTCCGGTAATCTCTCCAGCGAGTTTCTCCACTTTCTTCTTCTTCTCCATCCCAAATGTTAACTCGTCTTCAATTGGGTCTTGCTTTTGTTATTTCGTCTAGTGAAAACACCATTGCCGCCGCCGAAAGCTCACTGGTCTCATCGGTGCTGCCGAATTGTCATCTTCCAAATTCGTCACCATCGAGTTCAATACGTGAATGGATGTCGTTTCAAGTACATTAACAGCAAGAATGTCAGATTCAAAACGGCGTCGTGTCGTCTGAAGATTGGCAACACCATCAACTTGCAGATAGGATACGATGGATGGACCTCTCGAATCACTCTATTACTCTAATCTGAAATCCAAAACTCTGGTTTTGTCTTCCCTCTTGATCTAGATCTTCATGTAGAAGATTTCGCGTTCGTCGGATTCTCTGGTTCCACGCAGAGATCTACAGCAGCGAGTGATGCGGAGCATTAATTCCTCTTTTCGGAGAAAATTGGAAGAGAAGAAGAGAAAACATGTGTGTAGTTTTTTTGTTATAGAGTAAATGTGTGTGTAGTTTTAGGATAAAAAACTGCATGTTTTTTTATTTTCTGCTTAATTTTTCACAGATGTTAAACTTGTCACGTCGACAATATAGAGGTGACTTTGGACTTGGAGGTGTTTGACTTGCACAGTTTAAAGTTGAGGGTTTATATTGCAAAAATAATTTAGTTTAAGGGTTGTTTTGCACAAAACCCTTAAAATTAATAACCAAATAAACCCGATTTTAGTACGTGTCATTCTGTAAGACTGATTCATTTTAAAATTGTACAGATGGTTCTTGCTTATGATGGCAAGGCCCAATTTATTTAGGCCTATAGAGCTTATAAAGCCCATTAGTGGACAAGATATATAACATTTTGATAATCAGTGAACAGGCAAAAAAGGAAAAAGGAGAAATAATACATTTGTGTTTGTATCAGTTTCAGATTACACAATTCAACAAAACTGCAACATCACAAAAGACCAAAATTGTAAAAGCCAAAGATATAAATTATGAAAATATAAAACAAAAATTCCATTGAAAATAGGTATATGTGAAGAATATTTTGCGAAGAATCATCTCTTTCGCGTAAAGTAAAATAACGTATTGTTTTTTTGTCGTTGTTTGTTCATCTCCTCAAGGAATGGAGAATATACTCGGCGTATAGATCCCTGTAAATTCATTAAACAATGCATATTCGTTACTTTGTTGATATTTTTTTGTTTTCCAGTTAATTTTTCAAAATTTGAGAAATCTTACATGGAGTACTGGATTGCTTCATGTGCGCTCTCTGATGGCAAGAAATCGTTCACAGCCACCTTCTTGTTCTCGTTCTTCTTGTCTATAAACAAATGCAAAAAGTTAGGTTAATTGATATGTGTTTTTATATTCAACATGTGAATCAAAATGAGGATGATCATACAGTCTTCGAAGAAGCGACGGATTTCTTGGAGACGATGAGGAGCGAGTTGTTTGATGTCAGTGAAATGTCTGTACTCAGGATCATCAGCACAAACAGCGATGATCTTGTCGTCTTTCTCTCCCTGATCAATCATAGGCATCAATCCAATGGCTCTAGCACGGAGAAAACATCCTGGAAGCACTGGCTCCTACAACAAAATCATCATAAAGCTCAAATTATTAGGTTTTGAAACCGTAGAGATTTAAATGATCAATTTTCTTGTGTAACAAGTTACCTGCATAAGGACAAGAACATCAAGAGGATCGTTGTCTTCACACAATGTCCTTGGAATGAATCCGTAGTTGTGAGGATACACAACCGATGAGTACAAGATCCGGTCAACCTAATATCGAAAATTCCACGTCATCAATCACAACAAGAACAGTTTTAGATAAAAATGGAAGATCACAAACCTTGATAAGACCGGTCTTTTTGTCTAGCTCATATTTCACCTTGCTTCCCTTTGTGATCTCAACCACCTGATCCCAGAGAGAGGCTCTCGCTCATTAAACAGAAATGAAAAAGGTTTATTTGCGTTATAAGGAATAAGAGACATACGACATTGAAGACCAATGGAGCTTCAGGACCGATCTCAAGGTCGTGCCATGGATGTGCAGCTACAGATCTCCTTGACAGAGTTGAGAGGATCCTCTCGTTCAGTTTCGGAACAGGACGAGGACTTGACTCCTGAGTCTCTTCATATGTTTCTTCACTCATCTGTGATCATCACATCAACCACAAAATATTAATGATTGCCAAGAAGAAACAAAACATCAACCTTTTTCTTGAGATCCAGTTAATATAAACAAGAAACATCAGGGAATTAGTGTATTAATTACCTTTGGATCTTCTTTTGTTTAAATGGGACAAAGCAAATGTAACTTCTCCGGAAACAGAGCTACGCATATATATATCCAAGAAACCGAGTTTAATAATAGCCATCACGACTTGGTCAAAATTGAACAATGATACCAGAGATATTCTTTCTCAGCCTTTCGATTTCTTTTTTATTCCACAAAAATCCATTATTCAATAAATATAAATTGGAAAAGAAAACACAAAACATTGTTCTTTGCTTGCACGTTGTTATAATCGTGACTTCCAATCGCAGTCACGATTTTTCCTTTCAGAACACGATCTCATAACTCACATTGAAAACGTTTTTTTTTTTAACTCTCAACCAAAACGTTTTAAACTTACATATATTCCAAAAAAAAAAACGTTAATTTTCTCTTATCATTTCAAGTCTTAGGGAGATAGATAGAATCAGGAGACATAGAGATCATTTGAAGCAAACTCGAATTCGAAAACGTTTCCTCAATCCCATCTCCTTTCTTATTATCGCAACCGCTTCCACCGCTATTATTACTAGCAGCGATCTGCAACAGCTCTCTAGCCGCATCAACCATTCCAAACTTCCCATCACCACCAAACAAAACGCACCGAGTCGCGATATCAGCGACCAAACCAATCTGCTCTCTAAAAACCACTGGCTGCTCATGAAAATACAAAGCAGGATCCACAATTTCTTCAAGCTTACCGCTTCTGATCCTCTGAAACGCTTGAGCCACCGTCTCTTCTCTCTGCTTCGATCCAGTAACAATCTCGAGAAGCAAAACCGCGAAATCGTAGACACTAGTATCAATATTCCTCTGTTTCCTCTGTAGTCCAAAGCCTGTGACTTTAGCTTGAAAGTCTTCGTCTAAGAAGATGTAACCAGAACCAATGTCGTTGTGTAGAATCGGTGGATAGTTCTCGTACTGAAGCAAAGCGAGCAATCCCGCGACTTCAGCTACAATGTTGACTCTCTTGCACCAGTCAAGCCCTAGACGCAACCGATCTTCAAGAGATCCGTTTACAGGATACTCGTAAACAACGAACGGGTTGTGTCCAATATCCATGCAGAACCCTATGATCCTCGCGAGGTTTCTATGCAGAACCGCGGAGAGATGATCGATCTGTGACGTGATCTCCAAGAAATCGATCTGGCTTTCGCAGAGAACCTTGTGGACGATGACTCGTGTCCCGTTTGTTAGATTGCCTGAGTAGATGGTTCCGGTTTTGCCTTGTGTGAGTTTGTGTTTGTCTTGAAACCCTTTTGTGGCTTCTTCTAGCTCACGGTATGTGAAGAGACGCGTCTTGTTGTAACCTTTGCGAAACGAAACACTTGTGGTTGTTGTTGGCGTAGAGTGATCAAACTCATGTTGACCTTTGTGAGTACTTGTCACCGGACGTCTTAAGAGACAGAAGAGTGCTAAGAGTGAGCCGAGTATGAACAGAGGAGCTAAAACACCTGCGCATATGATTAATGATTTTTAGCAATATAAGATTTTATATTTCAGAAGATTATCTTAATTATTACCAGCTAAAACGGTTAGTTTCTTCCCGTTATGTTTCTTAATCTCGCATTTGTCTCCATACACTTCTTTTCCCTCTCTGTAGCAAGCTGTGATAGTAAAGTAAGTTAGTTGCGTGTAACTCAAGAAACATTAGGGCTAAAAAAAGTTTCAGACTTTTAAACATTAAAATGAAAAAAGACTCACACTTTAAGCAACCGGTTCCATGGAGGAACCCATCGCCGACGAATCCATCACGGCACACGCATCGGACACTACCTTCAACGGCCGTAGCGTTAACAGTTCGAGCCTCAGGATCACAAATAGCCTCAGAGGAGTTTCTCGGGATCGCCCACTCTAACTTAACTCCACGTTTTCCGGTGTTGGTGCCTCTCGGAACAAGCCAAGAAGAGAATCCTCTGCATCCGTACTTACCGAAAACAGAGAAATCGTCGCCGGCTCGCCACGCGCTGTGATCGGACAAAGGGTAGCAACATCCGATATCTCCGCCGGATGTTTCGTCTTCTTCCCTTCCGTCGCAGCCGAAGAGATCGTTGGTTTCGCAACCAGCTTTGCAGAGAGAGGAATCTTCGCAGTCGTATAGACCGATCACGTTTTCGAAGGAGATGGAGAAGAAAGGGTTTGTGGGGAAAGTAAAAGAGCGTAAGTCGTTGAATTGGCGACAAGAAGGAGATGAAGGGAAGTCTACGAGGAGACCGTCTGTGAAGAACTCGATGATTCGGTAGGTTTTGTTGTTTATGTGAAGAAACAGAGTCGACGAGTTTATGCAAGAGAGACGGAAAGCGATGGAGGAGGAGGAGGAGAGGTGGAAAGGGAAGGAGACGGAGAAGTTTCCGCAGTATTCCGGTGAAGGGAGAGCTTCCGGCTGAGAGAGAGAGATGGAAGTTAGTGTTTGGAGAGTGAGAAGGAGAAGAAGTAGAAACAGAGCAGAGGAAGAAGAAGAAGAAGGGAGAAACAGAGGATGCATTTCAAGTTTTTCGGCGAAGAATCAATCAAAGAGTGAAAAGAATATTTAAGACTTTGTATTGCTGCATCAAAAGCTACTACATTCGTGGGACTTGGAATTATGAATTTTTTGTTAATTGTTTTTTTGGAAAGAGAAAAAATTGAATATCGACAAGCGTGTGTGCACAGTTGTCTTTATTAGAAAATCACTTTGGTTTCCGAATTATTTTTGGTAATAAAATGGAAATTTTGATTTTGGACCAAAGAGATATGCCACGTGTCTAGATCGTAAGAGGCATAGTGGAAAAATGGAGGGTGGAGATGCGAAGGAGAGAGATTATAGAAGTTGGGGAATGGGAGGAGACTAATGGTCCGTTGAATAGCTAGCAATTAGCACCATTGGACCTCGGGCTCTCCTAATTTTACTCCAAAACGCTAATCTCTTGTTTTTATCAACGTTTTTATAATTAGTTTTCCACTGTACTTAATTACTGAGAGTGATTAGAAATACAAAATTTAGAGAAAAAATGAAGATTAGTAATTGTATGAAACAAAGATTAAGAGTTACGGAATGTCAGATCTAAAGGTTACTCGTTCTCTTGGCAGCAACAAGAACTTGGTAACAGTGACAATCACACAACCTTAACTATACTTAATTAGAACAGTTGAGGATTGGTTTGACCAACCTTATTGGGCCTAATTAGCTGGATCTCATGGGCCTTATATTGGATCATCTTTCAATTTCAGAGTCATAGGATCTTGAAGGGAGTTTGACATTAAAACAGTTGATAATACAGAGTCAAATGTTACAGGAAGACTATGGACAAGGGAAGTGTGTGTTGGACAAAATACAAAGGCCTCAAAGACGAGCGAAAATGTTGAAAACAGAGCACAAACAGATAGAGAGATAAAGAGAGAGAGTTTCATGTGGAAGCATGTGTTTCCAACCGAATCCGTTTGGGATCTTTCTGTTCCGCATGAATAATAGGACTGGTGGTGTTGATGAGTCTACTGTCTTTGGCTTCCATGGAGCATCTCTTGTAAGGTTTGAAACCTGTTCTTCCTCTACTTAGATTTGAGTCATTACCCAATCCGATTCCCAAGAATCCTATGTTTCTCTCCTCCTCTTCAAGTTGATCATCATCATGAGTTAGTTGAGCTGTGCAGTTAAGATCAAGACCCATTGGATATCTCTGTTGTTCTTGTTCCTCCTCCTCTCTAGTTTCTCTCTGATATGCAAAACTTTGTGGCAACACCTCTCTTGAGAAGAGAGCTCGGAAGGCAATTCGACCCTGAAAAAAAGTTGTAAACCATTAGTATGAGAAATGGTCTTTGAATAGAACAAAGTTAAATCCTTAGTCCAAGTACCTCGTCCGAGACAGACTTCCATGGATCAGTTATGTTGGAGCTGATTCTACTCCGGCGAGCATTGGACTCTGAAGTTTGTGGATTATTATTAGCGTCTACATTCACTTCTTTCACTTCAGGATTAGTGCCATTCTCTTGCCTCTCTGATGCATCAGCCTCCACATCATCACTACTTGAAGGAGTGTTTGAGCCACAAGAAGACCGATCAACTTGTTTTCTCTCCTTTGCATCAGCCTCAGTTGTTGCTGCACAAGGCTGCTGCTCAAGGCAGTCTGGTTTAGCTCCATTCTCAGTCTCCTCTGACTCCAATGAAGATCGAGCCTTAGAGTGTTCTGCATCTGGATCAACCCTCTCTCGGCTATCATGTTGTAAAGTGTCTGCCTTTGCTTTATCTACGACACCGGATGGTACCACAGTAGCTGGAGGATGATAAGTGAATCCACCTGGAGCACATAGAGGTAACAAACCATTGGCGGCCCACCAAGCACTCGCAGCTGCAACAGTGGCTGCAGCCATGGCAGCAAGATTCGGATTTGAGTTCCCTTGGCAAGGCAAGCCGCCTCCGAATGATGAGGCGAAAGTAGCAGCAGTGTAGAGAGCCGGTGTCTGTAAAAGCGTTGACATGATATGGTTAGGGAACGACTGATAGTCTCCGGAAACTGTGTGTGGATGATGACTGTATCTTGCGGCGTCACTCTCTTCTGGTGGCTCTGAAGTTGGATGTGATAAAGAACTTGTTATAGAGCTCCCCAATGGCACTAGCAGAGGGATATGCCTTGGATAAGTCTGAGGAGATTTTGCATTCAAATCACTGTGATTCTCTGAGTTTGGCTCCTTTCTCTGACTGCCCTGCTCTTCTCGTGAAGGCAAGAACTCGCGGAAAGTGCTTGCGTTTGATGTCTCTATAGAGCTTTTATTCATGGAGGAAGCAGCAGAGAGGTACTGATGAGTGAAACAGTCTGAACAATTGTCTTCATTAGCCATCTGAAAACAAAGAAGACAACTGTATCAATCAATTACACGAGGAGAGCAATATGACACACTACAAACAATACGTCATTGACCATGAAAATCACCTCAGAAGGGAACTCTTTTCCATCGTTTTCACACGTCTTCAACATGGAGATGGTTCCACTTCCGGTCTTTCTAGGATAAGGATTGTTTGGTTTTCGTTTAGGCCGTGGAGGAGGAATAGCTATGTCAAGCGCTTGACCCATTGGTACACCTTTAGCTTCAGCCTCTTTCTCTACCTGAAGAGAGATGAGAGTAATCTTTGTTACCCTCTAAATGAAACGCAAACAAAACAAAAACCTCTTAGGGATTTAATGACACTAACAAGTTCAAATGACAGAAGTGGTAAATCAAAATCGGTTACCATAAAACATAAAACATAACCACACAAAACGATTTCACACACTATCTAGCTCAACTAATTTGTTACCATCATCTCTCATGATTTCTCTAACTAGCTTAAGACTTATTAGTTACCTTGGAGAAGAATTTCTGAGCGTGACTTCGAATCTGAACAGCAGTTTTTGTTGCGACATGCTCTGTCCAAAAACAAAGAAAGCAAAATCAGCTTGAAGAAACATATCAAGAAAAAAAAAAACATTTGCAAACACACAAGAACTTAAAAAAATCATGAAAGAAAATAATCAAAAAGGAACCTTCAATCTTCTGCCAAGCTCTACCATAAAGCCTCAAGGCTTCAAGGAATCTATTATGTTCTTCTTCAGTCCATCTTTCACGTTGCTTTGTTATCGTATATGGCTTCCTCGTCTATATTTTATTTTCATACACAAAAACTTTCACTAACAATCTCCAATCTTTTTCTTTCACCTAACAATCATTTTTTTGTTTGCCTAAACTAAATTAAATTTAGTTACCTTAATAACCAGATCTTCTCCAGACGAATTCGTCTCCATCACTCCCAGCTTGAGAAAGCTACGCACAACTTCAGATCTTCGGTTTCAGCTAAAATACACAAAAGCAGACAATCGATTCAACTTTTCATCGATTGAGAAATTAGAGAGCTCAAGGCAAAAATGAATCTTGAGTTTAGTACCTTAGAGAGATTTGACTGAAGATGAAACCATTTTTGAAACAGAGAATGAAGATCGGATATGGAAGAAACAGAACTCAGCCTGGACTCGCTGAAGAAGATCCCATTGTTTTCGGAAGTTGAGAAAAAAAAACAGGAAGAAGAAATCTAGAGAATCGAAGAAAGAGGAGGAATAAGAAGTAGAAGAAGAAGAAGAAGAAGAAGCAAAGACTCTCGTGTGCTTGTGATCAAGGAAACAGAAAAGACACCAGAAGCTATGGAAGATGGAGAAATCTCAGCCACTATAATTGTTTCCCCCAAACTAAATTATTTAATCTCAGGATTTATTCGAGGCTACAAAAGAAAGTGGTACCGTGAATCTGCCAGGTGTCGACATTTTAGTGGGGAGAGAGCTGATACAGCTTTTTCGAATTTCCATTATTGTCCATCACGAGCCCAACTTGTTCACAACCATCTTCGCATACAGGCCACGAATTCAACGACTACCTGAAAGGTTAAAAAGGTCATAACTCTTTAATATCTTTGATATAGTGGGACCTACTAAGATCGTACATATATCCCACCAGTTTATCGACACGTGTCCTACACACTAGAATCATCAGTGGACCCAAGAATCTAGCGAACTTGTCGAACAATGGAACGCGCATCGTGCGGTTCACACTTCACGCGTTATGTTACTCAATTGGGCCGAAAGCATAAGGCCCATTATATTTATTAAGCTTAATCCTTTTCTTTGAATTTGTAATGAAAATGACTAGGGGGAATCAAGGTTTACAATTAGATGTCTTCTTTGTGTTTCGGAATTAAAAAACTAAAGATATTGAATGGATCATGAAATGACTTCGATAATAATGCGTCTTCTATTGAAATTATCAATTGATCGCAAAAATTACTTGCTCCAATAAAAAATGTCCAAAAATCGAATCTGCTCAAAAAATGCTCAGATAAATGGAAAAACATAATAATTTTGTTTCCTTTGAGCATTTCTACCCAAATATTCGAGTACTATAAATTTTAGCGAATTATGTGGACATAAAGATTGAGTTTAATAATTTATTTGGATATAAATTATTAAAACTATCGCTAAACCGAATGACACCACATGGAAAGTCTGTAATTCTTTCTGCAATGACACCACATTGATCCCACATTGATTGTAATTCAACCATTGGTGAAATATGTGTTAAAATGTGCTAATTTTATTTTCAATAGCAAAATGCGCTAATTGTGTTTCAAACATAAATTGTAATTTTCTTTTCAATTGTAATTGTAATTATACTAGTCGGTACATGAGTATAAAATCATGATATTGCAATACATTGTATTATCATTATCATCAGGAATATGTATAATTTTAACTTTTCAGTTTCATATGTATACATATAGAGAGAGAGTTTAGCATACTTTATTTCTTTTTCTTTTTTTTTTTCTTATTGGATATCTTACTTCATAGTAATTTGTTATAAGAACATAGTTAAAAGTGTTATCAACTGTAAATACGATCAATGTTAACTAAACAGAAAAAAATAACCAGAATTTTAAAACTAGCTTTATGGTATAAATCAATGAAGAAGAAAGAAACAGAGTGGAAACCCAACACGATCCCATTTTTTTAAAAAATTGGTACAGTTTCGACCTTTCCACTTTTCAACCAAATAAATTTCTCTCTCAACTCTTTGCATGGTGTTCCCTTTTAAAACACTCGTTATTCTTCAATCAACAAATAAAATGCTTATAAAAATAGCAGATTCTGCATTATATAAAGCTCGTAAATGTCACCATCTTCTTCTATATGCACAAGTTATCTCAAACTCCATTTACACTCCTAAGCTCTCTGCAGAATTGATACTTTTGACATGGATGGCAAATAACACGCAGAGAAGAAGCAATAACCAGGCGAAGAAGACAGAAAACAGAGCGTGTGTGAAGATCTATCTCAAACAAAAAACGATCCTCTTGACCTTCTTGAAAACTTGAAAGAAGGAAATAAACATCTCATATATAGTCTTGAGGAATTTACAACACTTTTGACATAAAATGGATGACATTTTGAGCTAAAACGACACAGAGACAGAGATAGAGAGAGACACACAGAGGCTGAAAACTATTTAGTTACAAGAAGGAAAGATCGAAAGGAAGAGTGTGGCATGTGATGTTAGATTCTTTTAATATCCTTCACTCGAAATTCATGAATGGCCTCAAAAAGACTCGTTTTTGCTCAACTCTGATTCAGCTGCTCCCTAATATGTCTCTGTATGTGTCCTTCACCTTCTGAAAGAGAACCTCCCTGTAACACAATAAACGATACAAAAATCTGAGTTTCATATTCCCAGAAAACACTAAACGAAACAAAACACATGTAACAGAGAATTGCTTGTAGACCTGTCTGGTTTGAAGATCAGGTTCTTGTAAGCGAACCACTGCAACAACAACAACAACAAAACCACATGCTAAGTTCCATCGCACAATTGAATCAAGCAACTAACAAGTCTTAAGAAGCAGCAACCCATTTCTCGAATCAGAGGTCTAGTCCTAAATCCAAAAGTGATGTGAATTAATCATCTTAATCCTAAAAACAGGTTCGCTATAAAGCTTGCAATGGTTCAAATGATACAATGACAGAAGTAGAGAAACTCACTCCGGTGTAGCCAATGCCTACAAGTTCAAGAACACCAGGAACCAATGGAAGCCTGTCGATTGCCTGTTTCACAATAACAAAACTTGGAATCAAAATTCAAGGAACTGAAGTAACAATACAAGTTTTGAAGATTGAAGATTGAATGATTTTCCTCTCACCGAGATCAATCCAGTAGAGCCCCAAAGAGCAACCAGACCAGCTAATGCAAGAGAACCAATTGCATACTTATCCTCCACTTTGTCCCACTTCATTGACAACAATCGGATTAAACAAGAATCATAAACAGGAAGCAGAATCAACTAGAAGTGGATAAAGTAAAAGTCTTTACAGCGTCTTGAGCAGTCTTGACGATTTCCGGCAACTCTGTAGTCGTAACTTCAGTAGTGGCGGGAACCTCGCCAGTCGACCTCGTCACAACGCTCCTCGCAATCTTCCGACCTGAAAAAAACAAAAACCCATTTCGAAAATTTACCATTTTGACACTCGGAATCGGAGATTTAAGAAAAAAAAGGTTTCAGATTTATGGAGAGTGAGTGGTAAACGGACAGTAAGAAGTGGCTTTTGCGGCGCGGGTCTGAGACTGAAGCGGCTGAGGAGGGAGCGTCGGAAGGGAAATACACGACGGAGAAGAGGCGGAGGCGGAGGATTGTCGAGAAGGAGCTCTTGAATCGATGATGGTCGAAGAGGAAGAGATTGAAAGTGAAGCCATGGCTTTGGCGCTAACTAGAATCACAGAGAAATCCAACAATGTTGGAAAACAAACAATTAGTATTATTATGTTGAGATTAATGGAGAAGAAATGTTGAAGAGATTTTTGATACTTTGTGGGATTGTGGAGATGGTTCCTCTGTGAGCAGTCGGAAACGATTCGACCACTCGTTTTGGGTTTCTCTATCAGGATAGTGCTGACGTGGCGGAAGCTTAGGCGATCTTGAAGTTATCATTGGATAGGAGGATTGTTTTTTTGTTTTTTACAAATTTGTACTGAATTTTTGTTTGCAACAAATTGGTCTTTTTTTTCATTTTGTAGCTTGTGGGATAAAAGAAAACACTTTCAATTATTTGGGATTTCTGTAATTTGGAAAGCATATTATTATCTTTACTGTAACTCTAAAAGAGAACTCTTTAGATATCAATTTGGATTACCCAATAAAATTTTATCATAAGCTTCTTATATCACAATCCATTCAACAGTTATCTTTAAAAGTAGAGATTAAGAGTAAACAAAATTTGAAATGTGATGAGTCTTGAAGTAGAAACTTGAAACGGGCCTTGTTTGTTGTATTTACACAATGAAAGACATGTGGGCTTTAAATCTTTGTAACTCGAACATCCAGACCCAATAGTATAAGATATCTGTCAAAATAAGTAAAAGTCAACCCCAAAAGAGAGGCAAAAGCAAAAGAAAAAAGAAAAAGACAATATGATGATGAATAATATAAAGACAGGAAGGTCAAACTATCAAATGGGGCCCAGTTCTGTAAGAGTACCCCTTTAAACCAAGTCAAAGTGCCATGCCGAGAAGACTCCAATTACATACCAACAAACTTAATTTTCGCAGACACGAAGAAAACGCAGTTACGAAAAAGAACGTTACTTTTTCCCCTTTTTGGATTTTCGCGTTATTAATAATCAGCTGTCGAAAATCTGACGAACCGCCGCCGTTATCTCATCGGCCGATCCTAAATTGCAATCGTCTTCCATCTGACAAAAAAAAAAAAAATTCAATCTTTTCGCCAATGTCGACAATTTTGAAGGATGGGTTTTGATTATTTGATTACAAAGTCAGTACCTTGAGATTGAAGGAATAAGAGACGGATGTATTAATCGGAGATGTGATGTTGAGATGAAGAACAGTGAATCGAAGTTTCTCAAGCAAAATGATTGATCTGAGAAGCTGTCCTTGTTTCCTCGGGCATTGGATTTTCAGATTGACGTGACTCTCTATCACTGTGGCTTCCACTCTGAGCTTGCGACTTTGCTCTTCTTCATTACTCGCACATAACTCGTTCGACGAAATGTCTCTGTTATTATGATCACTCTGTTGATTCATCTTTTGCGCTTCTAAGGATTGCAACTGTTGCTCGAGGATCTTCACGAAGTCTATTGCTCCTCCTACTATCGACGCTTGGTCTCCCTACGGAAAACAACAACAAGATTAGTTTTAGGAATTCGAAATATTAACAAAAAGGTTGAAACTTTAATTTGTGGTTTATTTTATATACCCTTTGGATGTAAGAAGATGGAATGAGAGAGCGGAGTGAATTCAGATGAATGTTCATTTGGCGTCTGCGGTTTCGTTCAACCGCAATATGCGTCATTCTTTGATTCTCCATTTCTTCTATGTTCTTTGTTGGTTTGGTTCTCCTTCTCTTCCTCTTCTCTCTGGTCATTGATGCTGGCAAGTTGTTTCTGCGCTTACTGCGTCTTGAATTCGCTGCATTTTGTAGTGGGTTTGACGGAAGTTCTTGGCTTGAGATGGTTTCATTGACTGCTTCAATATATTGGTTGTGATGGGTCGGTGAGTGAAACTCTGGGACTTCATGTGGGAGATAGTTTTCGAGTTCCCAAGGCTTTTCGAGTCCCTGAAGAGAGAGTAACGCTAGAAAGTTTGGGTCTTTGATGGACGATAGAAACGAAGAAGGGTCTTCACTTTCACTCTGTTGTTGCAGCATTTGTAGAAACGGAACTCTTGTGTCTTGCAAGATTTGGGTTGAGAACTGATCCGCTGCAGATCCTCGAACTTCTAAGCTTCTTCTCACCTTCCCTTTCTGATCTAAAGACTGCAACAAATGGGGAAAAAGAAGAAAACAGAGGAAGGTGAGTGAGAGGAAGAGAAAGAGAAAGAAGTGAAACTTAAGAGAGAAGTGAACTAGTCTAGTGTGGGTTTTTGGTTAGTGGGTCAGTGTAAGAGGAACAAAATTAGAATGGAAAATGGAATGTTTCAAAGAGAGGGAAACAGTTGAGAGCAGATTTGTTAGTGTTTTTAGTATAACAAAACATCACAGCATTGAATGCAAACCCATTGTGTACTCATTTAGGGAAGGAGTAAATGCAAGTCCACATCTTTGATTATACACAGAATCAATAGTTGAAAAAAACAGCTTTGAAGAAAGGAAAAAAAATGGAAAACGTTCTAAATTGAGATAAGAGACATTACAGAGAGCTTGTTTTGTTCTTGAATCTTCTCCATTAGAAGCTCTGAGCGCACTCTCTCTCTCTCTTTGCGGAGAAATAAATGTGAGTGAGTTTTAAAGAAGTAAAAACAAGAAACTGGTTTATGAAGCTTCTGAATCTAAAAGCCGTTAGCTTTATATAGAACAGTGGTCTTAAATTGCTATGAAGCTGTTGAAGAGGAAATGGGAAATTGAAAATGAGATGTGAGAGAGAAAGGAAAGAAAACAAAGAGGTAAAATAAAAGAGAAGGAGATGACAACAGATGTTTGTTTAAGAACCGAAGATGAGTTGGTGAGGCTGAGCAGAGCAAGAAGATGAGAGAGAAATAGAGAGAGAGAGTGTGTGTCTCTGACAGAAGAAAGGTCCCTCAGAGAAACATTATTGGCTGTGGCAGTTTTGTCTGGCAGCGAAGACAGACAGTTGTGGGGACTTTTGTTCATACGCAGAAGATGATGAAGATGAAGAAGAAGAGAGCTGCTGCCTCCATTGTTTTGTGACTTAAAAAAGCTTTAATCTTTGTGATAACCCAATAAAATAAAAATTGAATCTTTTCAAAGTCTAACTGTTCAATTTAGCTCCTCACAATCAATTACATTAATGCGTGAATTTTGGCTTCTTAGCTGCTAAACATACAAGTGTCGATGCCTTGGCTTTAAGGGTACTAACCATTGTTTGCCTCTAAATATCTCTCCTTTTTTTTACCATCAGAGTTACATCTTAGGAGCTGTAAAAGAAAGGCTCTTCTTTTACTTTTTGTCCTTTACGTCTCTGCAATATTTACAAGATTCCTTTGATCTTCGTCATTCATTCCAGATAACTCCATCTTTTGTTATCGATCAAAATCCGAAAGTTTTATCTCTTTTGAGGACAAACAAGAACTTAGATTCTATCATAAAAGCTCTCTAGAAGAAACCTTATCCATGTTCTCGGTTGTGGCCTTTGTTTATCTCACGTGTTAAGTCGGTCTAACACATACAAAACCAGTCACTTTCCTAGACGAGATCCAGCACAAATTACCCATAAACATGAAATCAAGCTGCCTGCATTCTCTAGATTTCGTTCATACTACTGTAATAAGAACAAGAAAGGCCTAACAAAGGTTAAAAAGATTCAACCTTTACATAGTTCTTTCAAGTAATTGCTTTATAAACATTGTCAACAAATTGTGTTTTGGAGATTTCATCTCCGCGTGTACTTGCTGATGTAACTTTAAAAGCTCTTGTTACCGACTCTCAGGACAAACATGACCCACTTGGTGACATATCAATCAAAAACCCTAAAGAATCAATCAGATCCTGCTTCTAACACTTTCACAAGCCCTGTGACTCCTCCTAGGAAGATAACTGAAGGCAGACCTAAGCTCAGAAAAGTTAAGATGACGTTATCTCTTCTACTTACTTGTGTCCTTTTGAACACTTTATGAAACAAAGGACAAAAAGCTTCTTCCTTGAAGAGGAATAGTGCTTACCAGTGCTCAACCAAACGATCATGACATATAACTATACCAATTTACCTAAGCAGAGAGAGGAACACGAGAAAGTGCAAAAAGGGTAGAAAAATTTATTGATTTATTGTTAATGAGAATGCTGATACAAAAAAACCCCATCAAGATCTTAGCTTTGCTTTGCTTTGCTTTCACCGCTCGATTTGTATGGTTACATGACTGATATTGTACTCTCTGCGGATGTAATCAACCACTTTGTTGAGCACCATATCTGCATCTGCTTCTGGTCTAATATTGACATGGCAAGCAAGCAAAACCTTCCCCACTGTGATAGCCCAAATGTGAAGCTCATGAACAGCCACCACTTCTTCCATTTCAAGCAAACCCTTTTCGAGCTTCGTAGCATCAATCTCTCTAGGTGTACTCTCCATCAACACTTCAAGAATGCTTCTAATCATGTTGATAGTTGTCCCCAAGACGATAACCGAGAAGACAAGAGTGCAGATCAGATCAACTATCTTCCATTTCGGATTGTACCAAATGACAGCTCCTCCAATCATAACACCAACGCTCTGAATTGAATCACCAAGAACATGAAGATAAGCTCCTTGCACATTGATGTTCCTTTTCCTTTTCTCTTTCTCCTTCTTTGACTTCTCCAAGAGCTGCTCAGTGACGTCCTCATGAGCATGGTGCTTGTCCTCTCCATGACTATGACTATGACCATGATCATGGTGATGAGTGGTAACAGTCACCCCATGGCTATGATTTCCATGGTCATGACCATGGCTATGACCGTGACTATGACCATGATCATGCCCAAGCATCACAGCCATAACGATATTCACCAGCAGACCAAACGCAGCAACAACAAACATAAGGAATCCATTAACCTCACTAGTCTCTGTAAGCAGTCTTATAATGGCTTCATAAACCAAGATGCCAGTGAGCAACCAAATGAGCTGGATAGACACAAGAGCTCCCAAGATCTCAATCCTGAAGAAGCCGTAAGTCTGCCTCGGCGTGGCTTCCCAACCAGCAGCCCACAAGGAGAAGAGAGAGATGGCAAAGGCAGCAACGTCAGAGAGCAAATGTGCTGCATCTGTTAGTATAGCCAAACTATTGGCCTTGATCCCACCAACAACTTCAACGCTCATGAACACAAGACACAACACCACCGCGATGCAGAGCTTCCGCATAGAAGCATTGCGTTCTTGGGCATCCCCTGAAGCATTCTTGGCGTCTGAGAACCCACACGGTGCCTCTCCACAGACTTTACTTGCCACAATCATACTTTGCTCATCAGATCTTCCTACATTCACCTCAATGATGTGACTTGAAGACTCCATCTGTAAACTTCAAAGGTATAGGTAAAATGAGAAGACAACATATGAATCTACAGAGCTCAATACTAAACCACAGATTAGTTAACTTACCTCTACAACAAGATAGCAGAATCACAATTGTTCTCTGTCAATAAAAAGATTGAAACTTTATCAGCAAAGATCAAGTCAGAGGAGGAGGACATGTAGGCCAGTACTATATCAAAGAAGTAAGAGAAGCTGTTCAAGCAATCACGTTCAGAGGGATTTTAAAAAACAAACGAGTCAACGGTTTCACACCATATAATAATCACCATGACAAGAGCCAAAACAATACTCCTAATAAGCATAAGCAGTAGTATAATAGAAAACAAAGAGTCGCAATCAGACCGATTCAAAATGTCACAATCAGGAAGCTGAAGATTCCAAAAACGATCCTATAAGCCTAGAGAGATGAATACGCAAATACTGATTCAAGTTCGACGCAACATTAGACTAATAATATTAAAAATGACAGCTTTCCCATAAGACCAATTCCAGATATCAAAGCCAGATTGTGAAGAAACCTCAAAAACCCTAAAAAAAAGGTTGCCGGCTGAGGAAGAAGGGTTTCGAGGAGCCGCAATAATCGAAAAACCCTAATACATAGCCTACAGGCTCTACAAGGCTAAAGGAAAGAAAGAATGAAAAGAAGAAAAACTTACCACCAGAAGAGAGAGTCGAGATTATTCAGAAATGATTCAGTCCTGCTTTACGAATCTATCGAGCTCCAAAAAGGAGTAAACCCTTTTTTGAAAAAATTGAAAAAGGAAGGAAAGAAATATCGGTCTCCACCGAAATCACGAGATGCACCTACCTTTTCTGGGTCCCCCTTCCTTTGTTCTCTGTCTTATCTCCTTCCCTGGAAATAGATCCTTTGAATCTTAATGGTTCGCTGTTTTTTTGTTTGACGGTAGAAATAAGGTACACGTAGTTGATCAAACATGTGTGTCGATTGAGCTCTTTTTGGTACTTAGTAATTTAATTTATTCGTCTCGTTTGGTTTATTTAGCATAATGATTGGACTTTGGTTTACATGTCTTTTTCCCTCATTACATAAATACACATGTCCAAATCATACCTTTGTATGTTACTTATCTGCATAAGCTACATAAACAAGTCAAAAAAGTTTCTCCTTTTTTCTTGGTACACTAGCTTCTAACCACCGTCAAATTTCAACATATTAAAGAAATTGGAGTTACTGTTTAAGGTTCCACAGTTGATCTATACAAAAAAAGGGGAGTTTTTACCCCAGTTTCTCAGATTAGAACAACACTCAAATACAAAAGCCACACTAAGTACAACAAACAAATCTAACCAAGTCTCTATGATACAACCAACAACAAAAAAAAGAAGAAATTGTGAGAAACTTGGGAGTTTTCCTTGGGCCTAATCAGGATTTAGTAGACGCGTCTGAATTCAAAGCACGCACGAACTGGCCTTTCACTCGTGGACGCTGCTCTGCTAGCTTCTTCCTGCTCTGGTATCTAACCTGCAATCGCCAATGAGTCAGTTTAATCTTGCGTTTTTGACATTCAGATGCTGTTATGATGATGAAGAATCCATAGCTTTTGTGTCTCTTACCTTTTTGTCAAAGCATCGATCTTTCCTCTTTAACCGGAACTTCAACAACGCAGCTTCTCTAAGACTACAACGTTGCTGGAGAGTAAGACTCTCTTCTTCCTTTGGTTTCTCTGTGCTGCTGCTCTGTTGTCCTGCAACCCCTTCATTGGTGTTGTTGCTAATGCTCTGAGAACCAGCTTCGAGCTCCTTGCTTGCTTTCAGAAGATTTGATCCTGCTGGAAAGAGAGACTCTTGCGGATGTTGCTTCTGATTCGTAACCTCCGTTTGAACAACTTGGTTACATTGTCCGCTCATGCTTGACGATCCGATATTCTCCTGGTTGCTGCTCGTTGTAGCGCTTCCATGATCAGATCTTAACTTCTCGTGTGATTCCGTTGGTGTCTTTGGATCAGCTGAAGTACTCGTCTCCAAAGCAACAACGGCTTTCTCCGTTAGCTTGCTGTTCTCATATCTGCAAAGTTAAGTAAAGTGTTATTTGATTAAAACACTAATCAAAGCTATTATTTTGCCAAGCAAGCAAGCAAACAAACCTTGAGAAGGCTGATGCATCAGAGAGGCTAAGCTTCTGAAGCTTGCTTTCATCATCTTGGTTCTCTAAACTTCCAGAGCAAGATCTTTTCAGAGATAGTCCAAGCTCTGGACCAACAAACTCGTCGTCACGAGTGTTGTCGTCTCCATAGAAACACTCAGACTTTTTGTCAATCCCACCAATCAAATCCATCGTCACATCAAAAGATTCAACCTTTTTGTCCTTAATCTCTTCTATTCCATCAAGCGGTCTGACCTCCGCCATTAGCTTATGGTGACCATTGTAGCTCGTAACCTGCTTAATTTACATTGTTACACAAGATATCAGCTTCTATTGTAAATACGAACAACACAATCCAGAACAAAGAGATTGCATTAGTAGCGTCCAGTACCTGAGCACCACTTCCTTGATCAGAATGATATCTGGAGTCTTCACTAGTTTCATCAGTATCTTCAAGGTTGTGCTGTGAACCTGGTAAGCTTTGAGCATGAGCAGTAGGATCATCACGTACAGTGAGTCTTCTCCACACATGTTGCCAAAGATTTCTCAACTCGTTTTTCCTCATGGGTTTAATCAGATAATCAGCAGCACCTCTCAGCATACACTTCAACACAATTGTTATCGAATCTTGCGAAGACATCACTAATTCAATTTGCAAAACACGAAAAAAAAAGCATAAGAACAAAAAAGCTCAAGAGAGGCGTTTTCAAAGATCTAAGGACTCAGAGGATCACCATCGTACTTATGACAGGTATGTTCTTGCAAGCTTCATGCTCCATCACCAAAGCAAGTAGAGCAAATCCAGATATAGATGGCAAATCCAGCTCCGTTAGTATCAGATCAATGTTATTTGACTTCTCCTTCAGAGTCTCCCACGCAGCTAAACCATCGGAAACAGCTACAACTGTTTTCAAATCAAATCGATTTCAGTTTCTCAGATCAAAGACATAAAAGGAAACTTCAAAAAAATCCCAAAATTAAAACAGAGAAAGGGAAAATGAAGAAATGATGAATCGACCTTTGTAAGAGCATTTCCGAAGAAGAGCGGTGATGATTTGGCGAGTCGAGTCGTCAGATTCGACTAACAAAACCCTAAGCACCGTCTTCGGCAGATACTTCTCCCACCGGACAACTTCCGACGACTTGCCTCTGTTCATCAGCGTCTCTTCGTTCGTCTCCATACCATCATCGCTACTTAAAACCACAATCTCCCCCATCGATGATCGGAGCTCAAACTTTAAAGAGAAAATCAGACCTCGGTAACAGCAAACAAATACAAAGAGAGATTTAAGATCTTAATCCGCCGGAGAAAATGGCTTCCGATCAAATGATTCGATATCTGATGTTTGTAGTGAGTAAGAAGGAGAGAGAAGCTCTTTGTTTGGTATCTAAATCAACTTTGGATCACAACCGCTCAGAAAATATCTTGGCTGAGAGAAAGAAGACGACTTCTGTGCTCAGAGGAGAACCAAAATACAAATGTAAACAATTTGGGAAATCTAATTAACGGTGTGTAATAAGGCGGGCCGTCACTGGGCTGACGTGGCTCAATATGGGCCATTATTTTGATTTTTTCTGTATCGCCGCTGATTCGGTGAAGCTGGTCCTCTGCTTCGCAGGTCCACAGCACACGTGTCGGACTGTTATAGTTTTACGGAAGTGTAGATATTCGTCTGAGTTTCGCCACGTGGGCAACGAAGATCTGGTGGTTGTGTGGATGACACGTGGCCTTCGAATGTATTTTGTGTGGCCAAGTTTGATTTTAGCGTTTCTAGTTGGCTTCAAAAGTAGATATTTTTTTTTTTTTACTCTCTCTATGTATCATTCAAATTTGGATGGCTTTTTTTCTTTTGCTTTTTTTCGAAAAGCAAATTATATATCGTCTTAAATATTAATTAATTCTTCTTTTGGAATTTAAAAATGGTCCACTAATTTCTTTAAATTAAACGCCACTAACATTGTTTAAATCATGTTTGGTGGTGGTGACCTTGTAAATTTCGACCTCAAGTGAAAATGGAAATTAATACAGAATACTAGTACTAACTTCTTGTGGTTGTGGATTTCAAAAGGAGTTCTAGAACAATCTATAGGTTTTGCTTTGCGTATAAAGAATGTCCCATCAAAATAAATAATAACAAAACAAAATATCTATTGTTCTTTCATCAATAAACAATTGTTCGCTTTGCGTGTCTACATGTACAAGGGCTATAAGCTTTTATGGCCAACGTGGTTACACATATCTCGATCTACAGTTAACAACTGAATGGGCTTTGTTCAAAGTTAGGCCTTAGATTTACAAAAGCCCATCATTTTGACTGAAACTCCCAAGTCTAGTAACACAAAGGCTTCAGGTTGTTTTACAAGTCTATTCAACCATATCCACTGCAAAACTGGTTTTTCAAAATATGTGAGAGCTGTGGACAAAAACAATGAAAATAAATATACATATCTGTAAGAGTTTTTGGATTTTTGTGTCCATCTTCTATCTTTATACTGCAGACAGAGACTATTTTCTGTTGCTTCTCCAAAAACTTTCACATAAGTCAAAAGAAGAATTCTGATATAACTGTTTTTTTCTTCTACTATTTGGTTTTATTTTTGAAAATGATATAAACAATAATAATCAGGAAATTTTATCCATAGAGAGGAAGAAAAAGATCCGTTTTTCCCAACGGTCTTTTGACCGGTACTTTTGTCTTCATAAGATCCCCTTTGGAATCCAAAGACAATAATCATTTTACTCTGAGAACCGTTAAAAGAAATGATCATGTGAATTCAAAATTAATAATAGTTTTTTATAAAGTTGACAAATTTAATTAAAAACAAATGCGAAAAATTCATATAAACAAGTTGGCAAAAGAAAAGCGAGAAAATTCCAGGTGAAAGCGAAAGATGAACGGATTAAAAGATATCATCTCCAAAAAAGTTATAATCATAAAATGAACAAAACAATGTAAGAAACAAGCAATGAGATTGAATTATAACAATTTTTTTCAAGAATTACAAATGTGAAAAAGGGATTTCAAGCTTATCCGAAGCTTAAAAATCCAGTTTAGGTTCAAAAGAAGACATAAAACAATTCTTCTGAACCTGAAATAAAATCCCCAAATTAATGTAAATTTTGAATGATGCTTTCTGCATCAATCCAAGAATCAAAAGAAAAAGGCCACCAATGCCTTTGTCTCTGATTCTTTAAACCTAAAAATGCAAAATATGAATCTTAGAAAATAAATAAAACAATGAATGTGATGGTGGTTTCTTTCTTCTTCCTCCTCCTCCTCCTAAGTACTAATTAAGATTCTAGAATCCTAAAACCGATATGAATAAATGTTTCTAGAATCAATCCTCTATCTTGGTGAATAAGTGAAGTTTGTTCCTTGCTCTGCTGCTATTATAGTGCTGATGAATCAATCCTCTATCTTGATGGATGATGTAATTGCTGCTTCATGACCATCTTTGTTGCTAGCTTCACCTGCTGCATTCTTTGTCGCTGAAGTAATAACTACTGCTTTAGTTGCTGTTGTTGCAGCTACATCACAAAACACAAGAAACAATCAAGAATCAACGAACAAACCAAGGATGAATCGATACCAATCTTGAGTAGTGGAAACAAACCTGAGGTGGAAGTTGAAGAGGATGAAGCTGAAGATGATAACGACAGAGCCAGCGAGGTTGGGAGAGAGAGGATTGGAGGAGGAGGCGGTTGAGAGCTGAATTGCTGATGAGGCAAGTAAGGAGGATACTGCAACAGAGGAGGAGCAGGAGGTGGAGGAGGAGTTGTGTACTGAAAGCTGAAACCTTGATGATGTTGATGATGTGCTTGAGCTTGAGCTTGAGCTTGAGCATGGTTGCTACTCTGTGCTGCATTGTACTGAGGATAGAAAGGATAGTAACCATGGAACATTCCTGTTGATCCTCCTGATGATGGATGTCCTCCCATATATGGCGTAAACTGTTGTCCTCCATAGAGATGATGATTGTAGTAGTTCTGCTGCTACAAAACAAAACAACAGCTGCAAGATTCAGTGAAAACAAACAGCAATCACATTGTCAAAAGACGATGGATGAGAGACAACAACTAACCATTGGATACATTCCCTCTTGAGAATAACCAGAAAACCTGCACAAGAAGAAACACAAAACATTTCATTCATTAGGCTTTTCTAACCACTGATTTGCTGTTGATGTGATGTGATGATTGTGCTTACCCATAAGGAAATGGGAACTGAGCAGTGTGTTGTTGAGGAACAAAAGCAGAGGAGGAAGAAGAAGAGCCACGAAAGTGAGGAGATGGAGCTACTAATCCGACTCCTCCTGGTGACCTAAATCTCCCTGTTCCTGCAAATATCAAGTTTCCTCCACATTCATCATCTCAAACACTCGACGTGTTAATCAAGTAAAAAAAAAAAGATCAGATTTTTTCTAGACCCTAAAGCTAGTTCCCATTGCAATCTAGAGAGAGAGTTGGAAGAAGAAATAAAAACCATGTCTTGGAGAAGTAGGAGGACGAGGTTTCTGAGAACCAAGACAAGCCAGATTGCAATTAGCTCTTCTCCCATCAATCACCGGATTCGTGTTCTGGCAAGCTCTCACCGCTGCTTCCGCTTCCTTAAACGTCACCTGATCAATCAATCAAAGAAGAAACCATTTCAGAAATGGAAAAAAAAAGGAAACTTTATTCAACTTTATCTCAGAAATGGAAGAAGAAACATACAAAGCCATAGCCTTTGGATCGTCCAGTGTTCTTATCAGTGATGACGACAGCTTCAATGATCTCACCAAACTGCTCGAAGTAACGTCTCATTGTATCTCTCTGAGTCTCCCACGCTAACCCTCCCACGAAGATTTTCGTCATCTTCGTATCGTTCGTACCATTGTTGTTATTACCTTCCATCTGAAATTGTCTCTGTTGTTGAGCCATCTGTTTTTCTTCCTTCCCCAAATCGAAAAGCTAAACAAAACCCTAAAATCACATCAAAGTCTCAACCTTTAACCAAAAAAACTGAAACTTTTCCTCTCCCCAACCAGAAAATTAATGTCAATGTTATACGCAGAGAGAGTGAAACAAAAGAGGAAGAACAAAAACCTCTGTTTGGTTGATTGAAGAAACAAAAAAAAAAGAGAGAGAAACCAATGGAGAAGGAAGACAGGAAAGCTGCTAGTGGGAACCCACGTCAATCGCTATAGAGAGAGAGAGAGAGAAGAGAGAAGGAAATGAAGATTTGAGAAAAGCCAGAGACCCAATTTCACCTTTTTCGCTGTATTATATATAATCGGAATCGTGTATATATCGCGTATATCTCTGTGTTGGGTCCGCTGCATAAACATTTGCTTCGCTGTCTTCAACCTCTGTCTTGATATTTGCACATTCGTGAAAGTTAAAACAAATATTTAAAAAAAAAAACCCAAACTTTGACCATTCGTCTCCGATAATAAATAAATAACCGTGAGGAAAAAAAAAAAGTGAGAAATCTTTTATTTTTTGCCTGATCATCTGGTGGTTTTTCATTTTTTTTGGTTTATGTTTACCTATACTGTATGTTCTTTGTGCAGTGGCAGATATACATATAACTGTGAAAAAAACAAAAATTTATACAACGCAGAATCCATGTTGTCCTACTTAAAACATTTCAGAATTGCCCATTTTGTAATATTTTCTTTATTATTTTTCAATTTTCATATTAGCTTGTCTTTTGATAAAGTTTCTTATAGTACTAGTCTCTTTTTTATTCGATCAGAGCCGTCAAATGGATCATGTGTCACTATTTACAACTATTAAGTATTAACGGTAATGTGGAAATATATGGTGCATACCTTGTTTCCATATTGTAGTCTACGATATTCAACTTTGTTTGAAAACTATTAACGAATGATCGTTGTGTCTACCAATCATTAATTAGCCGTTTTCTCCTAAGAGTTGCATCATTTTTCTGTACTCCATCTTTCATTAAGTCGGCACCATTATATTTGCATTAAATAATTTCCAAATCCTGATTTTCCCGGTTCAACTTCCACATCTGGTTTTGGCACGTCTACCACGTAGATAAACTAGTCTATTTTGGTTTTGGAACATATAAATATTTATTTTCAAATGTAGGATAGGATGTATAGTTTAATAACTTTTTTAACATTTTTCCCTTTTTTTATAAGGTGTATAAATGAGTTATTTGATGATGGATAGTGTCGCACTGATAAATCCACATGAAGGCTGCAAGATACAGGCAGGCATGCACATGTTTGTGGTCAGCCACTTTCCAATATTATTATTAAAAAAACAGTTATAATATATTGTTTTTCTCTACTTGCAGAAGACTACCGTTGGATGAATCGTACTTTTTGAATCCAACGGTATAAGTTATAAAACTTTCCCACGCGTACGTGGTCCCGCGTGCATGGGATAATTGATCTCAGTAATGTTTATTTGAAAAAGAGTTTCATGACGCGTGACGTGTCCAGCGATTTTGTTTCCTTAAAGTCTGAAAATCCGTTAGAAACGCAGCTGATTGGTTTCCTTCTTGTGTCGTCGTGCCGTATGAACGTGACAGCGTGTGATACGGATTCCGTTATTTTGACCGTCAACGTTCCGTGCCACGTGGTAGAATATTCCTTGCAAATGGGACTTTGATCAATAAAATAAGTGAAATCATTTTTCATTTATTACAAAAAGTAACATTACGGGCATGTCCATTATTTTATGGGCTTTTACGTCCAATTACACAGCTTAAAGCCCAGTTAACTAAAATTTACGCTTTTTAATTAAAGACCCGTTATCACTCAGATTTGTAAAATACTGTAGTTTTCTCGAAGATTGATCAGAGTTTTTGGTTTTCAATTCAGTTTTGGTTAGAGCTGGTTTTGGGTTTTGTTAGAATTTGGTTCGGTTTTGTTTATACGTGTTAACTATACAAAATGATGAATAATTTGGTAACTAGGTAAGGTTAGATGAATAGTTTGATTGTTTCCATGCAGTTTATGATCAAAAAGGTTCAAAGCTAAATAGCTTCTAAATTTGCAATAGCTTTAATGTGTGTTTTACAATATTAGTCCGTTATTTTGGCCACCGAATTAGTATGCTGAAAGATGGCTTGTAATTTTTATTCAGATATTTTCATGTGTGCCCAACTCTGTAACGACAGGGACTTCCATGAAATGTACATTTGATCATTAACGGTTCACGCCTTGACCGGAATTAGCAAACCGCTATGCTCTAGCTTAGGACACCTAGTTATACAAAAATTGCTATAATTTGCCAGCATATAGGGACACAATCATCACGAAGAGACAAACATTCTCTAAACATCCATTGGGCGGTCATATGAATAAATGAATGCATTATCTTATAATAAGCTGTAACCATTGTATAATAGCTTAATTATGTATCAATAGTTAAATGCATGCTTGCATAATGTACGTATATATGTATTAAAAAGGACAAAAATACAGCAAATTGACCATGCATGGTTCAAATTTTAAAGTAAACAATCGTACTAGTTTATATATAAGAAGATACGCACCTTGCTCTCATGCATGCAATTAATTAAATGCAAGTTCGTCAAGAGATACCAATGCGTAGAAGACCACAAATATTAGACGACAAAGATTTTATTAAAAATCTAACAAATGATTCGGAATCAGGTGTCCCAGCAGCATCATCAACCAGCAAACTTTGAAAGGTAATGAGGTTTTCTTATTATAAGCATTTACAAATGATTAAAAACTTACAACGTTAATATATTACAAGTGTCGTGGAAATATATATTTAGTATTCAATGTACAATACACAAAATTACTTATTAGAAGAGTTGATATGCAAGAAACGAAAAAGATTAGGAGTTTTTTTAAAACCAACTATTGCATTCTTTTTGTTTTGATAATCTTCAACTATAAGCTACAACACTCTTAGTTGACTTAAACTGTTCTCTATATATACCATGTACTGTAGAAAACGTTACACAATAGTATTATTCCGAAATGGTCTTTGCTCTTTATGAAAAACAAAATAAAGTGCTTTCAGGAAGAAGAATGTTGTGAAAAAAACACGTTCAATTAGTTTTAGGAATTTTCAACTATTAAGTTATGTATATTACACGAGATCCTGAAACTTTTCGACAATATCTAACAAAAGAATACTATCGTTTTAGGCAACGGTAGGTCTTGGCTACGTTTGAGATGATCGAATACATTATAAATGACAGATCATCCATCCATTTCACGTATTATCCCCCACGATTTGCTTCGATTTGCTCTACGTACACTGTTCCTTTATATTTATTCACATTTCTTTTGTGCTTCTTTTCGGGTTTTCTTTACGCATTATACAATTTTGGACCGTCCTCTCTTTAATAACCCGCCAATTCTCAACAAGAACTCGCAGGATTAACGACAAAACGTCAATTATTTTGATAACATAAACATATATGGGTACAAATTATGTTAATGTCTAAAGCTTTTTATATTTTGTACCCATATATGTTTATGTTTATATTAACACTCATGCACGTCTGTATATGACCCTGAGATAGACACGTGCCCCCCAGTTTATAATTCATATAAGTTTGTATCCCATGCATATTATTGTGCATAGTAATGGTGTAAGTCTAAATTTAAGTCTTATATTACATGTTCGAAGGGCCAAGAGGCCTGATAAATACAGATTAATGAACCTAATCAACACATTAATTATTTCAATGAGAATATATATTCCAAGAAATATATAGCTAGATTTATTGGTCGGGTTCGAACAGGTCAGTACATATTGCTTTTAGTTTAAAGCAAATTAAGGAGAGAACACTAATGTATATATAGTGCGGAATCGCTTAAAATACTGTAGGAAATGCTGTACCATCTAATTAATATCCTAGTTGTATTTCTGAATACATATAACAAAATTCAAATTCGTAGAAAATATACATATGTTTGTGCTTTTATTTCAACTTGTAACCATTTTTTGACAACTGTAAATAAATGGTCCCTGATCGTGTAGCTCATTTGATTTGTGGGCAAAACTCCACCTTTGAGTTCGATAAAGGCTGAGAAGAAGAAGAAATAAGATATATGGTACGCGTGGATATCATCAAAGGGTCTGAATTCTGTAGAAACCACAGATTTGCCCCTCGCCATTAAAGAAGACGGACTGTGGGAGAGTCATGACGTCTCACCATTAAGGCTTAACAAATTTTGACGAAAATTCACCAAACTAAGATTGCTTCCCATGCAAACTTTCTTTATCTTCTAGAGAGTTTCCAAATTCATTTTTCAATTTCCTTCAGTTTCTTCCATTATTTATTATCCATAACCAAATAACAACTGTGTTGTACATACAAATTTACAGTAAGTTATCATCTACAATATAATTCCGTAACAAATTAGATATTAGAATATGATTTTCAACAAATATTTTTTCTGAAAAATTATTTGTGTAACCAAGTAAATTAAACATGACTGCGCGTCGTTATATGCACTTTTTTTGAGCGCGTGTAATTGATAACATTTACATGCATGTATATAATACTATATAATATGTAAGATGCATGTGGTAGTTTTATGACATCAGTTTGTAAGCCAATAATTGACTAAGGTCTAAGGCAATGAAAACTACAATACTTAACGTGCCTATGGAAAAAAAGAACACCATCGCTATATACGTAAGCCCCAAACCTACGTAGATATGCATATGCATATCGATGGTTATGTAAAATGAGATTCTCAATATAACTAATTAGTTTGATGATGATAGTGATACATTTTTTTTTTTGAACAACTTCCTCATTAAAACTAAATTATTCTATCTTCAGTTAATATCATATTTGTAAGTTACGGTCCTTCTAGTCATCTCCTTATTTAACAAAATAGTCCATTTTTTAATCTAAAAAAATATTCCATTACAAAGAGAAACAATATTTTTATAAATCAAATTTACTACGAAACAAATGTGTATTCGTCACTGGAAATAACTTATGACCTGTAAACTTTCGTAGTTTCTTATGTTAATTAGAATATTTGGAATTTTAAAGCGCACCCAATAACCACATGGATTTAAGACATAAAAAGTTGGGTGTAATGTCACTAATCAAGCTAAAGAATAATGATTAGAAGCATGGAATTCCGGAATCGAAACCAAATGATTCTATGTTCAGAAAATTGCAAAAAGGCATCTTAACTAATCTCAAACAAACTCTAGTTCCAACCCACTGTTAATACCACATTAACACTCCTCAACTCCATTAACTTTGTTTTCTTAGTTACGTTTCTACTATCTACACAATAAGTATACGTACTTGCATAGTACAATTCAGTGTTAGTGATAACTACATGACTTTTGACGTCATCATTACTTTTCTATCGCCTCACCTTGATATAGCGACTCTAGCAGAAACGTAACAACCAACTGCTAAGAATAAAAAAGAAACTGTACTTATTGTCTTTTGACAAATTATTATTGTTTCGGTCATTCAAAAAGTTATGAGAGCTTCTTTCTAAAATTTTATATTTTACCATTTTATTATGGACATCATTAGACGATTATTAAGCTTCAAAAATCGATTGGGATCTCTCTCGCAGATGAGACTACAGCAACGCTATTTGCCCAACCCGTTTGGGGCATTGTTTCCCACTCTATTTCAGAGATAATTTCCATTACATAACGCACACATGTATAATTATGATGAAAAAAGCCACATCTTCCGGAAGGAAACTTTTGAACATTACCCTATTTCGACCTTTTTTCTTAAATACAATGTGTGCATATAAATGGAGAGCTCATTTATAAATATCATGAAATTTGGAGAGAACAAAAGAAGAAGAAGAAGAAGATGAGTATATCAATGTTACGATGTGTGGGTCGATGTGTGGGTTGTTAATTTGTTTAAAGGGAGCTTTTCTATAGAGATTTTTAAGGTCAAGGGTCATCGTTACGATGTGGGCTTGCTTCCTACAATCTAGTTGCCCTATGGGTCCTACTCTTTTTCCTTTGATAACTACATCACCCTTTTTGTTTTTCTTTTTTCTTCTTCTTCACAATAGTTTACTCGTTACCATATATATTTTTCAAAGATAAACGCAAATAAGGTTTTTTCTTTTGTTCTGTGGAAAACCTATAAAATAGATCATGATATAACTTCCATGATTTTGAGTTTTTATTTCCGTAGATTTTATAATGCTTTTTTTACATTGCTATAGAAAATAATGAATGAAAATAGCATCCACATGATTATACATTTGATGATATTAAGTTTTTGAAAAAGACAAGCGAAATCATAATCTCTGGCTCATGCTTTAATTTGTAAGCTGATTATTTTAGGGAATGACAGAAAATAGCAAAAGTATAACACGATTTGAACAATAATTGAGGAAAAAACAAAGGAATAATAATCATTATTGACAAGTGAAATGAAAATTGATTTGGAGAGATTTATATTTTAAAGTAATTGATGAAAACAAATGGAAAACTATAATATCAGTTGAATTTAATAATTGAGAAAAAAAGGTGTACAAAGAGACACATGCGTTTTCCTCATGCATCTTTGTTTTTACTTTTTAGACACTAATATATATATTGACTCATTCTCCGCTAGCTCTCTCATTCTCCAACTTTCAGTTTGGTAGTTATACATAAAAGAAAAAACTTATATGCTCTGTTCTTGTTAAATTTTGATTCTTGATTCTCGAACTAATCTTGATCATGATGTCGGAATCTATGAGCATATCAGTGAACGGACAATCTCAAGTACCCCCTGGGTTTAGGTTTCATCCGACGGAGGAAGAGCTGTTGCAGTATTATCTCCGGAAGAAGGTCAATAGCATCAAGATCGATCTTGATGTTATTCGTGACGTTGATCTCAACAAGCTCGAGCCTTGGGATATTCAAGGTTTATTTCCATAATTTTTTTTTGTGTGTATAAAATAAATAAAACTTTAATTTTCTCTCTTATTACAATCTCCTAATACAATTTCCGAATTTACTAAAAGTTTACTTTTATATAAATGGTTGTCTTGTTTATACTACTTTCGATACATGACGTTCTCATGTATCCTTTTACGAGAATATAACTAGAGTACAAAGAATATACACTTAGTCGTTGTTGTTGCTTGTTTATATTAGGAATTAGTTACTACAAAGATCCAAGATAGGTTTGGTTAACTAAATAAATTTATCTTAAGTTTTCCTAATTATTTTTTGTCGTTATGCAGAGATGTGTAAAATAGGAACAACGCCACAAAACGACTGGTATTTCTTTAGCCACAAGGACAAAAAATATCCAACGGGAACGAGAACTAACCGAGCAACCGCAGCCGGATTCTGGAAAGCAACCGGTCGCGACAAGATCATATATAGCAATGGCCGTAGGATTGGGATGAGAAAGACTCTTGTTTTCTACAAAGGTCGAGCTCCACATGGCCAAAAATCTGATTGGATCATGCATGAATATAGACTCGACGACAATATTACTTCCCCTGATGATATAGCTGTTCATGAGGTATGTATCAATATCATATATAATATTTACGGGTATCAATTTGACTGAATCATAGTGTGTACAGTACATGTTTTCTCTTTTGAATATGGTGACACTGTTGTCTCATTTACATCACAATCTCGATTTTGATTGAAATGATAAGTCATTGACCCTTATAAACTTATAACATAAGATTTTTCTTGAAAAAACAACCTAGGTAAAGTATTGTCGTGATTTTCATTTGAAATAATTATCAAAAACTATCACATGGTTCTATACAGATATTTATTTTTACATTTTTTCTCATCATAATATTGTTTAAAGTTTTACAGAAAACAATATATAAATACAAATAATAGACTGTATATGCAATAATTTTCTCTTAACCTTTATCAAAAAAAAAAAAAAAAAAATTCTCTTAACTATGATAATTTCATTCCAAAAATATTTATTTTCTCCTATATCATATATAGACGCACATGAAACTGAAGTAAGACTTTTTTTTTGGATTAACCACCCAATTAAAAAACACAATCATTACTAAACTTCAGAAGACTTTGTAAAATCTATTTTGCCTATAGTTTTTGTTATATGAGGAAAACCCAAGTGTGAAACATAAACAGCTCAATCGAGTTGGCAAGTGAACCTAGACGTTTTAAACAAAGTACTGTTTCAAAAAGCAGATCTAAAACACGAATTTTGCTGATAAATCTTATTATTATATTTTTTTTGAATATTTAAGGTGGTGAGTATTATAGGGGAAGCATCACAAGACGAAGGATGGGTGGTGTGTCGTATTTTCAAGAAGAAGAATCTCAACAAAGCCCTAAACAGTCCCGTCGGAGGAGCTTCACTGAGTGGCGGCGGAGACACGGCGAGGACGACGTCATCTCAAATCTTCCACGATGATACTCTTGAGCAGTTTCTAGAACTTATGGGGCGATCTTGTAAAGAAGAACTAAATCTAGACCCTTTCATGAAACTCCCAAACCTCGAAAGCCCTAACAGTCAAACAGTAAACAACAACTGCCACGTCAGCTCGCCTGACATAAATCATAATATCCACGTCAGCAACGTGGTCGACACTAGCTTCGTTACTAGCTGGGCCGCTCTAGACCGGCTTGTGGCCTCGCAGCTCAACGGCCCCACATCGTACTCAATCGCAGCCGTCAACGAGAGCCACGTGGATCATAGTCATCTCACACTGCCTTCCGTCCGATGCCTTAACCGGTCCGATTCGTACCACGCCGGTTCAACGCAGGAATATACCTCGGAGATGGAGCTTTGGAATACGACGACGACGACGACGACATCTCTATCATCATCGTCTGACCCATTTTGCCACGTGTCTAATGGTAGTAGATAAGGGAAATGGAGGGAAAGAGAGACACACACGAGTCCTTTCACATTTGTGTAGAAAAGATACATAATCATACCATATAGTTGTTGAAACATTAAAAAAGAAAGTCAGATTTGTGATAATTACAGTGGTTATGTGAAATATTGTAAAATAGATTATATACAAGAAATATAAAAGAGGCCGGGAGGATAAAGATCTCAAAATTCAAAAAGGAGAGATTTCGTTATAAATGGGGTTAGCGTATTATTTCTCATTTATCAAAATGTCTTCCATTTTATTTCATGGTTTTACTTCTAGAAGAAATAAACACATTGCGAGAAAATTATTTAGACCCGATCATCAAAAGTGATTCTAGTAACTAACTTTTTGAAGTAAATACATTACGATACTATACAGTTTGTCGGGATAATGAACTATGATGAAGTTGGAAGTCGTGTAAATATTTTCAACTTTTGATTTTTTTTTTTATGTAATTGATCATGGTTTAGGACTTAATCGTAATGTTGGTCGAAAAAGAGAGTACTAAGCTCAAATCTACTAATCGATCTCAGACATAGTATCGAGTGATATAGTACTTAAGATAAGGTAACCTATTATTTTCTTTTTGACTATAATAACGTGTCGTCTAAACACATGGGAATCGAAACTATTTTCCAAAACTAGAGACTAAAGCTTCAATTGTTTTTTTTTTAAGAAAAGACTGAACAATCTGCTATCCGTAATGGAAGAATTACTGCTTCTACACATGAAACAAAAGTAAAACTACTTATTAACGCGATTATAAGTTATAACCCGACATTTGGAGATAACACAATTAATAGATGGATTGTCCTCCTTAGCTAATTGATGAAAGTTCCCTTCTTATTTTGTGATATGATTTCTGATGATAATTTCAAGGTATGGGTCAACAGATAATATATCCAAGTATATCTTCCCACAAAATTGACAAGTCTTCCTTAACGCCACAATTAATATATACACATAAACATATCATTGATTAAAACTCAAAGGGTTACTAAGTATAGTAAAAGGCATGTTATTAGGGCTGCCAAAAATCAACAAACGACTCAAAAGTCATATATATTCCATGTCATATATATCACTTTTGCGTGGGTGGAACGTTCGTATATTTGTCCCCCTAATTTGAATACACATAGAAGTTTGATCTCATGGAATCGATAAGTACCATGCACGTGTCCCACGGTATTATGTAGTACTAAATATGTATATACATAGAAACGTTAATTAAATTGGTTGATAAAATAGACGTTAACTTAGATGTCAACAATAAAAAAAAAGTATCAAATAAAAGAAAAATGCCGGCCGGTAGGAATGGAAGTGGCAAGTAGAACTGTCGAGCTCCAGTAGATGTGCTTCTTTGATTGCCGGAGTGTGACAACTGAGAACAGGGCAAACTAAAAAAAAAACAGAAGCTGATGATGTATGTTGTTAAAACAAACAAAACCGTGGTATATATAGACTCTACAAATAAATAAAACTATCAAAAATAATTTCAATGTAAACACACTAGCATACACATTATGATTATAACACACCATCTTTTCCGATCGCGACTACAGAAGCAAAAAATCATTTCAAAAAGGAGACAAACTTAGAAGATAATGGATTTGCCGACAAAAAAAATAGCCCTAAATTAAGTTCATAGCCCAAATTTTTTGAATGGCATGCAAGGTTTTTCATGTTTTTATGTACGTGATTCTGCCGATGCCGAATACATAATATTTACGGTAAAACATATAAACGCAACAAATATTTTTGTTCTTTCAGTTTGTAGTAACTTTTTGTTTTTTTTTTTTGTTTTTAATGTTTTTAGTTTATTCAGTGTTTAGGTAATCTCGTAATTTCAATGATTCACCAGTACAAACCTTAGATCATTTTATGTTGAATTTGTTTTTTGTTTTTGTTGGTCAACATATTGGGGTTTCTTTAATTCACCATGTTCTTTAGTGTCTAATGTCTATCGCTCACCCATTTGCTCTTTTTACCTTTATATATTTCTCACCATTAATCATACATAAATCTTATCCTTAACAAACCCACAAGGGTTATGGAGTATGAAAATCATTATTAGAAAGAGATAGCCAGCTCAGTCGCCCTCTAATAACCTTGGAATCAGTTGATTTTGTAACCAAACAATACATTTTACTAATCAATCTTCACAGGAATCAAAAATGCATTCTTAAAGTAGTAAAATTTTGAAATGTATAGCTATTATATAAAATGAATTTGTCTTTGACATCGATCACTAAAGATGTTTTTTTTGTGTGGAAGTTTGTGTTAATGCTAAACTATTACTTTCAACAATCAATTTTGGTCGAGATAATATGTAAAATTCTTTTTTAAAATAATAATCAAGGATATGATTAACGGTAGGTGCGATGGGATGGTGCAAGCTCGTGCCAACGAGGTCTACTGTCGAAAATGTATTTATATCCCGAGAAACATTACAGTCTAACTTATGTGGTTCAAATGTGAAAAAAAAAAAAAAAAATCAACAAAAGGTGATTGGAATCTTCGGTTCCATTTTTCTCTCTTTTTGAATTTAATTTCCCATCGTTTTGATGTGATTAGAAAATGGTCAGATCACTATACTCGATTTAAAACTAATTGTATTATCATGTGCATACAACATGTATTTTCTCGGGTTTTGACACATTACATCGCTTGTTTGAAACTTACAGAGTTTTGGTCGGAAATTGCCGTATAGTCCACTTTCATTGTCTTAATTTGTAAAAGAATATCAAAACAATAAATATTAGTTACAACTTACAAGAGTAAATTAATATCTTTGCGTAAAAACAGTTTCACGAAAATCCCAAATTGAAACCCAATTAAGAGATAATAAGTAGATTTGGCCCATCCGGCCCAGTCTTCTACAGAGATCGTTTGGTCCACCAACAAGATGATCAAAATTCATTTATTTCTGGAATTATCAAGGAAGCAATTTTGTTTTTAAAAAATCTTGGTTTTCAGAAGGAAACTCAAATTTTTGTTGACTAAACCGTTGACTAACATATGAACTCAAACGGATTGATCGATCAATAAAAATTGAGAAATAAAACTACCTAATCAACAAAAGCTGAATTTTTTACCTTAAAATCCACATGATATATTCAAATGAAACGTAGAGGATCCAAAAGATGAATCGATGGAATAATAATGAGAGGAGATGATCAAAACATGATCATTAATCTTATCTTACAAGCATCTCAAATCTCAGTTACATATAAAATCACACTGAAACTGGCCTTTTACGCCACACAACCTCTATATATACCAAACGTTATATATCTAAACACACATAAAACACAACAAATCCAAAATACAGTTGAAAAGACAATATCATTAATGGCATTTACTTCTTCTCCTGCCTATGGTTCCCAAAACGACACGTTTTGGCGCATCCTTCTCTTACTACATTGTATATCTACACTAGTCCTCATTACGATCTCAACACCACCTGAAGATCCTGTCAAGTGTGCGTCGGGAAACACGGACTGTACAGTCACCAACTCTTATGGAACGTTTCCAGACCGGTCCACGTGTCGAGCCGCCAACGTGGCGTACCCAACAACCGAAGCCGAACTTGTCTCCATCGTGGCTGCAGCCACTAAAGCCGGACGGAAAATGCGTGTAACCACTCGTTATTCCCATAGCATCACTAAGCTCGCGTGTACGGACGGGAACGACGGTTTGTTCATAAGCACAAAGTTTCTAAACCACACGTTGCAAGCTGATGCAGAGGCCATGACCTTGACGGTTGAGAGTGGCGTGACGCTTAGGCAACTAATCGCTGAAGCAGCTAAGGTTGGATTGGCGTTGCCTTACGCACCGTATTGGTGGGGACTGACCGTGGGTGGTATGATGGGGACCGGTGCTCACGGTAGCTCATTGTGGGGCAAAGGAAGTGCGGTCCATGATTATGTGACCGAAATCAGAATGGTTAGTCCTGGTTCGGTCAACGAAGGTTTTGCAAAGGTTAGAGTTTTAAGCGAGACTACGACTCCTAACGAGTTTAATGCGGCCAAGGTTTCTCTTGGCGTTCTTGGCGTTATCTCTCAGGTTAAATTTCATTAAAATTTCACTGTTTTTATAGTTACTACAACAATAATGAATCATGGCTCTAAGTCTGACATGTATTTATTACAATTGTGTTGCAAAAGGTGACTTTTAAATTGCAACCAATGTTTAAGAGGTCGGTAAGGTATGTTATGAGAAATGATTCGGATTTTGGGGACCAAGCCATGACGTTTGGAAAGAAACATGAGTTTGCGGATTTCATATGGTTACCGAGCCAAGGCAAAGTAGTTTATCGAATGGACGATCGAGTTCCGGTTAACACATCGGGCAATGGTTTGTTTGATTTTTTGCCGTTCCGTTCACAACTCTCTGTGGCGTTAGCCATCATAAGATCATCAGGTTCGTCCTTATTATGTCTACAAGTTTTTCTTTAATTTATTATTGTTTGCATGTGATAAAGAACCTATAAAAATATAATGAAATAATCCTCTCTTGTCTATTAAATGTTATTAAATGATCATCAACTTCTTATCTCTTGTCGTGTTTTAATAAAGAGGAGACGCAAGAAACGTTCAGAGATGCGAATGGGAAGTGTGCAGGAGCCACACTAATTTCATCTACACTGTTTGCTACCGCATTCGGTTTGAGTAATGGTAATTAATTAACACTATTCATGTTTTTTTTGAACTATTCATGTTTTACTTGTACATTTTTTTTTTTCATTTTTTTATTGATTTTACATGGGATATTAACTGAAATATTCACCGGCATTAGGCAATATATTTACTGGTTATCCGGTCATTGGAAGCCAAAATCGTATGATGTCGTCGGGATCATGCTTAGACAGTCTTCAAGATGGGTTAATCACGGCGTGTCCGTGGGATTCACGTATAAAAGGCGAATATTTTCACCAAACAACTTTCAGTGTTCCTCTCACGCAAGTTAAAAGTTTCATCAACGACATCAAATCTCTTATCAAGATCGAAAGGAAATCTCTATGCGGACTCGAGCTGTATAACGGTATTCTAATGCGTTATGTCACGTCTTCTCCGGCTTATCTCGGTAAAGAAACGGAAGCTTTAGACTTTGACCTAACGTATTACCGAGCCAAAAACCCGTTAACACCGCGGCTTTACCAAGATTTCTTTGAAGAAATTGAGCAGATAGCGTTGTTTAAGTATAATGCATTGCCACATTGGGGTAAGAACAGGAACTTAGCATTTGATGGAGTGATTGAAAAGTACAAGAACGCAGGTGCGTTCTTGAAGGTTAAGGAAATCTATGATCCGTCCGGTTTATTCTCAAGCGAATGGACCGACCAGATCCTAGGGATCAAAGGGAACGTGACAATAGTAAAAGATGGATGTGCATTAGAGGGGATGTGTATATGCTCGAAAGATGCTCACTGTGCTCCGACCAAAGGATATATGTGTCGACCAGGAAAAGTCTACAAAGAAGCTAGAGTTTGTACACGTGTCAGTGGATTAAGTGTGATTCAGTCAGTAAGTTATTAATCTTTCATTGCTTCTTATATTAGAGAGTCATCGTCTTTTATGTGTGGGTCGATCAGTATTTATTATGACGACGAGTTATTACTGTTGTTGTTGAAACAACAATAATGTCGGCTGTGCAGTAGAATTGGAATTCCCATGAGACACGACGCCTAATAATTTCGTTATGATGGTTTCGTTAGCTATCTTCTGCTTATGCGAAAGTATAAATTTCTTCCGGTTAAAAATTTACAGCAGCAGAATTTTACCAAGATAACTCTCATGGATTTTGTCAATTTATCCAAAAAAAAAATTAGTGCGAAGACGACGGCTTGTGAAAGACGTGTGCGTACCATGGCATTCTTATCTTACATTGGTTCTAAGTAGTTAACATAAAAGAGATAAACAAGTTAAGAGGAATGATATATAAGTTAATAGTATGTATGTGAAAAAAAGAAAATTTTACATAGTACTATAGATATGGTTTTCAATGATTTTTTGAGTGCGAGGATTCAATTTTTAAGTTAAATTATTTTTACATGCTTTTATTACTCTAGCTAGACAACCATTTGCATGCTATGAAAATGGATTATGTCCACTAATTCTATGTTGAAAATATAGGGCAAACCTCAACTAATGTGTCTTTTATATGTAAATTATAACCCAACTAATAAGTTTATTATATAGCTTGAACTGTCAAGGCAATCCAGAGTTGATTTCTTGAATGCTATAAGATTCGTACGCTACCGTTTGTTTTCTTTTGATTATAAAACAGTACGCATGCTGATTAATGGTTTTTTTCTCTAATAAAACCAAACTAATGTGTGTATTGTATAGTTTAATATTCTCAAGGCATTCCACAGTTGAGTTCTTAACTGCTACGAAACTTGTAAGATAATTACTAATTTACTAGTTGCATTATTTCCGCAAAAAAAAATATTCGTAGTTTGATTAAGATTTTCAAGTCTCCGTTTTCTTCAAAAGAGAAAATTTGCATGGCGACGAGGCGAGTATTTTGACTAAAAACATTTTTAAAAACAGAAAGAAACGACAAACGATGCCAGCGGCTTTGGGATTACCGATTACGACTATAATAGAGAATATAGTTTTTGAGACGTGATACGAATGTAAGTTACACGACAGTAAGAAAAAGATGGATAAAATGTGATTAGTATTTAAGTTAATTAATTAATCTTACAAGCTAGTATGACTGAATCCTCTCATCTCAACCATTACCAATATAATTAATCCAAATATTCTACACCAAATTAAACAATCTCTATACATACCAAACATGTTTACAAACGCCATTCACAATACATTTGGAAACATTCAGTAAAACTCAATTAAAACCTATGGCATTTAGATATTCTCCTTCGTATGTTTCCCAAAACAAAGCGTTTTGGCGTAACCTCCTCGGGTTACTTTGTATATTTACACTTGTGCTTACGGCGGTCTCATCACCACCTGAAGATCCTGTCAAGTGTACGTCAGGAAACACGAACTGTACAGTCACCAACTCATACGGAGCCTTTCCAGATCGGTCCACATGTCGAGCCGCCAACGTGGCGTATCCAACGACCGAAGCTGAACTCATCTCTATCGTGGCTGCAGCCACTAGAGCCGGACGGAAAATGCGTGTAACCACTCGATATTCCCATAGCCTCACTAAGCTCGTGTGTACAGACGGAACGGACGGTTTGTTCATAAGCACAAAGTTTCTAAACCACACGGTTAGAGCCGATGGAGAGGCCATGACCCTGACGGTTGAGAGCGGCGTGACGCTTAGGCAGTTAATCGCTGAAGCGGCTAAGGTTGGATTGGCGTTGCCTTATTCACCGTATTGGTGGGGACTTACCGTAGGTGGTCTGATGGGGACCGGTGCTCATGGTAGCTCTTTGTGGGGTAAAGGAAGTGCGGTCCATGATTATGTGACCGAAATCAGAATGGTTAGTCCTGGTTCGGTTAATGATGGGTTTGCAAAGGTTAGAGTGTTAAGCGAGACTATGACTCCTAACGAGTTTAACGCGGCCAAGGTTTCTCTTGGTGTTCTTGGAGTTATCTCTCAGGTTGGATTCGCTAATTTCTTTTTCTTTTTGTTTAACTACAAATAGACAATTTTATAGTTTTTAAGTTTCTAACCTATCTTAACTAAAACTGTTTGGGTGTATACGTTTTCTTTTTGTTTTGCAAATGAAAGGTGACTTTTAAGTTGCAACCGATGTTCAAGAGATCATTAACATATACTATGAGAAATGATTCGGATTTCGGGGATCAAGCTGTGACATTTGGGAAGACGCATGAGTTTGCGGATTTCATATGGTTACCGAGCCAAGGCAAAGTGGTTTATCGCAGGGATGACCGAGTACCGGTCAATCCGTCGGGTAACGGTTTGTTTGATTTTTTGCCGTTCCGTTCACAACTCTCTGCGGCAATAGCCATCATAAGATCATCAGGTTCTTACCTATCTTTCTTTCTATAGCTTTTTTTAAGTTTTTGCATTTTAGTGAAAGATAAAGTAAGGTACAATATTGTTCATTACGTTTTTACTTAAACAGGATCTGATCCAAACTCTCATGTTGTTCACATCTTTTATTCAATATCTTGCATTTTCATTTGGTATTAAAATGATTAACCATTAACCCAAAAGCAAATGATCTCAACCTAATTTTTGCATCTATGGCCTTATTAGAGGCAGTTGGTCAAATTCAATAAGAGACTTTTGATTAGTGTTCTATCAAATCATAAGTCTTGGGTCCAAAAGAGATATATTTAAATAATTGTAAAATGAATGTATGGTTACCTAGAGATTATATATCTAAACTCTACACGTAACTTTAATTTGTTTTCTTGTATACTCATCAAGAGGAGACGCAAGAGACGCTGAGAGATGCAAATGGGAAATGTATAGGAGCCACACTACTTTCATCTACACTGTTTGCTACCTCATACGGTTTGACCAACAATGGTACTTATTTAAAATATTACATTTTTTTACTTACTCATTTTCATTTTATTTCACGTAGAATACAAATTACATATAACGCTTACTTTTATTTTACAAAATCCATTGGTTTTAGGCATTATCTTTACCGGTTATCCAGTCATTGGAAACCAAAGTCGTATGATGTCGTCAGGATCATGTCTAGATAGCCGTCAAGATGGATTGATAACCGCATGTGCATGGGACTCACGAATCAAAGGCGAATTTTTTCATCAAACAACTTTCAGTGTTCCTCTAACGCAAGTTAAAAGTTTTATCAACGATATCAAATCTCTCGTCAAGATTGAGCCAAAATCTCTATGTGGCCTTGAACTCCATTATGGTATTCTAATGCGTTACGTCACACCATCTCCGGCTTATCTAGGGAAAGAAATCGAAGCCCTAGACTTCGACATAACTTATTACCGAGCTAAAGATCCATTAGCACCGCGACTATACGAAGATTTTATTGAAGAAATCGAGCAAATTGCATTGTTGAAATACAATGCATTACCACATTGGGGTAAAAACAGAAACTTAGCGTTTGACGGAGTGATTAAAAAGTACAAGAATGCGCCGGCGTTCTTGAAAGTAAAAGAAAGCTATGATCCAACCGGTTTATTCTCGAGTGAATGGACCGATCAAATCCTAGGAATCAAAGGAAACGCGACGATCGTAAAAGATGGATGTGCATTGGAAGGTTTGTGTATATGTTCCAAGGATGCTCATTGTGCTCCGACCAAGGGATATATGTGTCGGCCGGGAAAAGTATACAAAGAGGCTAGGGTATGTACACGTGTTAGTGGCATAAGTTTGATTCAATCAGCAAGTTATTAAACTTTCATTGCTTCTTATATACTGTATGTGTGGTTTGGGTCGATATTTTGTTGTAATAAATAAATAATGTCGGGATGCAATAAAAAACATTATAATAAAAATAATGCCTCATTATTTCGTTGTGTTTGTTAGCGAAATCACAAAAACTATTTATATGCTCGTGCGATAATTTTAATATTACATACAACGAAGAAGTAGGAAAATAAATATACAGCTAAAAATAGTTTGTGAATCTGTGGTGTTGACGTGAGATTAAAGTCAAAGTTCCGTGTCTTGAAACTCTTTGAGAATCTTCTCAAATTCCTCCAATCTGTGTCCCCAATCACTCTTGATCCTTAACGGCCTCACGTTACTGTAATCAACGGCGTTGCTTCCACCGTTATCTTCAGAGGACTCGGCCGCAGAGGATGACAGCTCCACACTTGTTATTTTCTTCTTCCTCTGTTTATCGGCGGTCGATCTCTTCCTCTGAGCCGTCGCTCTCTGAATCGCCCATAGCACGTCGGAACCACTCATCTGCTTTTCCTTGGAGATCGGTTTACTCGGGTTCGATTCGGCGGAGCTTAGTAGGATTTGTTGGCCTAATCTGCCGACGGATTTGGTTTCGGATGTATGCGACTTCGTCGCGAAGTTACAGAACCGATGGCGGATTCCGTCGTAATTACGCGGCGGAGGCTGTGAATCGCCCACGGAAACTGCTCCGGTTCGTCCAGTTAGAAACTGAACCGGCATCGGCGCCGGTTTCACGGTCCACATTTCTCCGAATTTATCTCCGTCCCCTTTTTGTGCTGTGGTGGAGAATCCAGTCCACATATACTAGCCAGTTACTTATTGGGCCTTTTATAAAAAGGCCCATTATATTATTGTGAACCCAAATTGGCCTTGGAGAGAACACACCACTAATATGTAACTAAATAACATTTTTAATGTTATTGAACACACCAATAATATGTAACATTTTTTAAAGTAGAGAAATCAGGTAGCAATATATTGACGACATTTCGTCTAATACATAATTTTGTTCATAACATTTTTATAGAAATCTAGATAAATATAGGGTTAATTTGCCAACTAGCCATATTAGGTCTATTAATTTAGAAACTATCCATTACAAAAGGGAAATTGGATCGCGTATTGCACGCGCCAGCAAAAGACACTTTTGCCACTCTTCTTTAGTCGGCAGTTTTTGTGGGAAGCCGATGACAAGTGTACTGCAAGCCGAGTTAATCAAGTCCAATCAATATCATAACCTATCCAATTAAAATTAATTTCAAAATTAAAGTTCCCTCCTATTTCTTCATGTGTATATAATTTGGCCACGTTTCTCACTTGAAAAAGGACCCTTTGGTTTCCACGACTATCATCTATTCCTTTATAAGTACCATACTATTTCTTTTTCACCTGTACTGTACTTTTTGCTTCATCTTTAACATGTCTGATAAAGAGAATAGTTGGGCACTTAATAAAGGCAGTCCAAGTACACAGGTAATTACACAATCCTTCTCACTTATATCCGTTTCAGTTTCGTAGATAGGGACCATTTATAGCCAACTGAAACTATAAATATGTTTGTCTCGATTAGTAGAAATAGTATATTAGCTTCAAATATTGACAAACTCTCGGTTCATTCAATTCTAAAGAAATCTTACATATTTTTTTTCAGAAATCTCCTCAAGATGAAGTTAATCTCCTCTTAGGAACATGGATAAGAGAAGAGACAGGAAACTGGGTTTTTGAAACAGATTCAGTAGAAGGTTTTGCCACAGTCGTTCTCAAAGATGGTCTCAACTTTCGAGATCTTATCGATGACGTGCGCAACAAACTACAAATCAAAAACACCAACATCACTCTCAAACTCGCTTACCAGTATCCTCCGTGGATGACTATAGATGACGCGCATGACTAATACTTCTTATTTCTTTCCACATAAACTCTTCAATCTCGCTTTTAAGTTTCTTAAAAACTTTATCTACATGAACCTCAAAACTAGCAGAAACACCTCTTAACATTTCCGCTGTCCGATCTTCATATGCATCAGCTAAATTTTTTAACTGAGCAGAAACATCAACACATTCTACTCGATCTCCATTATCCTTTAATTTTCCGAAATGTTTACCAAGACGATCATCAGCTACGGCAGTACACATAGTACTAGGATTAACAACCTTTGATAAACATGGTGCATGAGCAGTATATATCTCCGTAGACACTTCTACCTCTGCATAACCATCATTACTATCTATAACCTTCGTTTCAACAGCCTCACATGCTTTCACACCTCCACGCCATGAATTATGTTCAAATGGGAAATCCTCGTTAATCAAAGCAAGCATATGCAGTACTTGAGGATCATCTTGTTCATCATCAAATACACTCTTCGAAATACTGCCACTTATTGAATCACTAAGTGTCGATCTCACAGAAAGCCTAAAAATGAAGGACAAAATCAACTGTTAGTCCTCAAACAATAATATTCTAAACCCTAAAACATAAACCCAAAACCCCAACAAAATATACCCTAAACCCACCAATCTAAACCCCAAACAGCCTAACCTCAACCCCAATCAACTAAACAGTTGACCCCAAAACTAAACCTTATACCCTCCACAAAATCAACGATTAGTCCTCAAGAAATGCTATAAACCCAAAACCACACAAAAATATACCCAAAACCAACCATTCTAAACCCTAAACCGCCTAACTTCAACCCCAATCAACTAAACATTTGTCCCCAAAACTAAACCTTATACCCTTCCCCGAAATGAACTGTTAGTCCTCAAGAAATGCTACAAACATAAATCATTTTTAAATATGACTAAATTAAAAGTTTCATGAAATACAAACCTGGCCTCTCTGATCCACTGCTTTAGCTGATACAACATTGACCATCAACCTACTATCAACAACAAATTTAACAACATGTTCAATGCTTTCTTCATCCGCTGATGAAGAATCTTCTGCAGCTTCATATTTAACAATTTCTGGACAAGAACAAGCAGCAACGAGTACAATAGCATGCACAAATCCTTGAATAGCGGTTGTGCTCTGAGCATATTGGGATGCTGTACGTGCCTTTGCACTCTCAACAGACATAATAAAAGACTCACGCCTCCAGGAAATTTCAAGAATTTTTCAACATCAGAAACCATCTCAACAACTTCAGCTCTTATACTAGATGTTCCGCTTCTAGGACACAAAATACCTTCCACTAAAAGCAACAAAGCCAGTCTAAACCGAGTTATTGGATCTTTGTATTTCTTACCTAATAACAACCTGTCTAGAATCCAAGAAACAGTGGGATCAACAGATTCTCCGAACAATTCAACCCACATAGGACCTCTTTCTTTCCCCACATTAACTTTCTTTTTCCTTCCTTTAATCGCTTTGCTTTTCTTCGCTATCTTACAAATGGTAACATCTGGTTCCTCACAATTCAAACCAGTCACAATAGCAAACTCATCTATACCATAACGCACCGGTTTACCAGAAAACAACCACCACAGCTCATACTTTTTTTTGGTCACCAACTGTCTTGAAAGGAGATAATGGACAAACATTACAGAAAAAGTATGGTCTCCCATTTTCATCAAACTCTTGAACTGTGATTGACTCAACATGTCGATGTAATCTGGATCAATTGCTGGTTTAATAAGCTCAACCCATCTAAGAGTAAAATAACTGTGAACCCTTTTTCTACCAGTAGGTTCAAATCCAGACTCGAACAATCTTTCTGGCAATCCCATCTCCTCCATTCTACAATTTGACATAAATATAAATAAAATTAACATAGGTGTTAATTTGCAGAACTACATATGCAATTAACTATGACGTATAATCGCATGACTAATTACAGAACTAAACCAGAAACAACCATCAATTGAAAGATTATCCAATAACAACAGAGAAAAACAATAAATTGCAGTTTCTTCAATTAAAGAGAAACTAACCTTGTATGTATATTCTCTATCAGTTCACGATGCAGATTTGTGAATCAGATGAGCTCGAGAAAATAACTGTGAACTCGATTTATATATACTCTCTCTATTTATTCATCAGAACAGTCTAACTCTGTTAAACAGATGAGTTCCATAAACCGTGGTCCTGAAAATGACGATAGCCAGACCTCTGTTTCTCTTATCTTTTTCTTATTTTTCTTTTAAAATTAGAAAACTTATCAAACGGCTTAGATCGAAGCCGTGTAGTACACAAGCTGAAAAACTCGGCTATAGTAATATAGGGGCAATTCAGACAATATTGTATATTGTATCTAAGAAATAGTATCCCATCAATAGATATGGTCAGATTCTTAATTTTTTTTTTTTACTGATATCTATTGATAAAACCCATAAATATATTGAACCTATAATATAACTTGTCACGTGACATCACTTCCCACGTGTAACAACAATAGATAAAGGAGTTAAGCCACGTGAACCGGATACCGGTGAACCGAGTCACCCCACGGGTTACCCACCAGTGACTCACTCGCCGGAATCGTTCTCAACGCCCTCCACACAATACTATTACATTTAAAACCCGACCCGAAAGCCAACTGCCAGACTCGATCTCCTCGCTTGACCCGACACTTAGCCTCCACGTAAGCCAGCTCGTACCACAGAGACGAGCTCGAAGTGTTTCCAAACCGGTGCAAAGTCATCCGAGACGGCTCAAGATCAAACTCACTGAGTCCAAGACCTTTCTCAACCGCGTCAAGTAACGCTCTACCTCCGGCGTGAATACAGAAATGCTCGAAGCATAGCTTAAAATTCGGAACGTATGGACTAACCTTTAACCGGAAAAGCTTACTCTTTACGATAGCGAGAATAAACCGGACCTTCTCGGATAGAGGCAGAACCAGCGGACCAAGTGCGGTTAAATTTGTCTTTAACGTGTCACCAGCAACAACAGTTAGTTCTTTTGACAGCGAGACTCCAACGATACCTTTGTCGTCTTCTTTTTGGTCAGCACACGTGTAATGTTTGTCGCTAGCGCCTTTATGAGTCCTTACGAGATGAGTCAACTCGTACTTAGACCGGACTCGGTCTTGGCTCCGGTTTGAGAGAAGAACCGCTGCGCCTCCTACTCTAAACAGACAGTTTGGGACTAACATTGACCGGTCGTTGCCACGGTACATGCTTAGAGTCATATTCTCCGTGCTCACCACGACTGCGTAGGTGTTAGGGTTTGCTTTAAGTAGATTCGTTGCGAGATCGACGGAGATTGCGCCGGCGCTGCATCCCATACCGGAGAGATTGTAGGTTTTTACGTCGGTTTTGAGCTTATACCGGTTTACAATCATGGACGAGAGAGATGGGTTGGGATTAAACAAGCTACAGTTTACAATGAAGATTCCAACTTCTCTCGGTTCAACTCCGGTTTTCTTGAATAGTGAGTTTAGAGCACCAAAGATGACTAATTCAGCTTCATGTCTAGCCTCGAACATCGATGGTGTTGGTGGAGAGGTTAACATGCAACGTGGGGCGTACGTGTCGTTTCCTAAACCGGACCGGTTTAGTATCCTAGTCATGAATTGGATTGTTTCTTCGGTGTAGAGCTGAGCACCTTTGGCCATGTTGAAGAACGTATCGGATGGTATTTTGCAAGAGTCGGTGGGTTGGTGGCATGAGAAGTCGACGAGGTAAACCGGTTTAGTCTTGGTGGTTAAGTAGGCGTAGAATAAGATGGACATAACGAGTAAACCGATCTTGACCGGAAAGGAAGAGAAGAAGTCATGGTGGAAGTGGAGTAGATGAAGTTGGGAGAGAGAAAGAACGAAGATTAAAAGCAAAGGAAGCTTGAAATTCGCCATTGTAATGAACATATGAGAAACAATTGGTTATTGGTTGGGTTTCAATTTATAAGCAGCGTACGTTTTTTTTCTTCTTGGAACAGCAATAAGCAACGTACCATACAACCTTATTTAGGGTATGAATAGTGTGATTGCGTTAAAGGCGTTTGTGCCGCGGATAACGCAATGTGCGTTTTAAGGCTAACCTTTATAATGGATAATAAATATGTGGTACCGAAAGTTTGTACATATCGCTATTGATCATGAACGAACTTTTAAATCAAAAAGTTTGTTATCTTTTCATGCCATGTTGCAAAACAAGACATAAATACAACCGATTCAAATGGTATAAAATTAGTTTTGATCATGAGTAATATAACCAGTTAAAAAGTTATCTTGATTTCCTATTAAACAGAAAATAACACACACAAGAACTATAATAATATATAAGTTTTCTTACCATTAAAAACATTTATGAATGGTTATTTATGGTTGAATTCACAACAGGCAAAACTCGAACAGTGGCATAAACCTACCAAATGAATCCAAACAATCTCTGAACTACCGTAAGATGAGATAGTTAAAAGCATATTAATTGAAAACATATTTATTACCAAACATATACACCGATTTGAGTTCTAAGTAGTTTGGGTGGACCTCACTGCTTGCACAGTTGCACACTTTCGTAACGTTAATTAATTGTCATATATATGAATTGATCGGCTCTAAAACTTTTGCACTTTACGTGAAAGAAGTGTGTTAGAATCATGTGAATTTCCTCAAATTGATTTTTGTAGTTGATTGAATCCAAAAGAGGAAACTAGTAAAGAGAAACATCAACAAGAGAAAAAAACTAGAAAAGAGAAAAGACTCTAAAGAGAGATCGAATTTATTACGAATCAATTTTTAGTTGGGGATTTGTCAGTCTATTTTCAAAATTGTAGGTGCAGTGGTCAGTGGCTGGCCAAGTTGGAAAGTGGACCAATGAGAAACAAATATTAAGACATCGCATTCGTACGTTTTCGGTGTGTTAGTTGGGCCATTTAATTTATGAAAATTTATGTATAATGTGACCATAATTTCGCAGCGAGATATTGTTGTGTATCCAACATCGTACAAACTCAATAGTTAGATATCTAAGTAAATGCCATTTTCTCTTCTTATTGAAAAGTATCTTAAAGCTATCTATTTAGCATAAAAGGTTTTGAATTGATGTTGATAGTTACGAACAGCACAAGTACACAACCACATTAAAACGCATGCACTAGATCAATGTATCTATGTTTGCCGAACAAAAATCTTACATCATTATAAGAGATTATAATGATGTAAGACTGCTTTGTTTGGAGTGTTAAGACTGCTTTGTTTTTAAGCTACTTGGATTAACATTTGGAGCAAAAAGAAACAGTCATTTGAAAAGTTTGAAAAAATGTTGAATTATTGATAGAAACTTTTTACAACTTCGGATAGCTATTAATTACATGCTTTTAAGTCAGCATTCACTATTGCTAAGCTATATATGTTCCGTATGTTTCACTGGTTCCGGTTTGCATTGATAGTGTCGTTGTACTTGTACTATCAAAGCCTACACTATCGACTTTTAAGTGCATTCACTGTTAAGCTATATCGGTTTTGAAATAGATTTTTAATGTTGTGTGTGGCTGCCTGAAGTTGAAGCATATAACGAGGACGTAGAAAAGAAATCAAAACTAGTTTCACATCAACACAAAGTTAATCTAAAGATGCTACTGGTCTAATAAAAATCAACGTTTCTTTGAAAATAAGCATTTACAGAACGTGCGAGTTTCGATAGCGAAGAAAAGGGTTTGTAAATGGAAGAAATGCGTGAACCGATCATCAACTATTAAATTCAGAGCATTTAAATAGAAAAAAACGTGATTAAAACGGAATCATTTCATTTCAGTTTCAAATGAAACAATCATCAAAATTCTTAACTTATTTTAGCCACAAATCCCCACTCTAGGACGATGACCTAATGCATTAAGTATTAAGTATTAACCCTAACAATTTGAATAAGTGATTTAGTTCGGAAGTACGAGAACATTCTTCCAACAACTAAATACTAATGTGATAGTGATAAGATGTTGGATGGTGTTATACTCTTCCAACAGTTTCAAATGCATTTTGAGTACGACGTCATATATATGAATATGAGGGAAGTTTTGTAAAACAGAGAAATTCACATTTAACAGGAAAAAAAATCGGTGATCTCTTATACATTCGTTCTTATACCTATTTCAAACAACTAACACCTGTAATCATATTTCACAATAGTTTTTTTTACACTCTCAAAAACAGAAAAGAAGATGTGGAAAAAACAAAAGCGAAGTTAAATGTTTTTTTACCAAGGCAGAGAAGAGAGACGTGAACCCCAAGCATCTCTTCCTCTTCTTCCTTCATCTCGATTACTTACAAGAGGTTTCTTCGCAGATTTGCTTAAATGAAACAATGGATGCTTACACAGCCTTTGAACAGTCCCAATATTCTCAGTTGTACCTTGATCATGAACGTTTCTCTTCTCAGTGTTCCAAAACTCTTCTTCATTGTCAGCCTCTAGCCTACACAGAGTAGCCACTCTCAAGAACTTAGGGTTATTGTTTGGTTTCTCAGAAACTACTATCTCAGAGTGTGGTGATTCCCATTCTTCTGATGGGTCTGATGTTTGTTTCTCGATCCACCTTGCTTTGGCATCTGCGTTTTCCCTCTCTTTGAGGTTCATTAAGATCAATGTCTTGAGAAAGTTCATCACTTGTACCGCGTGGATCAGTGCAGTTAAAGGATCTGCCATCTACAATATCAAAAACATTTTCATGATAATTAAAAGCTATAACCAAGAGATCAAAGCTTTTCTTGAAAATAAAGAAAAGAAGAAGAAGCATTAATGTTTTACTGACTTGGGTCATGTTTGGAGCAAAGACCATAGCTACATTGCGAGCATTCATTTTGTTAAACTGTTCATGCTCCACGACATCTGCCATTAGACCAATGGCCCAATCAAGAAGTGCAGATTCAACCGGAGGAAGAAGAGTCACGAGCCGGCTACAATCTTCCTCTGTGTTACACTTCATCACTTGATCTGCTGTCAACACATCAAGCACTCCTGTTGGTAGCTCCCTAAACCATGCCTGATTCAATTCGAAAAAAAAATCCCAAAAAATAAAAAAATTAAACCTTTTGCACTTCAAATGTTGTAGAAAGTAAAAGATTTGTTCTTTCTTTACACCTTTATCAAACCGGCCAAGCAATGAACATCGATTCCACGTGGTACTATACCACGGTTTAGCTGTCTTCGAACATGCTCTTCTTTAGCGTTGTCTGGATTTATTCGGAATATTCCTTCTGCCTTAAGGCAACAAACAACAACAATTAATATTATTATCAGAACTAGTTGATTCAAAAAATAATCCAAAATGGTTATGAATAAATAGATAGTATAGACTTACTTGAAGGCCTCCTTCTGTGTATAGACGTTTTTGCATCCTGAGAAGGATTGTTGGGACGCTGTTTCCTCTGTCGTCGTAAGAGCATTGCATCGACTTGGCCGATACTCCAAAGACACTAACACTAAAGAGAATCAACCAGTTGTTACATATACCATTAGTTTCACTATATCCATAAGTTCGATCATTAGAAAAGAAGCATTTCAAGTTACAAATCTATCTAGTGAAAAATATACAAAACTGATCATTAAAAAAAGCACATGAGATATAATTTCTGTACAAATCCATCTTCTGGAACCAATAATATCATCAAAACAACAAATCTTTAGTTCTGTAGAGATCTTTCTATCTAACTCTTGTAAAGAACCTAAAAAAATTGTGGCCCCAATTTCTAGAGGTCCATAATGACTAAAATATTATAATTTATATAAAGGAAGGAAATAGACTTGTGGTGTATGGTTTTTTTACGATGTTAAAACCAACATTTTTCTTCTCTTGTCTATTGGAAGAGTTTGAACCCAAATAAAAATTTATTGAAATAGAATCGTTGTAAGAATTGATTTCTTTTATATATCAAATTTGTTATGTAATCTGGTTTTTGCTTATGTATATATAGGTTGTGACTTTGTTATCACGTATACGGTATAGAGCCATACATGTTTCAGGACCGGTTCTCCCTACACAAACCAACCTAGTAAAAGTCTATAACGTTGATCATAAAAAAATTTAAGGAAAAAACTTGTTCTTAAAGTTTCAGGCCCTTGACTAATCTTGTAGTATATAAAAATATATTGTATTGTATATAGTAAGATAATGTTCAACAATGTCGTGAAGAAACGCGTGTCGTAATCATGCATTTAATCTAAACAGCAACCATCTTAATGATTCTATCCAACACAGTAACATGTCAAATACAGATTTCCAGCTATGAAAATAATTATTTTAATTCCTCCCTATCCTAATTAAATACAGTGATTATTAAACGGACCTGGCGCTTGGAGCTCGAGGAGGAACCTCCGGTTCGAGCTCAGAGGGAAGACCAAGGAAACCATTAAACCGGTCGAACGTCACGTGACTCACGTGCTTAACCTCCGTCGGCCAGCCAATATCCATAGACCCCGTCACGTCATCGTCCCCTCTCTCCATGGTGCACGACATCACCAGCGACTTCCTCAGAACCGCCGCAAGAAGGTCGAGTACCGTGAACTGACCCGACCCGGAACCGGATCTCGACCCGTGTGAGCTCAACGGCGTAGAGACGTCGTAGTAGTCTGTGCTCGTAGTGCTATGTTGTTCTTCTTCATAGTCGTCATCGTCGGGTCGGGTCTGTTTAAACTCCCGGAATCCGATAGTTCCAGTGGATTTGGATCGGGAGAAGCTAGTCATCGTTTAGTTGTTTGTCTTCAAGAGAAAATGGGAGAATGATATGTAATAATAGTGGAGTTAAGGAGAAGAAGCTTTGAATGTGAGAGAAAGAGAGAGAGAGAGAGAGAGAGAGAGAGAGAGAGAGAGATATAAGGGACTGTTTGGTGAGAAAGAAAATGCAAGAAAACGAAGGAAAATTTACAGACAATCGAATCGCGTAGAAACAAAGGGACGAGTCTTTATCTTTTATTTTTAACCTATGCTTTCTTTTTTGGGATCTGTGTTTAGTGGCTAGGAAGAAAGAGTGACGGAGACGTAAATGAAAATGATATCAACTTTTATCAAGTAAAAATTGTAATGGTAAATTTTATAATGGTGAGAAAAAACAAAATAAATTAAGACATCGATTGATATGTTTCTTGACTCTTGATAAGATCTAATATGGAATAGTTCGACGGCTCGTGAGGTTGCCTAGAAGATGATTAGATGAGATGGGTGACAAGTGAGAATGGGGGACATACGAGTCAGTGTTCTTTTTGGAACTATCTTTGATTTTGTTTTATTTACATTTCTCTGGTAACATTTTGTTTCCAATGCTATTGACTCTCTGTAACTATTCGTGCTATAAGAATACGTCTCTCTTTGATACAATTCTTGCTAGATTTTGAATAGTATTCTCGTAAATCTTCTTGCGATCCATGTTTACCGAAGTAAACTAATTACTTCCAAAAAAAACTAATTACTTCATATTAACGATTCATAGGACTTAATAATACAGGAATAGTAACAATAGTCTACTTTAGTTGGTAAATTTTTTTACCCTAATAGTCAACAAAGCACCGAAGATTAAGATTATACAGTTTTTTTTTGTTTAATTGTTTATTAAAGCATCATTAATGATTGGGTAAACCTATACGACGTCGGTTAAGTGGGGCCGACGAACGACGATGTATACGTCGACATCACAGAAGACGACTTCGCTGTATTGTCTTGGCTATTTTTTTTGTTTAGTTTTCTTTTGTTTTCGGGATACGTTATCACATGGTTACATGTGCTCTGGTTCGTCGACATTCTTGTAACACGTCAAAATACAGAATAAGTGATTCTTAATTTTTTTTTATGATTCGTTTATGTTTTAACTCATATGAAAAAAAAGGATACTGTATTTTAGTACTTTCATGCAATCTAATTAAACGCTCGGGGACAACTATTTTTAGATACTCATAGATAGCTCAAGTCGTGCTATAGTTCAAGATAAGCAAATGAATAATAGAAAAGGAATCGTGCTGGCCTTTATTCAGTACCATCATTATTGAACTAAGCTTTTCTTTCCATAATTAGCCCCACTTAATCCTAATGCACTCTCACTTTATATTGATATGTCATGATATATTTTTCCCAAAGTCTCCAACCCGTAAAATATTTTATCAAGAGGCAACATTATATAACTAAGAGCGTAATTTATTGCGCCGTAGAACAGAGAGTATTGTTTTGGTCTTAATTATTGAACTGCCAGTGTTAAGTCGGAAAAATTGTTATTGATCCGGAGAATCTCTACATAAAGAATTACCGCCGTTTTAAGATTTGAGTTAACCATCGCATTTAATGCCCACTGGTTCACGTGATACCTTCTGTTTTAATTCATCGCGTTTGCCGTACGATGAAAAGACACGATAACAAACAATCCAACGGTTCACGTGATGTCACTTGTATTGTTACTTGTGTGTTTATTACCTCAAGTTCCAATCGTTTAATGTTATCTTTTTAATGTAATGTAATCAGTCAATATCAAAACTAAATCATAAATCTATTTCCTTACCAGGATTTTAATGTATATTCCTTCTTTTCATCGTGTCGCCCTCTTAATTTGTCAGATAGACTCTGGACCTCTGGTTAAAACTCAAAATATATGCTACTAGTAGTATAATTAGCATAAAGTTTTCTTTAGGAAAAGTCACATTTTTGTTTTAATGATTACTTAATTCTTTTGTTCGTCCCCGTCGATGCAGACAAATGTTTCCACTAAATAAAACTTTATGGGCAAATAGCAATGTTAAATGTTCATTTTAACAAGCGCAGTGAACATTGCAATAATGTGTTAGAATTTGATGAGAGCTAAAATATATTTCATTGATTTGGACTTGAAGTTAATATGTTATAACATAATATCATAGTCCAATATGATAGTTCAAATCTAACATGTAATGATCTTAGGTAGGGTAAAATTCGGTTTAAGATAGACTGAAAGCAAAATTTTGAAAGGGCGAATTTACTTAAGTGAAAGGAATGAAAATAAGTTTTACAATTGAAGCTCATAAGTTTTAACATACTGCATTACATTACATAACTAGTATTTGGTTTCGAAGTATGTACAGCTTTTAAAGGAGTATATTCAATTATTCATCATATGTAGTTGTTATGTTACTACTGTTCAAATCCAGTATTTCTTGTATTTTTTTATGGTTACAACATTCAAATTGTAGTAGCTGTGGATTATTTTAAGAATAGTGATGTAAACGTGCATGTGATCAGTATTATGGTTAGTGGTTAACATTTGTACATACTCAACAAATTTGATAGAAAAGAACAAAAAACAGGGGGAATAAATATTGAGATGGTTAGTGGATGTATAGCAAAACGCATGCGCGGATAAACGAGCGAAGATGGCTTTGATACTTAGCAATAAAAAAAAAACGCACGTATGCTGATGAGATTCAAATGCAAGTCATCATTATACACATTTCAATAAAGAATATTGCAAAGGCCATAACGTAACTAACAAAATACTTTAAAAAATGTTTGAATCATTTCAATTTTAGTTCATGCCAATAGAAACAGAAGCTTTAATACCAAACAAGAGACCAGGGAATAAAATTAGTTATTAATATATGGTGGTCAATTTGGCCGGTTACACGCACTGAAGAGTACATTTCAAGTAATTAAATTCCATTTGTTAAGTATGCAAACCAGCACAAATAAAAATGCGTCGGTAAACTTTATGGTTTTCTAATGAAAATATGTATATACGTAATGCTGAAAACATCATGTGATTCCAACAATTCAACAACTCCAAGAAACACCGGTCCAAATGTTCGACTGCATGCTTCTTGCAGAAGCAAAAATATAAAATAAACAACAATACAAAAGAACACGCATGTGTATGTATAGAAAAGGGATTGGGATAATTATTAAGCTTATATACAGAAAGTGATAGTGACATATATTCTTATGATTGTTTAATAATGTTAACTTCAAAGTTACTCTTAGTTCTTGAATTTGTTTCGTCACTAGATTTAGGTGTTATGGCAACGACCTTAACCAAAACCACACCAACTAGTGTCTAGAGAGACAAGTCCCATCGATATTCGATTAGTTATACTAATATACTGCTAATGAGAAAGACTGTAATTGATTCATGTTAACGTTTCGGTGTAATAACGGGTTAATATATTGGGCCGAAACTGGGCTGCTTTGTTACTTTTTGAACACTTTCGATAAGCTTTACATTGGCAACGTAAGTTACGTCGGGCTTTGTTTTGGGCCTAACAGTCTTCTGGGGTTGACAAGTAGATTATAGGTTTTTGTTTCATGAATTATGGGTTTAATTGAATCACAAAACAGAGAGATTGTTGATTATCGTGGACTTTCAGTTTGTGGAGACTGACATATTGCGATCTTAATCATCTTGATGGTTATTTAGGTTTGCGTTGCGGATGTTACATATTTGTTTGTAAAATTTAGAAATCACTTTATACTTTTTTTCTAACACATGATTTATGAAAATCAACACATGTTATTATTAAACTGCTGTCAGGAAAAGATTTCCAACAACAAAAAATATTAGTATACCAAAAGAAAACGAATAACTGTTTGACCATTGCAATTTGTCCAAAACAAAAAACTGTTGACAATTGGAATAAGTCCAAACGAAGCGTTCTACGGAGTATTTTTTAATACATGTGCTAATACTTTACAGATAATATAAGATTTTCACTTTCTTTACTGTTTTTTGTTGAATTCTCAACATCTGAGAGGTAAATATATCCTAGCCTTGTCACTTTGTATAGAAATAAACTCAAATCACAATAGTTTTATGTATATTATATGTGAATCAAATTAAACAAGTGCGAGGTTGTTGGACTAACTTCAAGTCGGTTCAATATTATAATAGCCTGGCATTTTATTGGATTTTCCGTCTAGCCAATCTTACAGTCAAATTCCAATTCCAATGTTATTAGTTATATTTATTATTGTTCCTTAGAATTCCCCATGTTAGAAAACTTGATTTTAAAATATTTATTGCTTTACCATTTGGTTCTACGGTATGGAGATAAATTGACGTAAATTGTTCTATAATTCCTCATTTAATTACGCTGATATACGGTGTGGGTTTACTTTCAAACTTGTAAATGGTCTTAATTTTAGTTATAATCGATTCCTCTCTTTATTTGTAAAAATAAAATTCAAAGATAATATGCAGCTCACCTACTTGGAAGTGATGTTCGTGTTAAGTCTACCCCATGTACGTCGCTTTACCCATTAAATACCACTATACTATAATATTTCAAAATTTGATTATTCATGTCATATTATACGATAACTCTCTATTGAAGGAGAGTTTAAACCAATACTCCACAGAAAAATAGTACTGTAATTTTTTTAGTTAATCATACATTTCAGCTTAAATAATATTTATAAATTAACAAAAAAAAGTAAGAAAGTTTATAAATACCAAAAATCTCCATGACACTGCAATAAATTATTGCTTTCTCATGGATTGGATTTTTTTTAATTGATACTGTATCTTTAAAGATAAGACACATTAATTCAACATTTTTGTGTCACTATAAACTTTTTATATCCAAAATAGATACTTTTCGGAAAAAAAAGAGTGATAGTTAATTCGGAAAAAAAAATAGTTGAAAAGGACTGATTCCAAATTCGAGTAAAAGCTGTAATCACGCCATGTGTTTAATTCTCACCAATCACATTAAAAGCGCAAGTAAATTCGAGTAAACGGTCCAGATCTTGCCACGAAGGATAACGTACTCCGTAGTTTTTCCTTTTTCGAACCTTCCGACCAGGTCGCGAGCACATCCATCATGTTGTGAGAGAATCTCGTCCGTATGGAAACTCCGTTTTACTTGCACCCAATTATATTACGCCTCGTGTCATTAGTAAATCCGTCCTTCTTTATAAACTCCGTTTTAGTATTTAAAATTTGTAAAAAATCTCCTACAAAATTGTTCAAAACGGCAAAAGGAACAAAAAAGTAACAAAAGACAAAACAATAAAAGGAAAAAAAAAGGAAAGCGTAAAAGAACTCGTACTACCCCATATACTACTACAATATTTTATTAGCAGAGAAAAAGAAGATAGGGCTAAATAAACAATTATTTTTCAGGATCTCATATTCAAGAAAATAGTTTCTCCCTAAATGCTAGTATTAATTTACTCTGACCAACCTAGTCAAATAAACCATTGATCTTTTTTTATTTCCAAATGTCAAAATAAATTTAATATAATAATACTTATATAAATACATTTCAGTCTTAATAATTTTTTTTTATCAGATAGTAGTAGGAGGAAGCATAAACAAACAAACAAAAAAATTGTGGTAATAAAACAAAAGAAACCGGAATAGCGGAAGGTTAGTTGTTGAATGCTAGAACGAGTTAAATGGTTCACATAATAAAAGACCATCGAGATCTCCACCATCCATTTCAACATCTCAGATTTTAATCCAACGGCTCTTGATCCTCTCCACTACTGAAAAAAAAAGAAACACACACCACCGTCCCGTTCCGTTCTTCTTCTCTCTGCCTGTCACTTGGTTTCTCTTTTGTCTCTTTCAACACTCTGCCTTGTCCTCTGCTCCTTCCCCTCTCTCTCTCTCTCTTTCTCATTCCTTTCGTTTATCGTTTTCCTTCTCATTAGATCTCTCTTCCTTTTGATCGGATCCGTCTCCTTCTCCCTCCGATGCCTGCAATTTGATTCTTCCCATCTCCTTCGAATTGAGTAGTTGCGAAGATGGGGCAATGTTACGGGAAGGTTAATCAGAGCAAGCAAAATGCCGGAGACGAAGCTAACACGACTACTTATGTTGTTTCCGGCGACGGGAATCAGATTCAGCCTCTAACTCCTCCTGCTTACGGACGAGCTAAGAACACTCCGGCTAGGTCATCCAATCCGAGTCCTTGGCCTAGTCCTTTCCCTCACGGATCAGCAGCGAGTCCTCTTCCCTCCGGTGTTTCTCCGTCGCCGGCGAGGACTTCGACGCCGAGGAGATTCTTCCGACGGCCTTTCCCGCCGCCGTCTCCGGCGAAACACATCAAGGCCTCGTTGATCAAACGGCTTGGAGTGAAGCCTAAGGAAGGGCCGATCCCGGAGGAGCGAGGGACGGAGCCGGAGCAGTCGCTCGATAAGAGCTTCGGCTACGGGAAGAATTTCGGAGCAAAGTATGAATTGGGGAAGGAAGTGGGTCGAGGGCATTTTGGTCATACTTGTTCTGGCCGTGGGAAGAAGGGAGAGATTAAAGATCATCCCATTGCCGTCAAGATCATCTCCAAGGCTAAGGTCTCTTCAAGTCTCCATATTTCGATCATCTAATTTCTGCATTCGAGTTAGGAAGATTTTGATTTTGTTTATACAAGAATCTCGTAATGCTTACATTGTGGTAAATTTGAGTTGGTGAAAGTAGATTCTTGGATTTGGATAATGTTCAGTGGGACAGTGAAATTGTCTTTTTCCTCCGGCAGATTCTCTGAGAGGAACAGTGTTGTCTCTTTAGAGAGGAGAATGTTTTTGTCTGGCAGTGAGTTTGAGTAGACCAAAATGTGAACTTTTGCTTGATTTGTCTGCATTAGGACAGGCATTGCCACCAAAAGAATCTTAAGCGTGAAAGCTTCATATTCTAATGTTTTCATGAGCTTTGTTATCCTTCATGCATTTGTTTATTCTCGTAGTAAACATTTTGATTCCTTAGTTGTCGCCATGTAATATTTGCTGACTGTTTTTATCTTTTAAGAAAAGTTGAATTGGGATTGCGACCCTTTTGTCTGCATTAGGACATCATGTTGGATTGAAGTATGGGTTTCACTTTCGAATGCTACTGATTTTTGTTGCTTATCTTAGCTTGTCATCACATTTTGGTCACATTTTGGTGAAGCCGTGTGTGTGATTTGTTGACTGATTAATTTATCTTTGCTTTGCTTTTTGTAGATGACAACAGCGATTGCAATTGAAGATGTTCGCAGAGAGGTGAAGTTATTGAAATCGTTGTCTGGACACAAACATCTAATCAGATATTACGATGCATGTGAGGACGCCAATAACGTATACATAGTCATGGAGTATGTCTTGTTAACTCTCTCTTCTCTATCCTTCGGTTTGTTAGTTGTTGCTTATATGTTTTAACACACAGAAACATCCTCTTTGAACCAGGTTATGTGAGGGTGGAGAACTATTGGACAGGATTTTAGCAAGGTATTTGATCTTAGATTTTCTCCTTGAATGCTGAATATTCTATGCTCAAAAGTCAAAACATTGCATTTCTCTGGTCTCAGGGGTGGTAAATATCCAGAGGAGGACGCAAAGGCTATTGTCGTACAAATTCTAAATGTGGTTTCGTTTTGTCATCTCCAAGGAGTTGTGCACCGTGACCTAAAGCCTGAGGTCTTTGTCTTTTTATCTTAAACTTTCCCTATCTCTATCTCAGTAGCAGCAATACGCATAGTTACTAAACACTTTCTATCACCTTGTTCAACAGAACTTTCTATTCACATCTAGCCGTGAAGATTCAGACTTGAAGCTTATTGATTTTGGTCTCTCAGACTTTATCAGACCTGGTAAGTTACTATTTCATACTTTTCAGTCTTTCCTAAATCAACTTTTCTTGTTCTTGCCGCCTAACTAACAGTGAATCTTTGTTTTTAATTTTACTTCTCTGTACAGATGAAAGGCTGAATGATATAGTTGGAAGTGCATACTACGTGGCGCCTGAAGTGCTACACAGATCATATAGCCTTGAGGCTGATATATGGAGTATTGGAGTTATTACATATATACTCTTGTGTGGAAGCAGGCCTTTCTGGGCACGCACAGAATCTGGAATCTTTCGCACCGTGCTGAGAACCGAACCTCACTACGACGACTTACCTTGGCCTTCTGTTTCACCAGAAGGTAAAGAGTTTGTGAAACGACTTCTCAACAAAGACTACAGGAAACGAATGTCTGCAGTGCAAGCTTTGAGTGAGTTTTCTACTGTATTTACAACTAAAAGCAACTTAGAGTTATATTGCAAAACCTGATGATTTTATTAATTTATTTCTTATTTTCAGCACATCCGTGGTTACGAGATGATAGTCGAGCGATACCTTTAGATATTCTGATATACAAGTTGGTCAAATCCTATTTACACGCTACACCTCTTAGACGGGCTGCTTTAAAGGTAACGCCTTTCGTCTTCTTCTTCTTCTTTTGGAGGATTCACAAAGTTGGTTAGAGTTGATTTAGAAGTAGTGATAAACTGAATGTAGGCTCTAGCAAAAGCATTGACTGAGAACGAGCTAGTCTATCTTAGAGCACAGTTCATGCTCTTGGGACCAAACAAAGACGGAAGCGTCTCCCTCGAAAACTTCAAGATGGTAAGTGTGTTTTTAACTCGTGGTCGTATCATATCGGTCAGGACCAATTGTTTAGTCTTGAAAACTTTTAACACGATGAGAAATTCTCACAGGCGCTAATGCAAAATGCAACAGACGCAATGAGAGAATCCAGAGTTCCTGAAATTCTTCACACGGTGAGGACAATACATGTATCATATAGTTAACAGAAAATCAACATTTTTGTTAGACTTTAAAGTTTCTCAAATGATGTGTTGTTTTTGGACAGATGGAATCTCTAGCGTATAGAAAGATGTATTTTGAGGAGTTTTGTGCAGCAGCGATAAGCATCCATCAGCTAGAAGCTGTTGAAGCTTGGGATGAGATTGCAGCCACCGGTTTCGAGCATTTCGAAACCGAGGGAAACCGAGTGATCACAGTTGAAGAATTAGCAAGGGTAATTATATAATTCAATCTCTAGTCATAGAACCGGTTTTTGGTCTTGCTCTCGTTTAATTTGAAACCGGTTATTGCTGAATAGGAACTGAATGTGGGTGCGTCTGCGTACGGACACTTGAGAGAATGGGTAAGAAGCAGTGACGGGAAGTTGAGTTTGTTAGGGTTCACTAAGTTCTTGCATGGAGTCACTCTTCGTGCTGCTCACGCAAGACCTCGCTAGTCACTTCTTCTTCTTCTTCTTCATTTTTTAGGTTTTTTTTTCTTTTTAATATATTTTTCATTCATCAGAACTCAGAAGAACAGGCTTATATAGACAAAAAAAAAAGAGACGTGAGGAGTATTTTCGTCCGTTTGTTTTTTCCTTATCATATTCATAGAGATTAATTTTAAGGTACAGAAAAGTCAAAAAAAGAGGTAAACGAAATGTGCATACGGTAGATGGATTTTAGTCATTTTTTGCAAGTATACTATATGAATATCTATGGCTTCGAGCAATTTTATTTGTTATTTACATTTTTCTTTAAGCAACTCACTTCATCATCTCTAATACATCCCATACATAAACTTTTAAGAACTCTGGATTCTTAGCAAAACGGTTAAAACATACATCTTCCAAACAAAAAGTTTCATATAGTAGTGCGAGTGAATTGGCCAAATGGTAAAGTAACAGATGAGATCAAGCTATAGTAACCTTGGTAACATAGCAAAGAACAGTAAAGATTGGTTTTTGTTTTTGTTCAAACAGTAAGGATTGATATTGTTCTAATTTACAACTTGAAAAACAAAATCAGCAATTTTTTGCATAGTCTAATACTCTATGATATGATTTTTACACAATGCTATTAATTAGACAACTACTAAACCCTACCAAATGCAATTTGGTTCAAAGCGAGGCTGGCTATTTTGGAATCGTAAAACTTAAAGCTAAAGAAGCCAATAAAGTTACGCAGTCCTAATCACAAATATTAAAGTTGAAATGAAAAGTTATAAAACAACAATTAGTGATAACCCAAAAAAAGGGTAAGCCTTTCATTTTCTGTAATGGTGCCGACAAACGAATCATGACCATTTATTACAAATTATGACAGTGAGATGAGTCACGAGTGGGTTGTTCGTACCCATTAGTCTACGGAAATACAGGGAATCTACAAAAGCACTTTCGATTTTGAATTAACGCACGAGAGTAAAGACTCAGAAGGATGATGCATAGTGTCCTGCTAACTTTGGAAGATGTATTGCCATTTACTTCACTATGCATGTAATATGTAAGTTATCTCTTGATTACAAATACTCCACAATTCTTCTATCTTAAAGTCAAATGAAAATTTATTGCTTTAAGGACCAGCCGTTACAATGTAAGATAAAAGGAAATATTTTAAATTGAAAAAAAAAATGATTTGAGAATCCTACCTTTTTCTTGCTTTTTCTATATTTTGGAAATAAAAACTGAAATTTTGTGGGAAACAAATTAAACTCTCAAAAATATCACATTATGTTTGGTTTTCCAAATTACCACAAAGTAATAAAATCTACAAATATAGCTCGTCATAAAAGTTTGGTTAATGGTGTGATGCATTGAACTCTTTATTTTATTTTACTCTTTTGTACTGAATGTTAAATAAATAAATTTGTGATATTAAGATACTCCATTTAAGAATTTGTCTTTTAACATTTATCCCATATTACGTTTTTCAATATTTTTCTATTACGTCTCTTAACTAAATAACAAATGCAAATTTCCAAAAAAATGTGTCATCTTCTTCGTTTCATTTGTGATCATCGTCATCGTGATTATCTCCATTCAATCGTAAATGGCTTAACCGATTAAATTTTTAAAGAAAATAAAAGGTCAGAAAAACTAAAATTCCATAAATTTTACAGAAAAAAAAGATACTTGAAATAGATAACAATTCAGAAAATTCACTTCATACTTGGGTTAGGCCAATTTTGGCACCGCAACTCCACAAGATCAACCAAACTATTAGAAATTTAAACACATACAATCATTCTTCATCATCATCCTTCATCAAGCTCTGAAACATCCAACAAGATGATGATACTGGTCACGACCGCTATGTCTATGATGATGGTTATTACCATGAATAACCGATCTCTCACCATCAATTAAAGCTTGAACGTAACGAAACTCCTCCACGTGGCAAGGAATTGTGATGGTGCCCTTTTGATCGAATCCATACTCATCTTCTGCTTCTTTCAAGAGCTGCATGAACAATGGATGATTGAAATACAAAACAGGAACTACAAACCTCTGTTGCTCTTCTCCCTGTGATCCCACTTTGATCGCTAAACATCCTTTTGGAACATCCTTGACTTTGACCGTTTGTTTGCGATGTAAATGGAAGCTCTTCGTGGTTTTCTCTCCAGTACCCATGATTTTTAGAAAACGTTTTCAAGAATATTTTTGAAGAAACCAAGAAAGATGATCAAGACAAAAAAAAAGAAAAAGGATTATAGCTTTCTTGTGTTTTTTCAAAAGGAAGATCTCGATAAATTTTAGGTTAGAAAGCAGGCCATGGGTCTTCAAGTGTAAGAGATGAGACTTCGAGAGAACTAATCAAGTTGCTCATTTTTTTTTTTTTTTTGGTGTGGAGATGAATGAAAGAAACAAAAGAGAGAGCTTTGTTTTATAAAGAGAAACTACATAATTTTTATTAAAAAAAACGTCCATCAGAATGAGATAAGACGCTCCTATCTTATTCCATTTCTCATAGTAAAATACAGTGGTGGTATTTTTTAAAATTTCCTATTTGGTTGTCATTTGCTTTATAAAATTCTAACAACAACAAATGGTAGTTTTAAAAAGTTTATAATCAGCAATAATTATGAAAAAAATCAACGCTGATTAAAGATAATAATAAAGAGAAATTATATGTAGTACTACTTCTTATATTCTAAATAAATAAATACAGTTTGACACTACTCTCTGTATAATCAATATTTTTGGTTAGTTGCTCATACAGAGTACAGACTCCGTAGTTTGTTTGTTTTTTCGGTTAAAGACTCCCCCATACAGTATTTAGTTTTACGTCAACAGTCATAAGAGTATTAATGTGGTCAGCAAATGTTTTAGCAAACAAAATTGGTCAGCAACTGAGCATTAATAGGTAATGAAAACCAACAGTTAATATTGGGTTGGTGAGTCAAGAAAAAGATTAAACTTTTAATTAGGCACTAAACCGAGTAAATTAGTCAAATTAGTCGACAAGTTACTGTTTTACCTAATGAAACATCATGTGCGAAAATTATATCAGTAATTAGGCAATTAACACTAGAAACGTGATCAAAGTGTAGAAATGAGATTTACAGTTGACTATTTCCGTATATTCAAGAATTTTAGCTTTTCATATTAACTAATCATCATACAAGAATGAAGAATTTGTTTCACTGTCGATAATTTCATACATCCAAGCTCAGATCTGAAGTTAGGACCCGGCATATGAACTCAGGCCCAACTTTTGGAGTATGCATTGCTGACAGAGTCAAAACATACGATCTTTATAATTTTCAGTCATTCTAATTGTTTTAAGGTTCTAAATTACTTAAAACATGGTCCAAACGTTGAAATTTATACATATTGTGGAACATGGTCCAAAATCACCAAAAAATTAGTTGGCTCTGGACCAAAATTTATACGAGTCGAATGTTTAGTTTATGACTAAATTGTAAATATAATACTAGTTAATTAGACGACAATTTTAAAATTATCGGCACAAGTCCGTGTAATGCTTGCTGATCACTCGACTGCTTTCGATTTGTTTCATTATTGGAACGGCTTAGGTATTGTTAGTTATAAAGAAACCGAATCAATGTCGTCACATGAAGAAGATGTGGAGGCGATGTCATGTGTATTTTCAATTTTTATAATCAAAACGTCGCTTTTATATACGTAATATTATGTATGAGCTCATGTACACATTATGCAAAACTCTTACATAATTCGTATGCTATAGTCTAAGAAGAATTGGGGAAAGAATATTCCAGTCAACTGTTTATATGCTCAATGGTACCACAACTATGAATTTGTACACAATAAACATATCATAAAAGAAGAAAAATGTTTTTCGATTTCTTGAGTTGAATTAAAAAACGAGGCCGTCCACGTTGGTGGTAGTGACATGGTAGCGAATACTTATGGTACATTGCAAAGAAGATTTTAAATTCTTAAAGTCAAAGAAGAGAGGGCACATGTCGCTCCATCAGTATCTAGAGCCAGACTATAAAATAATTAAAATGAATTTGTTAGATCCGTTTTAAATCGTGATAAACTTTATAAAAACCGAAAATAGATAAGTTGGATCGTCGAAGTAGAAGATAAGATAAAGCAGAGCACACTAACAATAATGATAACAATAATCACTTTGTGTGAAAAATGAGACAACGATATTCAAAAAGGTCAACTTTGTGGGACAGTGTGGGTCGCCCTTGGATTATATCTTTATTTTATCGTCTCCTTTTTAAATTAACTTCTAGTTTCTTAACACAACTATTCCATTTATGCGCATGCAAAAAATAACACAAATTCTAGTGGACAATTTGCTTCTACAAATCATATAATAACTATACGATAATTCGAATCACAGTTTATGTCTCATCATCTTTTTCATTCACAAATTCTTTAACAGCATAAAACTATGTCAATGAATCTGCGGTTTCACGTATAAGAGTCAAAGAAAAATCCGCATAATTGGTTTCGCATATTTCATAACTTGTATTTTTCTTCTATTAATATATAGGCACCAGTCCAAACTACAACTACTTATATTTGTTCACCTCAGTTTCGAGATACAACAACACTAATGTGAGCCCAACCAAAAATAAACGACAACACTAACGGGCCAAAAGTGGTTTAAGTATAAGTTAATAACTTATAATGAACTACGGAAACTGAAATGGGCCTTTTGCTGGATAAGTCAACATGATGGTATATATCTAGGCTCAGTAAAAACCCATGGTCAAGTATTTACTATTTTTCCTTAAATGTCAAATGAAAATACTAAAACATGGGAACAAATTGTATAGAAAGGAAACCAACAATTAGTTAGACTGTGGTAAATTTAAGGATAACCGCCTTCATTTGCTTAATAACAGTCGACAAATGACAGTTTGCTATGTAAATTCATAAAAAAAATGCCATTATACGGCTGAAAAGGAAAAATTAAATTTACATCGAATCATAGCCGTAGGTTTTGCAGGAAAGACACTGAAAACCTTAGAAGAAAAAAGGTGGTCAAAGCCTCGGTTAAAAGTACATAGTAAAAAGATGAATCCGATGAGCCATGGAAACTTGTGTCAATCCGTGAAAACTTTAGAAACAACCAAAAAAGCAGCGTAAGCTTTTTGTCAAATTATTAGTACCTATTTATCATTTTTTGAAACAATCTCTTTTTGTCAACAACTACTCTTCTTTCGCCCGACTTCGACACTTATTTTTCCGAAATTAGTAAAGTGTTTCTCAACTTCACAATATAAATTTAGGATAGGAAAATGGATATATGAAACTTTTATGCGCAATAGTATGACTCTGAAAATTAACTTATCTCCAATTTGTGAAAGTTTACATATCATCTCTCCCCGCTGGATAGACTTCGTCTTAGTATACAAAATATCTGGCATCTGTTTCATCGTACATTTAAGAGGATAAGATTTCAAGAATGTCTGGACCGAAGATTCTTCATACACAAGTGAAAGATCTAAGATAGTACTAACAACTCTCCACGAGCAAATGATTACATAATTATATTAACACTTCAGTAATAACAAGAGATCATACAACTTTTTTGGTGATACACAAAAAAAATGATTACATTTACAATGCGAGTAATTTAGAAGGAAAGAAAGATTTCCAAATCCAAGCTCTGATCTTCCCATGCAAAACCATCGATCTGCATAAGTTATCCTTAGATACAAGAGTTTTCGATCAATAAATAACTTATTAATTTCTGAAGCTCATTCCATAAAACCCTAGTTGACTCATATGTAATTAACTACGAATATTATGATTCAATTTTCTTTAGATCTGGTGGGATAAGAAACAGACAGATCTGAAACCAAACAATCATCATCATGCATGACCATATGAAGATCCAATCTTATAACTTAATTCCTCCTGACAAGAAAAACACAATCATGGCAAAATCATAGCAGTGTACAAAAATTCAAAAATATAAACACATGTAGAAAAAGGTTGTAATGATGAAACTTTTCAGATTCCAAGAGGAGAAAGAAAGTCAGATTCTTTCATCATTACACCAATCTGCAAATACCTGAAAACTTTTTTTTTCTTTCTCTCTACCGGTCCCCAAAACCCCGTTAGAAAAATAAAATATTTAAAAAAATGAAAACAATCAAGAAAACATGTAACTGAGTCCGAGAAAGTAACTTAAGAGATCAAACCTTTAACATGGGCTCAATCTCAAGATCTGAAACCCTAAATCAAGAAACAGGGAAGAACGTTGGAGTAATCATCAGGGAGCAACAATTGGGGGGAATGAAGCCTGGTCCGACGACGCTAAAGCCCTAATCAGATCTCAAACTTGAAAGTTCGATTCGATAACTAGATCGAAGAAGATCCAAGATGAATAGAGAGAGCCAGAGTCCTCGAGCCGGACAACATTCCCCTCAAAAGAGATGGCCCCTTCGTTTTCAAGAACCAAAAATCGGTCGAGGGTATATATCTTTTAAATATATATAACTGTTTATTATCAGTTCGTCCCCCACGAGACCCGGCTAAGATCAAGGGAGGAGCAGAGAGAGATGGAGAAGAAGATAAGTGAGTGGTGATGATGGAAGAGAGAATGAACAAGTAAAAAGGGGTTTTTATGAAGAAATTGTGTAGTGGAGAGCCAAAGCTATACAAGACAAGAAACATGGGTGTCTCTGGCCCCACACGCTCTCTCACACTCTCTCTCTCTCTCTACATATACATATTGAGGTGTGTATATATAAATATGGCTTTTCGAGTTTCAAGATCTCGCAGTAAAAACATTGGATTTACTTTTTGAGACATGTCACTGGATTCCCATTTCTTATGTTATTACTTGTTCAAGCAAAAATCAAATCTAAGTTCCCATCCTTCCTACTAATTCTATATTGAGCCTATTTCCAACGTTCTTTATGTATTTATATTTACGCAATGTCACAATTAGAAAATAAAATATGTTGAATTTCTTTTGAACATATCTCCATGTTTCAAAATGGCGTCGGCGCAAGAGGTGGTGTATAACAACAGAACATACGGAATATCTGCGATTAATACGGATCAAAAATTGAATGACTTTAATGGTTGTAATTGTTGTTTCATGAATTATAACGACTATATATATGTTATAATAGTGTTTACTCTAGTTACAAATGCGATGAACGCTTTATAAT